TGACAGAGTGTGTGTGTTTGACAGTGTAAGTGAGGTTGTGTGACCGAGAGTGTATGTGTGAGAGTATGTGTTTTTGCATGTGTGACAGAGTGTGTGTGTATTTGTGACAGAGAGTGTATGTGTGTATGTGTGAGAGGATGTGTTTTTGCATGTGTGACAGAGAATGCAAGTGTGTATGTGTGACAGTGTGTGTATGTATGCTAGAGAGTGTCAGTGTGTATGTGTGAGAGGATGTGTTTTTACATGTGTGACAGAGTGTAAGTGTGTATGTTTGAGAGGATGTGTTTTTGTATGTGTGACAGAGAGTGTAAGGGTGTATGTTTGAGAGGATGTGTTTTTGCATGTGTGACAGAGAGTGTAAGGGTGTATGTTTGAGAGGATGTGCTTTTGTATGTGTGACAGAGAGTGTAAGGGTGTATGTTTGAGAGGATGTGTTTTTGTATGTGAGACAGAGAGTGTAAATTTGTAAGTGTGAGAGGATGTGTTCTTGCATGTGTGACAGAGAGTGTAAGGGTGTATGTTTGAGAGGATGTGTTTTTGTATGTGTGACAGAGAGTGTAAGGGTGTATGTTTGAGAGGATGTGTCTTTGTATGTGAGACAGAGAGTGTAAGGGTGTATGTTTGAGAGGATGTGTTTTTGTATGTGTGACAGAGAGTGTAAGGGTGTATGTTTGAGAGGATGTGTTTTTGTATGTGAGACAGAGAGTGTAAGTGTGTAAGTGTGAGAGGATGTGTTCTTGCATGTGTGACAGAGAGTGTAAGGGTGTATGTTTGGGAGGATGTGTTTTTGCATGTGTGACAGAGAGTGTAAGTGTGTATGTGTGACAGAGTGCAAGTGTGTATGTGTGACGGAGACTGTAAGTGTGTATGTGGTAGAGGATGTGTTTTTGCATGCGTGACAGAGAGTGAAAGTGTGTGTGAGAGGATGTGTTTTTTCATGTGTGATAGAGCGTAAATGTGTATGTGTGAGAGGATGTGTTTCACATGTGTGGTTGAGTGTTTGTATAAGAGGATGTGTGTTTGTGTGAGAGGTTGTGGTTTGGTGCCCCTGTAATTAGCATTTCTCCCTTTTGGACTGTTTTGGCTACACTTTTTCGGCTTATGTTTGGACACACTCTTTGGGTCTTCTTTTAATTTGTTTTGGCTCACCCTTTGGCTGACATTTTTAAGTTTATTCAGCTCTCAGATATGGGAGAACAGTTTTTGTGCTCACTTTTGGCCCTGCTTTAAATACTTTCGTTTGGCACATGCCATTCCATTTCTTGAATATATCTAAATAAATATGGAATAATGGTAAACACATGAGTCTGTTTTCCTTCCTTGGATCTAACATGTATCAACAGGCGACAATGCGTGTCGTAAGAGGCGACTGACGGGATCGGGGTGTCAGGCTCCCTGACTTGTTTGATGCACGTCATCGATCCCAATTGCGTGGATCGATGCTCATGAAATTAATCACTGGATTGTCTGGTCCAGAATCGATTATTTACAGACCGCCGTCATATAGCTGGAATATTACTGAGTGGCCTAATACTTGTATAAATAATCATTACTACTACATGAACGTCCACCTTCACACAGATGCACAAGTACATCATCGCAGTGTTCAGCTCTCCACCCACACTGACAAGATACACATTGGCATTCAAGTATATAATCTAAATATTCAGCGGGCACAGAAGGAGCACGTTATTTCCATATCGAGCCTGGAGATCAACAGCTTTTTGTGTTGAACGGAATGAACAACATGATATAGGTGTATATTATTAGAATACGGCCAACCCATAACCAATCGCTGATTGGAAAAGTAAGAAAGCTGAAAATAGAAATGAGGCGTTTAATCGGCTCTGTTGTTTCGAACATGGTCCTCATCAGTTTAATATGCCTTGACCAGACGGTAGATCATGGAACAAATCTATATACAGACAACCACGCTAACTTGGTTAAAACATGTCATCGATCCCAATTGCGTGGATTGATGCCCATGATATTACTCACTGGCTTGTCTGGTCCAGATTTGATTATTTACAGACCGCCCTCATATAGTTGGAATATTGCTGAGTGCAGCGTAAAACAACAAACCAACCAACCAACCAATGTCAGACTATTTCTCTTACTATAGTAATAAGTGCGGAAGTCCCGCCAGCCTTAAACACACATCGCGCGTTACACGCCAGGAAACAGGTTTCCAGTTAAAAATCGTCCACATGCAGGTAATCTCATTTTCAGTGACCAGGTATTGTACATCAGTCAACAAATGAAGACATTCTTGCGAGATACCAATGGTGTTAAGGGCGTAGATACTGGATAATTTTGCCGATGGTCTCGTATGATATTTTTAGGGGTCCAGATTCACTTTCGACTTTCTGGATAGGCGTGGACATGTCTAAAGGCGTCGTAAGGAACGTCATGCGAACGTCAACGTAAGGCAACGTGACAAATTTGAGGGTGGGTCTGTGAAGATATGGGGCGGGATCACGATGATTGCCACAACCCCACTGCATATTGTCCATGGAATGGTTACTGGACAGTACTGTCGAGATAACATTCTTGAGCCAATCATGGTGCCGTTTGCACATTCTGGTCAACGTTGTTTTCCAAGACACTAACGCTCTTGCCCATCGTGCACGTGTCGTAACTCACTACCTCCAGCAAAACATCACCACAATGCAATGGCCAGCCATGAGTCCTGACCTTTCCCTCAAACAGCACGGCTGGGACATGATCCGAAGACGTGATCGTCTACGTCAAAGGCCACCGACTACATCAGCCGAACTTGGACATACAAGACTCCCTCAGATTGTCCTTTGGAGATTGACTCAGACCATGCTACGCCAATTCCCCAATTGTTTGGGAGGGTACATAACATTTATCTTCTGTCCCTTACTCAGATGTATGATAATTTGTTCACATCTTTTCTCGTGGAGAAGGAAATGGATGGCTTCACTGGCAACATTTTCTTAGACATGAGATTGGAAACCGAAGTTTGGTTCATCCTGTTTATATTGGACAAGGGGTTATTTTCTTAGTCTTTTGCAACAATAATACTTTTATGAAACGTTTATTTATAATTTCAAAGTTATATATTTCGTTGGACGTCAGACTATAGAAGACAAGGAAATAGACATGGCCATTTATAAAATCTTATTTCAATTTGATGCAACAGAGTTGTGTATACTTTGATTTTGACATCTGGACTGATCCTCTTGGAAACATCGCAAATGCTTCCTACTTATTAATTTTGCGAAACCGATTTTTCTCCGACTACAAATAATTTGTCTGGTGCTGCGTTTTGCATATGGAATAGAGATGAAACTCAGTATCAGGATCTAGAGAAAGTCTACTAAACTTGAGTAGTTCACTACTGTGGGCCTCTATACAGTGGTTCATTACCTCTGGAAAAATATCGATGCTAAGATGACAGTATTAGCATTTGAAATATAGCTTAAATGTTTCCATATTACTCTTAAATTCGTGTAAATGTCATGCAATCCTCATTCAATGTATAATTCGTTCAATCGCTTAAAATATAAAATATGTAATTTGTTTCCCATTGCTTGTTCCAAAATCAATACAGTCAACAACAACGTAGGTTACGGTCGACTGGGTATATAACTCACTGCCTGTTCCCTTTATCCCGAAGTGGACTAGTCTTACAACATACAAAAATAAAAACACTGAAAGATTGAAATAGAACTTTCCCCCAATGTGTTTATTTTTCATTAATCAGAAGATTTGAATTTTACCGAGTTTAAATTCTTATATTTTTTGTAATCATCAAACCACAGCTCGATGGTAAATCTAAAATTTACGTATTGATATGAATTGACTTTTGATTTTTAGGAGACACGTTTTTGGAGACAACCCCTATCTATATGACGGCAGTTTGTAAATAATCGAGTCTGGACCAGACAATCCATCATCGGATCTTCACGGGGCACATATACACTCTTAAAAAAATAGAAACGCACAGGTAGATTTTATTGTACCTAATAAAGTCGATATATTTAGTTTAATATCATAGATACAAATATGAAATTTTGGAGCTCGATAGTCAAATGTTGTCGTTGTACAAAGGCGGCAAATGGTGCTGTGGTGGACAATGAAGTGGCGTGTAGCAGAAGACTGCGATTCCCCTCTTTGGATACGTCCTATGGCGATGTACCGATCGGCAGCGCTGAGTCTCGGCATTTTCGAAAAATGTTGCTCATGCTTGCCTTTTTATAGCCACTAACATGAGTTACGAATGCCATAACTTGAACGTGCATTTTGCTTTACTGTTTTCCTCCATGACATTTTTGATGGTTGGATGGTTTGTTGTTTAACGCCGCACTCAGCAATATTCCAGCTATATGACGGCGGTCTGTAAATAATCGAGTCTGGACCAGACAATCCAGTGATTAATATCTTTATTGTATACTTTATTGTATATATCTATCAGTTCTGTGTAATTTAAAACTCAAGCTACTGTTTAAAGTGGGCAAAACACACTGAAATTCAACATAAATGATTTTGCTCATATAAATGGCATATATCATCAAAATAAAACAATCTCCATTCAAAACGGAAAACAGCGTTAAAGCCCCATCTGCGGTAGTAACTACCGCACTCTAGTGGGCGGAGCTTATACAAGTTTGACGGTCAATATTGATCTGGTTCCCGTATGGTTTTCAAAAAACCTCTCCCGACACTCGGATGTGTTTACATTGTCAGTCATTGTTCGAAACTGAAACACCGCCACCATGCGGGCTATACAAATAAACGAAACAAAGTATATTGTATGCCCGAAAAATCTTCACTATCATGTGACACCTGTATCAGGCAGTTCTGAGACAATAAAACTGCGGCGTATACCATACTATCTATATGAATCTATTTCTTAACCCAGATACCCTCCAATGATTGTAATAATGACACGACGTTGAACACCATTGATCTGTACTTTTGAATAAACTCTCCCAATCCATACCCCCACGCGCAGGAATAGATTCTACCAACTCCGCCTCTCAATGAGACGTAAACATTTCACCATCGCATGTAAACTGTCCCGTTATATTTAGACCAGGATGTGACTCTTAAAAATCAGCTTGAATTCTGTCAGTATACATATTAGGTAAAACACGAAAGGTACAGTTTGCAGTTTGCTCTGAAATCCAGCAAAATCATTGCTACAGGCGTTGTTGTGTTACTGTCAGCGTTGCCAAGTTGTTATTGACAAGTGAGTATAATTAGAACAGTGGACGAAAAGCTGTCTGTTTTCAAGGGAGGTAACTGAGGCATAACAATCTCGACTGTTAATGATGTTAAAATGCATTTTGTGTATTCTAATTCAAAGGAACACGTAGTTCGAAACAGTACCAATAATTTGTCAACAGTGTTATACAATGATATTATACATGTAGAGTGATTGAAAATGTTGGCAAATATTTTAATTTGCCATGCTTATCTGAGGTTAACCTCATATTTCTGCAATACTGAATCTTGTCTGATAAATCTACAGTGTTAATTCTTGTAACAAAAATTGGATTTAAACTGAAAAACTATCTAATGCTATAAATTTGATGAATATGTTAACATAAACATATTCCTGGCTGATTTTTGTGAATATCAATAAATCAGTAAGGTTTCAGATGACTTTTCAGAGTGTATGGCTGTATGTTTCTCAGCTGTTGTATGTATATGTTCCCTTCACAGGCAAACAGAATGAAGTCTGGTTAATTCTGTTGCCAGCTCTGTCATAATACACTATTCATACCAAGTCAATCAGAGTTGGCAAAGAAGTGTTTGGTCCAGTGGTCTGCCAATCGAGGTTCTATCAAAGGTAAATACACTTAAAAAATTTAAATAAACCTTGTAATCCACGCCCTCGGAACTTAATTATTGTTTGCTTCTATTAATTTTTATGTAAACATTCAACTATAGTGTATTTCATTTGATTAGGTACTGGACATTTATCATGGGGAAGGGGGAAGATTGATGTTGGACTTTTTAGAAATTTTGACGACGCCCCATTTCATGTAACATTTGTTTCATGACTCCCCCACCTCACTGTAATATATGACTATTATCTAAAAGCATTACTTGAAATTAAGGAACTGTCATTTTTTCACGCCACCACCCATATTGTTATAATGAAGTTTGCCGACCCCTCTCTTTTGCTGTCATTTTTTCATGCACCCCGTGTTTAATGTCAAAACACACATGCACACCCACATCCCCTGCATGCCTGACACCTAACACACCCCAACCCCAATCTCACTCTCAATGTCAAATCTGACACCTAACACACCCCAACCCCAATCTCACTCTCAATGTCAAATCTGACACCCAACACACCCCAACCCCAATCTCACTCTCAATGCCAAATCTATCAAACCCCAACACCAACACCAACCCCAATCTCACTCTCAATGCCAAATCTAACAAACCCCAACCCCAACACCAACCCCAATCTCACTCTCAATGCCAAATCTAACAAACCCCAACCCCAACACCAACCCCAATCTCACTCTCAATGCCAAATCTAACAAACCCCAACCCCAACACCAACCCCAATCTCACTCTCAATGCCAAATCTAACAAACCCCAACCCCAACACCAACCCCAATCTCACTCTCAATGCCAAATCTAACAAACCCCAAACCCAAACCCAACCCAAACCCCAATCTCACTCTCAATGCCAAATCTGACACCTAACACACCCCAACCCCAACCCCTACTCCAACCCCACTCTGTCCCAAGTGGATCCACACACATCAAGGCCTTCAAAAACTAAAAAGAAATAAGTTTAACAGCTAAATACTTTTTTGTTGTGGTTTGTTTTGTCAGTGACTGCAATTCCACCATGGTGCTGAAGAGGTCCAACTGCAGTGTCAACTCTGGGAACACGCTGAGAGTCAGGTACCACCGCCAGCGCTATGCAGGATCCCGGGATCACCTCCTCAGCAAATTTTACATGAATGGAATCATCCAGCCAGCTGATTTTGAAGAACAGAATGCAAACATATTATTGACATCTGATGAGTATGTTCAAGACGGGGGCCTGGCAATTCAGCAGAACTTCCATTATCCTCTTGTCTATTCATTGAATAAAAGGAAGCGTTGGCTGCTACGAGAGACTGTCACCAACACCATTCGCGATATGGCTGAAGAAACTTGTGAGGAAGACTTCAAGATTACACTGGTTGAATACGTTCACTATGGGAACCCCATTTTCTTGTCTCGTTCGATCGCTATGTGTTGTGAGTACTGGGACAGTCACAACGTCCAGCCACATGTGACTGCCCGAAAGGATGCCTCCTATATTACGGATCTACGAAAACTGGGGAAGAGTGAGGAAGAAGAAGGGAAGGTGACAAGGAGAAGAAAGTATCACAACCAACATAAGCGTGGAATACAGAGGAAGGAGAAGTTGCTCGCGGAGAGGGAGCAGCATCAGCAACCATTTATGTAAGACAACATGGCCGCCTATCACGGACATGCCATGAATTACTGGAAACAATATTCCTTATTTGACACCTAAAGTATTCTCAATTTACTATTAAAGCCAGACCAATTTTTATAATTGTTTCACAGATTTGCCTTTGAAAGGAAAAGGGATTGAACACTCCCCCTCCCCAAAATAAAAAAATGGAGAGAAAAAAGAATACACAAAGATAATGTGTATCTTACAGAAGAAAACTATGACATTAGTCACACTCCTGTAATACATTTGGTTACTGTGTTTCATTAACCATCTGACTGAATGTCAAGTGAACTTTTGTCTTAACCTGTTTGTCCGTCATCCATTATGAATCAGAAACCACGCAACCCAATGAGACTGAAACTTTACATGCTTGTTCCCACAAATGTTGACCAAATTTGTTTTAGATGTTCTAATCCAATTTTCAATATGGCCGCCTATGTGTGGCCATTGTTCAGCAATTCTTGTTCAAAATGACCTTGATTTGCTCTAAAATCCTCTCAAAATTCATTTTGATGCTGTTAAATCCTAACCTGAAATTGCCCGAGTAAGGAAGCTGGTCTTCGATAACTTCAGCTTATGATGACATCATCAGGGTTTTACCCGGCGCGGAAATGTGCGTCCAGAACGCATAAGTGTATAGAATGGATGCAGAATATAAAATATATTGCGTACTGAGGACGCACAAAAATATACATTGTACCAAATTCTTCACAAGAAACATAGAGTTCCTGTAGTTAAAATAATTATTTAATCTAACAGTACAGTACCCTACACCATTTCTTTACTTCACAGGACCCTCATATTTCCTGTAAGGACTGTTGAAATTAGTACTTAGGGGTCCTCTGTGCGCCTAGTTTTGTAGGTCAAGGTAAAACACTGCATCATGTTTTGTCCAAATCAATAGAGTTTCCATATCAATACTGAATTTGACAGAATAAACATTTCTCCACTCCTAGCCCACCCTTGTACAAGTGAAGGAAGAGTTGTGTCATAATGTGCTGGCGGACAACCATTCCATGTTTCTCGGCACCATACTCATGGGTTTTATGGGTTTCACCAAGTGGTAAGCAGCATTCCAATAATGAAGTGAAGGCATTCCTCCTCACTATGCCGAAAAGCCTTGATGTAGGTGAAATACTGTTTAACACCATGTATGGGAATATATTTGGTACAAACTGGATGTTAATATCCACTTTTCACTTTCAGTCCCAGGAACCATGGCAACCTTGCAGAGCTCCATGGATGCCCGGAGATTCGCTACGAGTTGTGGTCACCAGCAGAATACACATCTAGAAAGGCATTCTACAAATTAGATTCTTACAGCAGAATTTGGGATAGTAAGTTTTAACTAATTATTTTATTAGGCATGAGATATGATTCTATGTAATCATAGTTGTTACCTGGGTAAAATGGTTTTCATGGATCAAGACTCTATCCAACATTCTGCCCCTGTCAATTTGGATCAAGACACTCTGTATTCTGAGGGGCTGTCCTAGGGTAATTGGCTGCTCTAGCGAAAACAATTCTTGTCCATCAAATATGAGTTTTTTGGCCTGCTTGTTTGAATTTTATGATGTATAACAGTTCAACAGTTAATGATACCACTAATTACATAGTGACAGTGTATGCTCCACACATGGTACAAATTACAATGGCCAAACCTCACCCAAACGGGTCGTCCCGAAACAAAGACAAGTGAGAACGGCATGTCACCATCATCCATTAGCTCCATCTGCATCGTATCTGGTTCATTCATTATGTAGTCACTACGTCATCCTCTGACATAGCATTGGCTCGCTGCTGCAGCCAATCTCCATCATTCCTTAGCTTTATTTTTATTTTTTATTTTTTATGCCACACTCAGCAAAATTCAAGCTATATGACGGCAGTCTGTAAATAATCTTGTCTGGAACAGACAATCCAGTGATTGATATGATGAGCATTGATCTACGTAAGTGGGATACGATGATATGCATCAACCAAGTCAGCGAGCCTGGCCACCCGAGTCTACTAGTCGCCTCTTACGACAAGCATATTTATATTTGAATATTTATTTGAAATAGGTTACCTTTTTACATTGGTGTCTTGTAAAATGTATTTTCAGAAGCATCAACTTATGGAATGAGACCAAATAAGGCACTGAAGAAAAGTAAGGGACTTCGCAGCAAAAGAGACAGGGCTGAGTCCTGGTTCGGGTTCTCGACACAAGGCTTGCAGGAACAGGTAGAGCAAGAACAGGAACACCCTGGAGGCCTTGGTGAAGAATGGATGTGGCAGTTGGAGGGAGGGGAGGAAGTGCAGGAACGAGAGAGGGCAATAGAATTGGATTTGCAAATACTAATGAAACATTGCTCCTGGAAGACGAAATGGTCAAGGAAAGCATGTAAGAAGGAGAGTGTGACAGACCAGGAGACATACGTGTTTGTGACTGATGACAAAAGGAAGAAGGTCAAGGTCGAAGTCAAGCAGATAAGTAGAGCATCTTCCTCATGGACAAAGAAGTACGGGAAAGGTTGTGCAGTTGTGTTAGAGACAGATCCATATCCAGCTGCTGATGATGATGATGATTTTGAGATGGTTGATGAAAACACAGACTGTGAGAATCTCTCAGGTCTGGCAGGGGAGATGCTGGAGCTCCTGAAGAACCACCTGCAGGTGTTCAATGATGACTTTTGTGTGTGCAAGGTGCCCATAGTAGACATTGTGCCGAGAAAGCTGGCAGAAGTATATGGACCCGGGGTTGAAGTCAGTCTCATCCATCCTTATGCATTTGTCATTAACCTTGGGAGAAGTCAAGGTCACTGGTGCATGGTGTGTCAAATGTCCCCTGGATTGGGCTTTTGGCCCGACCCTGAATCTCAAACCAATGTTGCTCTTAGGTAAATATGACACTTACTTAAAACCTGTCTGTACCTTAAAGTGATATATGGTTAACATTAACACCATGAAAGACATGTTTTTAAAATATTATCTTTTATATGATTAGAACTGTTAGAAAATAGGAAAGTATCATTATAAAGCATATTTCCTTTATATCAAAAGTTGAGAAGAGATACCATCCAGCAGGCTCTCCAGTTTTACACACATCACGCTTAGGACTATCACATTAAAGGACTGGTCATTAATTATGGGAGAGGGGGGGACATGAAAAAATGACACAGTGAAAGAGGGAGGTTTGGCAAAATTTATCATTAAGGCTAGAAATAATAACAGTCTTGGTTCTCACGCACTTGCTACATCATCATAAAGTTTGCCGCAAGTTTCGTTTTTATTTCCATTTTCAAAATTTAAAAACAAAAATCCTAATACATGAAAACAATGCAATCCAATATAGCACGCAGTTACTTCCCTTTACATGCGCACTGCTTTACTGCACCTCTTGTGTTATGATCATGGCGCCAATAAGAGTTTGTATGCTTCATTATGTAGGGAGGTCCTTTTCCAGGTTGATTGTGCACAGCTCTTTATTTGGTTACATACTAGCTTTAGTAAGCAACAACAAAAAATCACCGCCTGCCCGCACTATATGTTCAAAAGTCATTGCCTGAGAACCAGTTGTTATATTTATTTGAGCCTAATATAGTGAGGGAGGGGGTCAGTAATGCGAGAGGCCATGCCTTCGAACTACAAAAACATCGAAGAATTCAATGATATGGTTTGGGATTATTGCAGTTCAAATGAATACTATCATTTGTTAACTTCACAAACTAAACTTAAACTGAGTGACATGAATTTTGTCAAAAGAAGGCGATTCCAATATCTCAGATTTAAATGACATAAGTTGGGTCACCATCCAAGATTGTAAAGGTTCCAAGTGTTGTCACGGAGTTAGCGCAATCAGTTTAGTCAAGTGACTACTCTTCAGGAAGCAGATTTTACAACTTGCTGCCACTAATGTCTTAGTTTACCTTGTATCAGTTCACAGTTTATATATCAGTTAACAGTTTATATATCAGTTTACTTTGTGTCAAGGAGGGCTCCTGAACCTGTTTCTCGATTATTCCTTGTCATGCAGGGTTACATTGCAAGGGAGGGTTCCTGAACCTGATGTCCATGCTGTGAACTCAAGTCTACGGAACATTCTGAAGGGAGGCTCCCGGTCAGGACACACTCTGGCGGAGTTACTTGCCCTTGCCAATGAAGTCATTGAAGAAATGTTAGGACAAGCCTTGTAAGTAAATTTCATGAACAGGAGAAAAGGAACTAAAGTAATGAAATTATATATACTCAGTTCCAAAAGAAACGCACACCCCAAAGTCAGCACAAGAGAGTGTCTGCAGATGCACTGTGTTTGCTGAGACAGACCTGTGGCGGGTTCCCGCTGTCTGCGAGAGAGTGTCTGCAGATGCACTGTGTTTGCAGAGACAGGCCTGTGGCGGGTTCCTGCTGTCTGCGAGAAAGTGTCTGCAGATGCACTGTGTTTGCAGAGACAGGCCTGTGGCGGGTTCCTGCTGTCTGCGAGAGAGTGTCTGCAGATGCACTGTGTTTGCTGAGACAGACCTGTGGCGGGTTCCTGCTGTCTGCATGGACAATTACCCTGTCTGTTAAGCTCGTATCTCACATACACGATTTATGAAATTGCGAACACGATTTAAGAAAAGTTGAAAAATCATGTTGATTCGTGCTCGACCTAGTTGTTAATGCAAATTTCTTAACCAAACACGACCCTCATACGACCAAAAACGACACTCATACGACCCTCATACGACCTTCATACGACTGAACACGACACTCATACGCCCCTCATACAATATTCCTACGATACAACACGATTTAACCTCATTTAACACGACCCCAATACGACTGTCATACGACCAAACACGACAGTCATACGACGCCCATACGACTTAACACGAATCAACACGACAACCATACGATTAAACCCGAATCATTACGATGTCCGTACGACTACAAAAATAAACACGATCTCCATATGACTGAGCAAGACCTTCATATGACATATTTCTGTTTATTTTGGTCACGTGGGTCATGTAGTATATAAGCTGCATTGCAACAGCATTTCTGTGTCAGTCTTCACCATGTTCAACAACGAACAAGCCCCCTTTGCAGGAGGAGGAAGTACTTCTGGTAGCTATGGCTTTGATGGTGAGGGGTAGGAGGCAGCACAGGCGTCGCAGAGTGAGGAACAGGAAGAGATTCTGGTTCAACCATGGTTGTTGAGGAGACCTCTGTATGAGCAGTATGAACACCTAATGCAAGAACTGTATCGTGAAGATTGTGAATACATTTACCAGCTTCTTGCGTGTCACTCCGGACATGTTCATGGAACTAGTAGAACGCGTTGCTCCTCGTATGGAAAAAAAGGACACCTCACACAACATGATGGGCCCTTCCGGTCGTATAACCAACGTATGGATTTCGTGTTCAGGCGTATGGGCGTCGTATGAAAGGCGTATGAAAGGCATGTTGAATCGTGTTAAAACGTATGAAGGTCGTATGAGTTTCTTCCCACGCTCCCCAACACGACTGAACACTATCTTCATACGACTGAACGTGATCTTCATACGATTGAACACGACTGTCATACGACCTTCATACTACTGAACACGATTTTTCAGCTCGGCTTAAATCGTGTTATAATATTGCAAAAACTTATAACACGATTTAAGCCGAGCTGCGACGTCCATATGACCGTACACGACCAACCACGACTTAACACGAATGAACACAAATGAGTGCGCGACCTTCATACGTTCTAACACGATTTAAGGAAAAACGTTAAATCGTGTTCATTCGTGTTCAGATTCGTTAATGTGAGATAGGGGCTTTACTGTCGGACGTTTGGTTGACATGTTGCGTTTATGTGGGTACCTTCAACACCACACAGTCACTGACAGGTTTAGGGACTGTTCTCAGTACAATATTTGGATTGTCCAATAGTCAATAGTCTGCTGCTCCAGTTTTTGGTATTTACATTTCACAACTTTTGAGGTACAATCGAGCATACTCTTACTACCAAGATTTCAAAGAGCATCCTACAATTCTTGTTCAGAAGTTGTTAGATTGAAGGTTACAACATCCAAGGCCTCAGTAAAGCTTTCAAAATGTTTTATGGTAGACATGTGGAGTTTTTTTTACAAATTTGATGCATCAGTGACAAAAACAATGTCCGATGCAATACCCTATTTTGACTTGTATCATATGTCCTGTGTTTTTTTCAAGTTTACAATTGACTTTCCTTTGCATTTGTTTGTGATAGGGTCATTCGGTGGGGCAGGATATGCCACTTTTCACGAACACCTGGTATCATTACTATATGATAGTGATTCATAAACACAAAATAACTTTTCCAGAATGGTCATAAACACATGCTCATGATATTGTTTGAATCGTTCAATCTACTCTTGTTTTTGGCAGAGATTTCTTGTGAATATGGAAAGAGTTTATAGCTTGTCATTAACAATTCAAATATTGATGATATTTGTGAGATGTTTTTGGAGAGGAGACTACTTTGCATCATGGGAAGGGCAAAGCAGAAATGACCAAGAACGTGTTGTGGGACATCACACAGAACTAACAAAAACCTGTGACCCTTCCCAATGTCTGAAATAATAAAAATATTTCAGGTCAGTGAAATCCACCAAGTCTCAGGCAGTTCTTTGTGGCAACAGAACAATCCACAAGCACCTTTTCTCCACGTTGACTGAAGTGAAGACAGCTGAGGAGGTTTACCTCGAGGACAAACACGATGAACAGGTATTCCAAATTAAAATACTGTAAATGTAGAAAGTTTGGCGAGCAGGAAAGTACTGCGAAAACTGCAAGTGCAAGTGACTGACACTTGCAATAGTTGCATGACACAGTTATTTTTGAAGACCAACAACCAACAAAAGAAGTTAGGAAGCATATTCCTTGAATTCACTTCAACAAGTTGTCAAGCCAGCCAGTACATGATTTAACAAATACTCCCTCACATCCTGTGATTCCCTTAGTGTCAAAAGTCTAATTAGTCTCAGTTCACTGATGTGCCACACTCGGCAAGTTGTTGACACAACACCGAGTAAACCAGACATAAGCCAGCAAGTCTAATCTGTTATAAACACGCTTACTCCAACCCTTGTCAACTACAACAACACCATCTCCAATTTCCAAAGTCCAATTTTCACCCTTGCCGAAGGCTGGTATTATGGAGTTACATTTTGGCTGAACTAACGAGTCTAGTCCAATCAAAATCGCGCAATAAAATGGGGAGTCCGGGGTTAGAGTATATCCCCAGCAGCCTATACTTGTGGGAAGGCAACCGAATGATTGTTGGTCTGACTCGGTGACTTGGTGAATCGCTAGTATTCTGAGTGTGTGGGACATATTGCACAAAATATCAATGTTTTTGTCAAGTCCAGACTTGACTATTTACAGGTCAAAAGGACACGAATCTGTGACTCTCGCACTGGTCTGAAGCCCAAGTCTTGTAACATGTCATTTGGTCCCAAAATCTCAGCTAATAATAGTTCATATAATAATACCCGTTGAAATCAGATTTGATATGAAAGTGCAATTTTTTTCCTGTAAAAATCCTTGTTTTGGATATGGAGAAATAAGTCCCCAAAGAGGTGTCGATCACAAAGTCTCAGATTAACAGTTCCTCTGATTACTGACATTTATTCCTTGTGTTTTTAAGTTATATTGTATTCTATCTTGTTTCAGATACTCCCAAGTGTTGCCCGAATTGACCTTCTAAATCTGATTGACCTTGACTTTGACCTGGTAGAGGAGTGTGCAATCTGTTTTGCATCTTGGGAAGGGGAGAAATGGTCTTGGGTTTCACATAACGTGTCATTGTTGCCATGCCGACACAGCTTTTGTCGACAGTGTTGGCAACTCTACCTATGTCAGAACATCAAGGAAGGGAAGACAACTCTATATTGTATGGTAAGTTGTAGTTAATGTCGGTAGTCTTTGCACTTGTGACCCATGAAGATCCGGGTTAGAAAAGATCTTCAGCAACCCATTCTTGCCGTAAAAGGCAACTATGATTGTCGTAAGAGGCGACTCATGGGATCGGGTGGTCAGGCTCGCTGACTTGGTTGATGAATGTCATCTTATGCCAATTGCGTGGATCGATGCTCATGATGTCAGTCACTGGGTTGTCTGGTCCCGATTTGATTATTTACAGACTGCTGTCATATAGCTGGAATACTTCTGAGTGCGGCGTTAAACAACAACCAAACAAACTTAGCACTGGCTGCTGAAAGATTATGTGTGGTGTCAATGTGTTATATATGTGATATGTAGCAGATTGTTGTCATTCTTTTTGGACTGACTGTAGGTGATGTACCTGTATTTCGTGTAGTTTCATTGTATGATCGGGGTCGGGTCGGGTCGCGGTCAGGTCGCGGTCGGGTAGCCTAGTGGTTAAAGCATTTGCTCGTCACGCCGAAAATGTGTGAAGCCAATTTCTTGTGTCCCCCGCCGTGATATTGCTGGAATATTGCTAAAAGCGGCGTAAAACCGTACTCCCTCACTCACTCATTGTATGTTCAAGCTGATTTTGTGTCCTCGTATCCATAGAGAGATGCTTTTGCTGTCACTCTGGTTTTATGACCCAGAGGTTTTTTTGCAGCCAAAACAGGAGAAACAAAACATTGAGGGAAAAAACATTATGCCATGGTAAATCCTCAATTCTTTAATAACTCATGAATCTGAACCAAAATTCATATTTCAAAATCCCAAATATGGCTATTAGGGAGCGTATTTGTAGATAATGAAAGTAATTATTGTTTGTGTTTTTTGAACATGTATATTGTTCTCCATGCATGAAATGATTAGAAAATGTCATGTTGTTACAGGAATATGGTTGCCAGACTGAGGTAGATCCTGCTACAGTTACCTCCCTTGTTCCTCCTAAATTTCTCACAAGATGGCAGCACCAGTGTGCTGAGAGTCATGTGACAAAAGCAGGGGACTGGCACTGGTGTCCTAAGGCGGGGTGTCAGTATCTCGCCAAGATCGTCAAGCCACAGGATAAAAAGTGTAAGAATACCAGGTCCCGTGTAATTCAGTTTACAGTTTAATATCATGAAGGGTTCACATTAGGGCTGGGACGGGTAACTCGGGTTCCCGGGTCGGGTGGGTACTGAGTAGGACCCGGGTACCCACAGGACTACCTGGACCCATGGTTAGTCACGTGATATATTGTTAAATGATAAAAAATATCTAGAACTCTATGGTTACACTACAAGTCACTAATGTTCGCATTTCTTTCTGACTATGCACCCATTCTTTCTGGCTGCGGTTGAATAAAGATATAACTTAAGCCAACTTCAACGTATGCATGACCATATTGTTTGATACATGTGTCTAAATACGTTTTGCCAGCGCTATGGTAAACAAATTCCCAATCGGACATTTTGTACCTATCTCTGGAGACCTACACTGGGTAATAGGGGGAAGGGTACCCGGGTAGTAAATGTGGACTCGTCCCGGCCCTAGTTCTCATGACAAATATGAAATGTTTTACTGAAGACAGCGATGAAGAGAAGGACGCCACAACTGGTTAAAAAAACTGTCCATTTTCCAAAGGTCACAGACCCCTGCTTATTTTACTGATTTGTCACAGTGAAACAATTTGCTCAATTGACTCAAGTTTTTGTGGATATACCTCTATAACATCATTTAATGTCAACAACAAAATATTTCTCCATTACACAAGTCCTTCTATGTAAGGCTTAGGACTTATCAATCAACCATCGATATGAACTATCACCATCACAAACTGGGACAACTGTTCTTAGTGAGAGTGAGTTAGGTCTTATGCCTCTTTTTAGCAATATTCCATCAATATCACGGCGGGGAACACCAGAAATGGGATTCACACATTGTACCCATGTGGGGAATCAAACCAGGGTCTTCGGCGTGACGAGGGAACGCTTTAACCATTTAGCTACCCCACCGTCCCACACACCTTTTACTTGACAGATGGCATAGAAACAGCTAAATGTATGAAATTGTAGAAAGGATGTAAACTTGTCACATCATTTCCTCTTGAGGGGCTGCCATTTCTACATGGACAAATAGTCCAAAAATATCTTAAAGAATTGAAATCTTCAAATCAGATAAAATAATGTTTCCATTTCTTCAGACCTTCCTGCAATTAGTAACATCTTGTATTTGTGTCTTGTCTGTATATAATATACCAAACTGGTTCTACTGTTAGTCCATGCAGGAACCTTTGCACTTGTTAGATGGACAGGAGCCCAGTCAAATATGTAACAGGTTTGTGATGAAGACATGACTGTGTTTCAGCTCAACGGCTGTGCCGGTATGGAGTTCCTGTTCAGTGTCATTGTGGGGAGCTTTGGTGTCTCCTTTGTCAGAAGTCATCTCATTGGCCAGCTCTCTGTAGCCATGGTGACATGTACTACAAGATGTTGCTGGAGAATGGTATGGTTGGAATTATTCAAATACTTGTAAGATGTCTGTTAGTCTTCAATGTATGCAGATTATCATATTATGATGGCTGTTCTTGTTGAGAGTTTTAGCACATGGGCTGACTATCTGGTATGACTTCATTACAGGAAAAAAACAAGAACTCATTGTAACAGTTTATGTGTCTCATCTTGATCCAGACCAAACCTGAATTTATCAAGAAGTAATACTTTATTTCTGAAAGTGAATCTTATTATTTTTATCTATGATAAACATTACATGCCTAAAAAAGCAAACAAAATGAAGTTAAATGAAAATCAATATATTTTTGTAACAAGTAGTTTAGCAATGGCATAACTTGGCTGTCACAATCCACGAATGAGGCCTATGTTTATTAAATCATCTAGCCAATAAGTCAATACACAAGTTGATGTTTTGGTCCATATGTAAGTTTATCACATTTTCAACATTTTCTCCAGAACTGCTTGTTTTTGTGTCTTTAGCAGAAGAACTTTAATGTAATTAGTTTTATTAAGGAATATTTTCTAACTAACCTATCTTTTCTCATGTGCCAACTGGGTGTTTCATTTACATCTTTACTTGAGTAGACTTAAAGAATTCTTCACTAAAAAGATCTATTTCCAGTAGTGTACTTGATCGACCTGATGAGACAACATCTACACGTAATATAGGGAATACTGTATTCGATATAATAAGCGCCCCACTCTAATAAGCGCCCACGGCGATATTTGCTAACATATTGGCTTGTGAACAATCCCAATTAGCACCCCTTTCGTTTGATCAATGTACACAAGACTTATTTATTCGTGTATAATACGCACCCGTGTGTTATATGCACCCTTAATTATGGATCATTAAATTCTGGAAAATATATCTGTCGTGTATATGCTCATACCTTTCTTTAGTATCATTTCAGGCTGTCAGCATCAACCAAGAAATTTACGATCTTTCAATTCTTTTTTTTCTCTCACCAAAATTATATTCTAATAAGAGCCCCCTATTTCGGGAGCGCCCCAGGCACTTAATACGTCAAATACGGTCTACTTTATTTGGGTCCTATGTTCAACCACTTTTGTATTTTATTTCAGGTAGTGAAATGGGTCGACCAGTTGCATCGAATATGACATTTTTCGTTAAGCTGAAAAAGTGTCCGCGTTGTAAATATCCAATGGAGAAAAATGGTGGCTGCAGTCACATGACCTGTCGATGCTCACACCACTTCTGCTGGGAGTGTCTGGGAGATTGGGACAGCCATGTCTCCACAGGTCTGGTCTGTCCCGTGGGGAAGAAGGACGTGAGCGTGAGTGGCACTGACACAGAATCAACTCTCTTGCAGCCATTTGGCCACACAGGGCCCTAAAGAAGAGAAATTTTAGATAAACTTGTATGTACATGTGTGAAGGGGTGGACCCGGGATTGTAAAAAAAGACGGAGATGGACCATTTGTAAATTAAGTGGGGTTTGGGGTGGGGGCGGGGGGAGGGTGGTCACCCAAAAGCCTACCTAACACAAATCAAACCAAATCAGCATGTTCTGATGGTAAGAAATGCACATACAAAGTGTCATCAGATGTAAAATGGGGGTGGGGGTGGCCAGTACTTCTCCGGATCCGCCGCTGGCAGATGTATTGAGGACTGCTTATACATTCTCTGTGTCAACATCAGTATCGGAGGAATATCTTGAAATTTTGATATATTTATAAGAGATACCATAAAAAGTATTTAAGCTAGATGTTGATTGTTTGTGAATATTGTATGGTAGTATCCCAAGTTCCTGTTGTGTCTGTTGTCTGTCTCAGTCCCTGAACCATATTGTTTTCCCAGCCCTTACTGTAACAGTACAACCCTAAATGAAGCAAGTCTAGATTTTCCACAGGTTCAGGTTCTGAAACACCCATCTCGCTGGGGCTCCTTTTCAATTTAAAAGGACTTGTTTGTTTCTAGCAAAATATACTATTTCAGATAGCAATCATCTAACATATCGATATGGATATTATCATTTTGTGTCAAGAAACATTGTATCAGTGCGCTGATATGTCCATTTTGAATGTCGGTCAGTCATAAATACATGCTGGCAGTACAGCAGGTTATGTCCTTGCAGAAGGATTCACCACGGCAGTGTGTGTTACAGCGGGTTATCCCACAGCAGTGTGTGTTACAGTGGGTTATCCCACAGCAGTGTGTGTAACAGTGGGTTATCCCACAGCAGTGTGTTACAGTGGCTTATCCCACAGCAGTGTATGTTACAGTGGGTTATCCCAATGCAGTGTGTGTTACAGTGGATTATCCCACAGCAGTGTGTGTTACAGTGGGTTATCCCACAGCAGTGTGCGTTACAGTGGCTTATCCCACAGCAGTGTGCGTTACAGTGGCTTATCCCACAGCAGTGTGTGTTTTAATGGCTGAAGTTGTTTGTGTAGACGGTGGAATTGGACTCGGCGGCAGTGATGACGTTCCATGCATCCCAGTACCAGAACTCTGAAAGTCACCGACATGCCTGGAAGAAAATGACCACTACATTTATGAGGTCGAGGGTCAACCTGCTGGTCAGCACCCAGGTAATATATAACATCTGAAGCAACTTGTTCTTCCTGATGTCCGAAAAGTCAGGGTGAGATAGGGGCTCTGTTTGGCTCACAGTATATGCAAAGTTTAAGTAAATAGCAATACATTCAGGCTTCTATCCTTTCAACACTTGTTTTGTACTTATAACAATTAATGGTAATGTTGAGGTTAGACTCGATATTTTGGGTTTGTTGTCACCTGTTCCATAGTCTGCTGATCACAGACAACAAAACATTGAACATGTTGGCCACTGCAAGCTGACATCTGCCAATTGGGGGCGGTCGGGTAGCCTTGTGGTTAAAGCGTTCGCTCGTCACGCCAAAGACCCGGGTTCGATTCCCGACATGGGTATAATGTGTGAAGCCCATTTCTGGTGTCCCCCATGTTTTTGCTGGAATATTGCTAAAAGCGGCGTAAAACCATACTCACTCACTCATCTGTCAACTGCCCACAGACACTCCGCACGTTGCAGACACTGCCTCACTAGTTCATACACAAACAATGAATGACATCAAGTAACTCACAATCAGTAAGTCAATCAATAAGACTGACAGAAGAAAACGGCCTAGAGAGATTAATCAACCCTCCTTGAAAGTGTCAGGAGTGTCAGCCTACGCACATGCATGGCGCTGCAGCGTGCAGCATGTGCAAAGTATCGGATGTGTTCTGGTGTTCTGTTTTACAGACATAAACGTTCTTGCATGGGATGTTTGTCGTTATCACTCATCTTTGTTCTAATACTTGGTATTAACATATGTATTTCATGATACCTTCTTTTTCTTAAGAGTATGGCCCACCATGATATTGCCGGAATATTGCTGAAAGCGGCGTAAAACCATACTCACTCACTCACTTGAGAGTATGGTTTCTACTAAATAATGGAATGTTATAAAACAAAATGTGATTCTTGAGAAATAAAACATTTTTTTTCATTATTGATGAAATCATTCATAATTATATTTGTGTGACTATGACAGTAACATGAGATATAGAGGTTTTATCACTAAGACTTTTATTTGCAAGAGGCACTTGATCAGTAGGAGGTTTCACAAGTGAAAAAAATATAGCTGCCACCGAGGTTATTATTATGATAACAATACAGTATTTTATCAATACAGCCATACAATCAGTGTTTTTGAATACACAAATTAATTGTTAAGTTTACCCCAACACGTAATAATGTTTATTCAGAATTCTGACATAACAGAAAGTTTTATTTCATACATGTCTGACAATGTTCCAGATAAAATGTTCAGAATATTCTGCATAGAATAAGGGGGCGGTCGGGTAGCCTAGTGGTGAAAGCGTTTGCTCGTAATGCCGAAGTCCCTGGTTCGATTCCCGACATGGGTACACTGTGTGAAGCCTATTACTGGTGTCCCCAGCCATGATATTCCTGGAATATTGCTAAAACTCACTCACTCACTCACTCACTCACTGTATAGAAGTAAACAGAACATGTAATGATGAAGTCTGATGTTTCAGAGGAAGAACATGTGGAGGAGGTCCCCCAATGCCATGAATACATCCCAACTTGATGCAACTCAAGCATTCTTCACAGACATGCTGGTGTTTGTGCGAGATGTGAGTATACCAATATCCTGTGACCAGTGTATGCTAAGGCGGGGAGTCTGGACCACCACTCCCTTTTGAAAACCAAATGTAGTATGATGTAGGTAGTAAAATTATTTTGATATTTTAGACCCCTCCTTGTAGTAATGCTGGATCCAGCCTTGGTTTGTCAGCTTTGTAATCACAGGGACTTGGATGGCCTAGTCATGTTTGGTCCTGCAGTTCACTACACAGAGTTGCCCCCCTCAGACATGCCAGGATTCGGCGATTGTGTCCATTATTCATCTTTGTGATTCTTGGTTAGTCTGCTGCATAATCATGCTCATGGGTAAACGTGTAAACCTACATCACTTTGGGCGCTTCTCCTCCATCAAGCCGACGCACCATGATGTAACTGATGTATTGTCCCAAGTGGCGTGAAGTCCAAATCACTCCCTCATTCACTCCTACAATCACATCAGATAATGGTGACCCATGAAACACTTGAAGTGAGTGGGGGGCACTGTGGCCCAGATGTCTAAGGCGCCGCGATTCGCTGTGCTGAGTTGCGTCCCTTGGGCACGCCAGAAACCTATGATTGTGGGTTCGAATCCCGGTTCGCCCCGATTATGTTTCTAGGTTTGTCAGCACCATACCCGTGCTCGTGGGTTTCACCAAAGTGGTAAACGTCTGAGACCTGCATCACTTCGGGCTTTCCTCCCGCATCAAGCTGACACGCCGTGACACGCCGTAACTGGAATACTGTAAAAAGCGGGGTTATACCCAACTAACTCACTCACTTGAAGTGAGTGCTGTTGTTCTGTTTAAGATGGAGGTGATGATATAGCAGTGTATAAAATTCCCCTCAAATTTTAGTCAGGCATCCCGAACTGGCAACATTGCAAAGCTACCAGACCAGATAAAATATTGCCAGTCCAGAATTTTCTAGGCTAACAAACAAAAGAAACAAAAGGGTAGTACATGATCACAGTTACGTGATCGCGGTGATCAGCTGATAATATTTTCTGATAACTTGAGTTTATTAAAAATGTTAGTAAATGCTTTACCACGTGCTATAACTGAGTTAGGGCAATATTGAAGAGTGCAATAACGAGGGAACACTGTACTGTATAATGTTAGTTTTCAGAAAATGGCAAAAAATGGTGAATTGTCAACTTTTTAACTTTTACTCTCGATCATCAAGCGTGCAACTTTTCAAAACTGACCGTCCATCAGAAAAATAGACTGTCTTGGAATAGTATTGATGTAAGGGAGATAACTCTCATTCCGGAAGTTCTGGTGTTGTTATGATAGCGTGTGAATTGTATCGGTAAAGTTGACAGTTGCAAGTATAGAATGTTACCTTGATTGTGTTGTGTGTCGTCATAGTGTTTTTGGAATGATTGTGTATGTGTGTGGAGATGATTGTTTGTCAGTTGTATAATGAAATTCTAACGAATAACAATGTTTGCCTGAAGCAGGGAGTTCTGTTGCCTATCAGTATTGTTTAATGTTAGTTTTCAGAAAATAACGATAAACTTGTGGATTGTCAAAAATAGTAACTTTAACTCCCGACCATTGCGTGCAACTTGTCAAAACTGACCATCCTTCGGCAGCTTAGACCGTCTTGGGTTGTCAGGCAGGCGGGTATTTTAAGCACTGGTTATAGTGATGCCACATACACTGGCAGTGCGAGCTGATGTTCTGTGTGAGGTGGAGGTGGTGTTACAATGCTGCCATGTTGTGTTTCAGCTCCATCAGGTGCTGGAGAACTGCAGTGTGCTGCTGTCCAACACCCCCCGATCCTGTCAGCCCCAGAACCTGATCACCTGCACATCTCAGCTTGCCTTCACCACATCTCGACTTGAGGCGGTCAGTACAACTCGTGTGGACATTACCTCTCATGTCTCTGAAGGGGAAATGGAAACTCAGACAACCTTAGTTGTTCTGTTTTTTATAAATGATATTGTATACAATTGTTTTTAACTAGTTGCCACTGTCTCAGTGAAAATATATGTCTCCAATTGCTATCCCTTCAAGTTTCTCCAGTTTCTATCCCTTCAAGTTTCTCAAGTTTCTATCTCGACAAGTTTCTCCAGTTTCTATCTCGACAAGTTTCTCAAGTTTCTATCCCGACAAGTTTCTCCAGTTTCTATCCCGACAAGTTTCTCCAGTTTCTATACAGACAAGTTTCTCCAGTTTCTATCCCGACAAGTTTCTCCAGTTTCTATCCCGACAAGTTTCTCCAGTTTCTATCCCGACAAGTTTCTCCAGTTTCTAACCTGACAAGTTTCTCCAGTTTCTATCCCGACAAGTTTCTCCAGTTTCTATCCTGACAAGTTTCTCCAGTTTCTATCCTGACAAGTTTCTCCAATTTTTATTGCAGCAAATTTCTCCAGTTTCTATCCTGACAAGTTTCTCCAGTTTCTATCCCGACAAGTTTCTCCAGTTTCTATCCCGACAAGTTTCTCCAGTTTCTATCCTGACAAGTTTCTCCAGTTTCTATCCTGACAAGTTTCTCCAATTTTTATTGCAGCAAATTTCTCCAGTTTCTATCCTGACAAGTTTCTCCAGTTTCTATCCCGACAAGTTTCTCCAGTTTCTATCCCGACAAGTTTCTCCAATTTCTATCCCTTCGTGTTTCTGCCTTTTCTGTCAGAGTGTAAAATGATGATAAACAGCACATTTGTATATCAGATGAATCAGATGAAAAGTTAACTTCATTTCTCATTGTTATGAACTTAAAAACATTGTGTAGATGACACCTGTAGCGCATTAAGAACCCTACTGATATAAACACCCTTTAATCAACTTCTAGTCCAGTGTGTCAGTAATCAATGGTCAATTTTCTAATTGCCTGGGGCACTTATTATGGCGAATGTCATGCATAGAATACTGCATACATCCTACAAATTTGTATGTGTTCAGGAAGGATTGTGGGTCTGGATCTCAGTTCACCCTCATTATGAGCTATGGTTTGTCAGCATATCTGTGTTGGTGGGTTTTCCCTTAAAGTGGTAAATGTCTAAGACCAGCATCGCGTTGTGACACAACAGCAATACTGTCATGAGCCGTTAGATCTGATTCACTCACTCACTCACTCACTCACTCACTCGCTCCTGTGCACAGCACTCAGGTCAAAAGTCAGGTGAAGTTAAGCCAAGTTGGTCGCGGAGAGTCCTTGGATGGGTGACCATGTTCGGCTGCTTGGCTCCTGAGTTTTTTAGGGCTTCGGTCCTGCCCCACACTGAAACACATGCAACACATGTGATGTCTCCTTGGGTGACTTTGTTCAAAATGTGTCTCTGTTCACCCAGCAGTGAATGGGTACCCGGTAGGATGACATGGCAGTGTTAACCTTCCCCACAGGCAGCTTGGGTTATATCCTCCAGGTAATAAGTGCTCTTTAAACAAACACATAGTGGATGGAAAACAGAGCCTAACAAATGAACTTATTTAGATTGTCTTATTATTCATTATTTCAGACGTTGAACTCACCAGCACTGAAACATATGAGGGGCGAACTGCTGACTCGACTGAAATCCCTGTACTACCTGGCCTGGTCAGCTGTTGACCGACTGGCAATGCTGGCGCCATTTGTCCAGGCAATGGTGGACTCGCACTCACGACAATCAGCAAGACAGGGATCAAGAAACGGGGACACAAAACTGACTTCTTAATATTTGCATGTCACCATGATTACTTTCTGTACTGAAGATATGTGAAGAGACAGATGATAAGGGTTAATTGTTGGGGTACCCGAGGGGTTAAAGCGTTCACTTGTCTTGTGATGCCCATTTATGGTGCCCTCACTGTGATATTGCTGGACTATTGACGTAAAACAATACTCGCCCACTTTAGACAGAAAAGTGGGTACTTTACTGTGATAATGTACCTGACTTAAATCTTAGCTCTGACCTTCTCCTATTGCTGGGTCTGAATCTTGACAACGAGTGATATCATTTTGGAGTATGTATATGTGGTACAACATGTATAATATATGTGTATACAATATGCATATGTATGACGCAGTGTGTGTTTGATACATTTTGTATACGATGTGTATATGCATATGTGAGTATGGTACAGTGTGTGTGTATATGTGTATACGATACGATATGTATATACATGACATTTGAGTATGAAACACTGTGTTCTATACAATGTGTATATGTGTACACGATATGTATATGTGAGTATGGTACAGTGTGTGTGTGTGTGTGTGTGTGTACGTGAATATGGTACAGTGTGTGTGTGTGTATGTGTATAAGATGTGTATATACATGACATTTGAGTATGATACAGGGAATCTGTGATACGATGTGTATACAATATGTATATGTGAGTATGGTACAGTGTGTGTGTATGTGTATACAAAGTGTATATACATGACATGTGAGTATGGTACAGTGTGTGTATGTGTATACAATGTGTATATACATGACATGTGAGTATGATACAGGGCATCTGTGATACGATGTGTATATGTGTATACAATATGTATATGTGAGTATGGTACAGTGTGTGTGTATGTGTATACAAAGTGTATATACATGACATGTGAGTATGGTACAGTCTGTGTGTGTGTATGTGTATACAAAGTGTATATACATGACATGTGAGTATGGTACAGTGTGTGTATGTGTATACAATGTGTATATACATGACATGTGAGTATGATACAGGGCATCTGTGATACGATGTGTATATGTGTATACAATATGTATATGTGAGTATGGTACAGTGTGTGTGTATGTGTATACAAAGTGTATATACATGACATGTGAGTATGGTACAGTCTGTGTGTGTGTATGTGTATACAAAGTGTATATACATGACATGTGAGTATGATACAGGGCATGTGTGATACGATGTGTAAATGCATGATATGTGTTATGTGAAGATCTAATTGTTCAAGACAATCAGCCTGACATCTTAAAGAGAGAGAATCATTACAACACACTGCAGTTGTACCAGTTCTGTACCACGGAGGAAATCTCAAAGTTTTAGCTTCCAACCAAACAATAGAGCAGTCGGAGAATATGAGCTACGAAGAATTACAGAATATCTAACCCGAGTAGATTTAATGGCACCAAGGCTTGCAACCTTCAGCATTAGTTTACAAGGGACAGATAATCTGTTATTCCTGTTTATAAACCTCCAGTGATGCTTTACCATTGTTACAACAGGTTGTTCTTTTCTCTGAAAATCCCTCTGCCCACGGGATTCTCGAGCTGTGCGCTTTTGACTGAGAACTTTCGAGTGCTACTACAATTGAAATTTCAGAATTAAAGTTATGTCATGTAAACAAGAAAGCATCTTCATATCTGTCGGTTTATAAGTCAGATATAAACCTTCTCCTAAGGCTATCCGGGAAAATAATGCACTCCAGCGCAGGAAAATCCCTTGGGCCTACGGCCCGTGGGCTTTTCCTTTGCCGGACTGCATTATTTTCACGGATAGCCCGCGGAGGCGGTTTATATCCTATACATGTATTACCCATTGGGTTTTTTTTTTGTTCGAAAATTTAGAGATATAAGTTGATAGTCAATATATTGTTGGAACATCATCTTTGATTGTTTACAGTGCATTTATTTATGTTTCATATTTTGTGATGTTTCAAACATTTTCCCTGGAGAGATTGTGTCGAGTCTCAGCAATTGATGATGCACTGAGGGGTCAACATGGGAAATATGCAAGTGATCTGTCATGTTGAACACTGTTTCATACTGTCCTGCAGTTCGACACATTGAGACATTCAATATCAGTGTTGTCTGTAGGATACAGGAGGATCAAGGGCTATACATTGTTATGTATATGTTTGTTGGTGTGAGATATGAAACATTGTTATTTATAAGTTTGTTGGTGTGTGAGCTTTGACACAATGTTATTTATGTGTTTGTTGGTGTGTGAGATATGACGCATTGTTATTTATTACTGAATCCTCCAGATCTGATATTCTAAGTGATACTGTATTTTTATTGAGAGTGTTGTATATTTCCCTGTTACGTTTGTTACATGTAACAGTTTAACCTGCTATGAGAACGCAGCTGTATCAAGGAACTACCCTTATCCAGGTGTCAATGCCTTCAAAAGTAATTTTATCATTTTTCTAATTTTAGGTGGTTTTTTTGTATGCAGTCTAATCAAGTAAAAATAATATAGGCCTTATAAAATGACTTTGTGTCAATCTCCAAATACTGTTTTAAAGTTTTTATAGTGCTCTTAAATTTGGATTTTGTGTGCACCCAGTGTCTTTAATATGATTTGGATGAACTCTTCAAGGAGTGTAACAGTGTGAAGTACCTGCGCATGAAGGATGTCACGATGTGTCTTCCTTTCTTTCTTTACTTGATGATAGGCACCATATATATACACCATATATATGGTATACCATACATACACCATATATACACCATATATACACGGGGGCACAGGTGGCCCAGTTGACTAAGGGCATGCCAGAAACCTATGATTGTGGGTTCGAATCCCGGTTCGCCCCAATTATGTTTCTAGGTTTGTCAGCACCATACCCATGCTCATGGCCTCTACCGAAGTGGTAAATGTCTGAGACCGGTATTACTTCGGGCTTTCTTCCCACATTAAGCTGACATGCCACAATATAACTGGAATACTGTTAAAAGTGGCGTTAAATCCAACTCACTCACTCACTCTCCCATATATACACTATATACCAGGTCTTACCAAACAATCACGCTTTATGTGAATCACATCCGTCCACAGATGCCGTGATACGTTGTTTAACCAAAATAAAACAAAGAAAACAGTATGCCTCCTGACTCACAATTTTGAATAAAATTGGATGAAAATCTTATTATTTGTTGTGGCCTGATCTGAACTACTTGCCTGGTAGATGACTGCAACACTGTGATAATAACAATGATGATGAGTGAAATAATCTTGATGGTGACGACGTTAAACCCTATCTGGGAATCAAACCCATGTTAACAGGATTCTGACATGCCAAAGGGATGCAACTCTGCACAGACAATTGCAGTGATGACTTGGCCACCCATGAGTGTCAGATAACAAACAACTTCAAGACAGCTCTCAGTGGTTTCAGTCTTGAATGTCAGACAACAAACTACAAGACAATCATGTCAGTGGGATAATTACAGGCAAACCAAGAATTAGAATCAATATCACCAGATACTGGCAAGGCTAAGGGATGCAACTCTGCAAAGCAAACTGCAACAACTCAGAACACTGATAGAATAAATGCCGACTACATGGTGATGAAAAGTCTGCGCCATGGCCTGCATATTGTGCTGATCAACACAGCGATATTCAACTCCATTGCTCATTCAGGCGACCATGAAGATACGCAACCCATGCTTGCCGTAAATGACGACTATGCATGTCGTTAGTGGCGACTAAAGGGATCGGGTGGTCAGACTCGCTGATTTGGTTGGTGCATGTCATTGTATCCCAATTGCGTGGATCGATGCTCATGATGTCAATCACTGGATTGTCTGGTCCAGACTCGATTATTTACAGACCACCGTCATACAGCTGGAATATTGCTGAGTGTGGCGTTAAAATACAAACAAAAAAACAAACAAACAGTGATGTTGTGCAGGAAATCAGTCTGTGGCGATCAGTCACTGGGACATGTGACCAAGTACTAGCATTCATGGTCTGAGAAGCATGGAGGATGTTTGTCTATACCAAGTTTTAGCCATTTGTTAAGATTTATTTTGTCAAAAGCTTTCATGGCATCAATAGAACATACAAATGTAGATTATCTTGGCAACTTTCTATTATTAATAACGGAAAGTAAACTATATATGTTCTTGTGTGCTTCACAAAAGCCTAATTCACACTACTTAAAGGCTGTAACGCATTAGAATACTTGTATATTCTATCAAACAAGGTTAAAGAACACCCGATTCTTTCATATTACTATAGTTAATTTGCCATATAACTATAGTAGTTATAAAGGAATCGGGTGTTCCTTAACATCTTTTGAATTGCGTCGCCTTAGACGAATGGGCCACCCGTGTCCACAGTTGGGATATATATGTAATATGTTGCCTACCGGCAGTCCCTAAATTTATTTCAGGTTATATTAACTGTAATCCTTTAGTCCCGATGTTGTTACACCATTCCAAAGGTCAGGAAAGTTGAAAGAATTTTAGCCCTCACAAAAATATTACCTGTTTCTCATCACATTTTTTTAATGGATAGGTAGGTTGATTTTAGTTGGGGGTTTTATTATTTCGATTTCCCAACCTCACTAATATTATTGCACAATTAAAACCAAATGACCCTCCTACGAAGCTTAAAAATCTAAAAGGCTTTCCTGATTTACAAAATCACGGAAGACATTGCTGGTCGTCAGCAAGGGTTACTTAAATAGAAATGCAACTTTGGAATGAAAAATGGTTATAATCGGTACCGATTTAGCATGCGATTATTTTAACAAATTTAAACTTTAGGCCTGGTACGACTTTCAGGATTGGGCAGTGATGGGAAACAAGAGATGTTTGTTTGTGTGGCCTTATAAACTCCCGTTATCACGTGAAGCAGTGTCACGGCACATAAAGGACATGGAAGGCATGGTCATCTCAAACTAACGCAGTTGGCAGGAGGTTAGTCTGTCTTACCGACCCTGAAACAAATATATCCAATACACCCCTTGCAAGTCTATGATGTTTAGCAAGTCTAGATTACTCAGTATCTGAAAATGAAGAGAGTCTCTGTGCTCCCTTTTATTAAATTTTTATTAAGATAATTTTACAACTGTTTTCTTCTGCGATATGTTCATTTCAGAGACTAGATGTTGGTCTAGCAAGAGGTCTTGCCGCGGGTTAGTAGGCCTACTGCTGAAAGTGAATATGGTCGTCAGATAATGCACACATTCGATTTAATCTTTCCATGTACATTTTTCACTGTCTACTTTTGAGGGGAAAAACACAGTTAACCACAACTTGACACATATTTGTGAACGTATGTTCATATGTATAAGTATATATGTTTTCTGTATATCGGCCGGATACTCTGCATGGGTACTATGATCTTCCGTGATCTTTAATGCAGTTTGCCGATTTCAGTACGTTCTCTAAATACATACAACTGAACCTTATAAAATACTTCACTTCTTACAGTTTTGCGATAAAACTTATATACAAACGTGTTAAGGTGATATTTTAATTTCACTTAAAATAATTTTGTTATCAATAACACCTTAAATGAATATGCCACAAATACTGATGTTTAATAAATAACAGATCGTCTCTGAATCATATGCACATTCAATTTGTCAGCGCTGTCAGAGAGAGTTACCTGCCGTTTATTGTCATCTTGGGGCCTCTCTAGGGTTTTACTGAAAGAAATAATATTTGAAATGTTAAATTCGCCGCAACTCGTCTTTTATTATCATCTATATTACGAATTAAAATCTTAATTTAAATCAGCTGATATTGGACTTCTACACATTCACGTGAATAACACAGAAATACATATTCACGTAAATAACACAGACATAACCAATCCCGCACAGGGCCTCTAATGACACCTCACCCTTGAGGAATCCTAATCGAGTCGCTAGAGGGCGCAACAATCACAGGTGTGTGACCCAGATTAAATTCTATGTAAAGCTTCAACCGCCATAGAAAGACGGAAGTGGATAAACTACTCAGGTAATATTTATGTAATTTTACACATATATTGGCACATGTTAGGTATTGCGTTCCCCTCACCTGCATACCGCGTCAGGTGAACGACTTCAGTAGGGCCGGCGACTCTTTGATCCTACCTGTGCTCAGGTATTTCTGGTTTTGATAATAAACTCAGGTTGACAATGAGAGAGGAACTATGTATACATGCTGGTCTCGCTTACCTGGGGGAAATCATTTATTAAGTACAGATCATTGACAATTTCAAACCTGATTGACATCTTGCTTGTTTGCGACGTGATCTAAGACGGTCTAAATTTAGTATGAGTAGAAACATTTATTAAGGATATGTTGTAAGTTTGAATAGTTGTGGGTAACTTTTAGTTTAGTTAGTCAAATTTAGGAATCTGTCATATATGGCTAATGTAAGAAAATATGCCACCACAACCCTCCCGATACAGATATTTTGTGAATGCGAATGTGCCTATGCTGTTTCAATAACTATCTATCATACCTACTTAAGTTTGTCAGTGAAATATCAATATCCTGTTCACGTTCTCCGCTGAGCAAATATAGTACTAGAGCTCCAGGATTTAAGCCAATGAGTATGTTGTCTGTTACTCACATGGTGTCATTCATCATGTTCATACTGGGTGAATAGTTTTATTTGAGTATTCAATTCTTTTTTTCTCCTTTGGGTGTTTTAAATCAATAATAACCAATTTAAAAAATAATTCTGGTTAAAATGTTGTTTTTGGTGATGATTTCTGCATTGTTCTCTGGAGTTGAGTTTATGTATGTGTTATACCTCCATTCAATCAGCAAATAAAGAAAGGCAAACTGAACAGACAACATTGGGCGATGAGACAGTAGGCACAGTGTCAGGCAGTAGGCACAGTGTTAGACAGTAGGCACAGTGTCAGGCAGTAGGCACAGTGTCAGGCAGTAGGCACAGTGTCAGGCAGTAGGCACAGTGTTAGACAGTAGGCACAGGGTTAGGCAGTAGGCACAGTGTCAGGCAGTAGGCACAGGGTTAGGCAGGAGGCACAGTGTCAGGCAGTAGGCACAGTGTCAGGCAGTAGGCACAGTGTCAGGCAGTAGGCACAGTGTCAGGCAGTAGGCACAGGGTTAGGCAGTAGGCACAGTGTCAGGCAGTAGGCACAGTGTTAGGCAGTAGGCATAGTGTCAGGCAGTAGGCACAGTGTTAGGCAGTAGGCACAGTGTCAGGCAGTAGGCACAGTGTTAGGCAGTAGGCACAGTGTCAGGCAGTAGGCACAGTGTCAGGCAGTAGGCACAGTGTTAGGCAGTAGGCACAGTGTCAGGCAGTAGGCACAGTGTCAGGCAGTAGGCACAGTGTTAGGCAGTAGGCATAGTGTCAGGCAGTAGGCACAGTGTTGTATATTTTTAATTGGGTTTTGGAAATTTTCCTTCTTTAGCATGTTTAGTATGCAAGGTACACAAAGTTCTGTTGGTAATCTGCAGCTTATATGCAGGCCTGTGAAAAGGTGTACATTTTAGCAAGACTTTGTTACTTTCAGTTAAAAATGTTTTGTGTTTCACAAAAAAAACACTGATTTAGGATGGTGGCATTCCTTGAAAAAAACATCAATGTTTCTTGAACTTACCTCAGACAACATATAATCTGTCTTGCCGGACAGTAATTAGACAATAATTGTGAATACTGTGTTAATTTGAGGCTATTTGTGTTAATGGGTGCATATTGGGTGGCTAATTTAAACCTTTGAAAGCCATATGTCATAAAACAATTTATAAATGTCAGAAAAGTAGCTGAGATAATTAGCCATAGTCAGTGAACCAGAAAATCAGCTTATTGGCCTAATATACAATCAGTTGCCCTGAGGCTCTTGGGGATTATGAGGAGATGTCTTAAGCCCCTAGGACAACTACTGCAGTGAACTGAACCATACATATTCACAGCTGACTGGTCAACAACGTGCTTGAGGTATTCACTGTCAATCCACTGCATCTTTCCGTATTCAAACTGGCCTCCAGCAACCTATGCTTGTCGTTAGAGGCGACTAAGAAAGGATTGGGTGGTCGGGCTCAGTGACTTTTTGATGCCTGTCATCGACCGTAGCGTCATGGATAGTTGTTCAAAATATCAATCACTGCATTGTCTGGTCCAGATTCGATTACTAACAGGCTGTTGTTATATAGCTGTAATATTCCTGGGTGTGGCGTTAAATAACAAACAAACATGCTGCATCTCCAGGAATCCAAATAACATTTTTACAGTATAGTCCAAATACAACAATAAATCATGATATGTGGGTTTATTCTGTTTATGTAGCTGGACATAGTTTTCTTATGTTTATGGTGATGTGAGGGGCACGGGTGACCCAGTCGCCTCAGGCGCAGCAATTAACCGTGCAGAGTTGCATCCCTTGGGCATGCCAGAAACCTATGATTGTGGGTTCGAATCCCAGTTCGCCCCGGTTATGTTTCTAGGTTTGCCAGCACCATACCCGTGCTCGTGGGATTCACCGAAGTGGTAACAGCCGGGACCTGCATCACTTCGCGCTTCCTTCCACATCATATTAAGCTGACACACCGTGATTAACTGGAATACTGTTCAAAGCGGCGTTAAACCCAACTCACTCACTCACTATGTTGATAAGATGAATGATGTCTGAACCTGCTGGAACTGTAGTTAATTTTTTGCAACATTTGTACATGATGAATAAACATGGTTAATTATTGGAAGATGTTTGTGAAGAGCAGTAGTAATAGAGTAACTAGTATGAGTTGTAGGAACTCGCACACGGTAAACAGTCCCTTTGTTTCAGACAGTTTAGATTTTGAATCAACATATTTCTGTCGTCTAAGGTGCAGCATTTTGCTGTCCAGAGTTTTGTCCCTTAGGCATGCCAGAAATTCTCATCTTCTTGAGGCAAGCGTGTCCACTAGCCTAGATCAAAGCCTAGTTTCTACCCTTGCCACATCAAGGCCACTTTTTGCCTCGACCCTGGTGCCACCTCGCGTACATCATGAGTTGTGCCCCTTGTAATGAAAACGCTATGTTCTGATCTCTTATAGCTTCACAAAGATGGCGACTACCGTAGGCGACAACCTAGTCGATCAGATTACGAAAACATTTGCGATTTCATCCCTGACTCAAAAACATAGGCAATCGTTGGGGGGTTTAAAAGATGAAAAATATGTGTCGACAAAGACAGGCAGCGATAAATCACTTTCATAAGAAGGTTTTCCAGTCATGGGTGTTGATTTTTTTAAACATTCTCTGATTGGACTATCGATTTGTGCGAAAGTCCAATCATATTTAGCACAGGAAAGTGGGCTTGATGTGGCAAGGATGGAAACAAGACTTTGATAAAAAGGCTAGTGGACGCTCTTGCTTTGAAAAAATGAAAAATTCAATGATTGGAAGTTTCAAATTGTGGTTTGTTTCTATGTTTGTCTGTGCCATACCCATGCTTGTGGGTTTCGCCAAAGTGGGTTTCCACTGTGCATGCATAACTTCAGGCTTTCCTCCCATATTAAGCTAACATGTTGTGATGTAACTTGAATACTGCTCAATGTGGCGATAAACCTCTCACTCACTCACTCACTCACTCACCCACTCACTCACTCACTCACCCACCCACCCACCCACCCACCCACCGTGCAGTTTTTGTTTTGTGTTAATGTGAATTTTGTTTTTCCAGGAAGTGATGACAGAATGATAAAGGCACTTCTAGCATTAGCCTTGGTGCTGTCTGTGGAGGCTCAGCAGCTGTTTAGTAAGTCTAGAAACCTTCACTCGAACCACAGAACACGCTGAACTTTATCATGTTTATTTTACAACATTGTTTATTTTATAGTGGGGGCGGCCAGGTAGCCTAGTGGTTAAAGCGTTCGCTCATCCCACCGAAGACCCGGGTTTCATTCCCGACATGGGTGCAATGTGTGAGGCCCATTACTGGTTTCCCCCCGCCGCGATATTGCTGGAATATTGCTTAAAGCGGCGTAAAACCATACTCACTCACTCACTTATTTTATAGATTTTATTAACCATGGTAAGGCCAAATATATGTAAACAAATAGGATTTTCTGAAGGAAACACTGACTGATTACCTATTTCTTAACCATATTATTTATCATTATGTTTCAAAGTAAAAGAATATATCACTATGGATACTGATATGCATGACCATGGATGCAGTGCTCAAGGGCATTGATCATGGTGACATACTTTACAGTACACCAGACACATGAAGATCCAGGTTAGAAAAGGTCTTCAGCAACCCATGCTTGCCGTAAAAGTCGACTATGCTTGTCGTAAGAGGCGACTAACAGGATCGGGTGGTCAGGGTCGCTGACTTGGTTGATGCATGTCATCATAAACCAATTGCATGGGTCGATGCTCATGATATTAATCACTGGATTGTCTGGTCCAGACTCGATCATTTACAGACCACCGTCATATAGCTAGAATATTGCTGAGTGCGATGTTAAACAACAAACAAACAAAGAAGCAGAGTACACCATGGTCTGTGAAATAGTGTAGTGTGACATGTATGTAAAGTGGTTAGCATGGTGAGGGGGAGACGAGTTTTGCTTCCTTGAGAGGCATTTGAGGGTTGGAGTAGTAAGTAGATAAGATATATGGATTAACAACTTCTTTGTTACAATTAGGAGGGATGTTCGGTATAGATTCTAATAAAGACTTCAAAATCAGAAAACTCCAAGAAGAAATCAACCTAAAAAACTCCCACCATCAATCAACCGTGATCAAGGTTATAACATACCCCCTGCATCCCCCCTCATCAAAGACGGAGCCAATCAGTCACAATCCTTTTGTTTAAACTACTGGCTTCACCTGTTAAGATGTTTACCTCATACCTCCTGTCTTGTGTACTGAACTTTCTTCTCCCCTCCAGTGTAACTACATCCCAATCTACTCTACTGTATAAACACTGCCTCCTATCACCTATATATACTTGTCAACCATACTCTGTACATCACTTGCTTGATAACGGTTTATAGAACCTACACCGAAACGTTACTCCTGATTGTAATAAAGAAGTTCATCCGTATATCTTACCCTGACAGAGAGTATTGCTGTGCATACCACGATATAAATTTTGAACTGTGGTTTATCATTTAAGTCATAGTTATTAATAATACTGATTTGAGAAAAAACTCATTTTATGTTAAAATATTAATAGTTGTCCCATACTGTGAAATGTTAATGAATTAGGAAGAGAATATATGGATGTCAACTCCTTCATTATGAGGAACACAATGTTTCGGAGTATATACTTACTCCGACATTAGGTGGAGGAGTAAACATAACTCTGAAACATTGTGTTCCTCATAATAAAACGTCGCTATATAAGTGCAATAATCTTAGACGCGAGGTTAACCCCATTTCACCTCACCTCATAATAAAGAAGTTGGCATCCATATATTCTCTTCCTTATGTTTATCACTTCTAAATGCCTTTCAAAGACCTTAATAGAATGATTCTGATTGGCTGTTTCAGATTGCCCAGACCAGTGGTACTCCAATGAGAACAAGTGTTACAGATTTGTAGCCTACCCCAGATCCAACTATGAGGGGGCTTCTGCCACATGCAGGGTGAGTGAGGGAGTGTTTGGTTACACACTGTCTGAGCTAATACAGCAATACCACCACTGCCTGTACATGTTCATCCTGTAGAGGTTCTGGGTTTGAATTGGTCCCCTGCAACCTATGCTTGTTGTTAGTGGCAACTAAATGGATCGGGTGGTCAGGCTCGGTGACTTGGTTGTGTTTGTTTGTTTGTTGTTTAACGCTGCATTCAGTAATATTCCTGCTTTATGATGGCGGTCTGTAAATAATCAAGTCTGTACCAGACAATCCAGCGATTGACATCATGAGCATCGATCTACACAATTGGGATACGATGACATGCATCAACCAAGTCAGCAAGTCTAACCACCGTCAGTCGCCTCTCGGTGACATGGTTGATGCATGTCATCGGGTGGTCAGGCTCGGTGACTTGATTGATGCATGTTATCGTACCCTTACTGTGTGGACTGTTGCTTCATAATACCAATCTCTTGATTGTCAGTCCAGATTTGATTGTTTACATGATCAAACGCCATATAGATGGAATATTGCAGAGTGCTGTGCCAAACAACGAACAAGTATTCTAGTCCAGGCCAAACAAACCAGTGATTGATAGCATGAACAACAATACAGCCTGTCGGACAATGACCACAGTCAGCTAGGTCACATATTGTAGCCACCTTATCCTCAGACTGGATGAGTCTCATCAGAAGTATTCAGTATTGAGGATCTGTTTTACCGTGGCATTGGTTTCATCCTCGATTTCCAGGATATTATATTGCCATTTTCTCATGATAAGTACCCTAGACCCAGTCTCCATCATAGCTTTGTTATGGAAATAATTTATTGTCACGGTCTACACCTCTTCTTAGTCCCACACTGAGGACACAACATTTCAGGCCCATGAGAGTAGTTTGACTATACATAATTTGGTTGTTGGGCTATTCAAAAGAAATTTGAATTTGAAATTTGGTAATTTGAAACATAGAAAGTAGATTTAATACACTTGATAATTAACCATGGGATAGGTAAGAAACTAATCAGATGTCTATTTTTAATAATCAAAATACAGTTTTACTATTTTACCCATGTTGTTGAATATTTTTCGTCTGCAGCCCTACTGCTTTGTTCTGATATCAAACTCAACCATGTTGAATATTTCTAAGCCATTCCATAAATGTTTACACTTTTTTGACTATGATATTGTAAATACAGCCAAATCTTTCACTGCATGTTTATTTGGCGTTGTTTAGGTCTATAAGTGATTTATTAATCCTACATGCTTTTCATTTGGATTCCTCTTCCATGACTTTTCCAGGAGGATGGCGCCATGCTCCTTAGCGTCAATACCATCGCGGAACACAGTTTCATAGTTAACTGGTTGGAAACCAACGACCAACGAAGGTAGGAAAAATATGAATTACATGGTTCACCATGTTCACAGAAATTACAGTTTGCTTGCATCTTGAGGGAATGTACATGTAATCTGAGCAGCTTACCTCCCTTAGATAGAACTTCCTGTTCTTCCGGCTTACCTCCCTTAGATAGAACTTCCCGTTCATCCGGCATGACAAGCTTGTTCAGTAAGGCCAAGCTAAGTGAACAGATTGTTTGTTCTCAACTACTGACTACAGCAGTAGACAATCCTGAGTTTCTGCTTCATGGCCCAAACTAACAATTCTGACACTCTGGTACAGGGAGCAATTTGGCCTCCATCCTCTGTCATTCAGGGTAATATAGACGTGACATGGTTATGTACCCTGAATGTTACATCTGCCTCGAAAATGTGATTCATGTGTTAATATAGTCACGATAACCAGCCAATCAAACGCCACAAACTTTCAAACTGAACAACCAATGTGTTGATATCAATGTATGGACCTTTTTTCTTCTGAATGAAAGAAACAGTATATGGCCCTTTTTGTGATATTTATATTGCACACTGATGCTCATCATCATAGCTTTCCAAATTTTAATCTAATTCCACAATTTTAAAATTTTGTTAACATTGGTTAAAATGCCTGTCTGATGAACATTTACAGATGATACTTTATTAGTTATATTTTTTAATCTAATTTTTTAATTATTCCAGCAAATGCTCACTGGCACATATATACGCACACAGTGTATTACAACTGTCAAGAATAATGTGATTCATTGGCTGGTTATTTTTAGACGTGAATCAAGTTGTTAGTGTTTGTTTGTTGTGCAGTAGGGTCAAATACTGGTCTGTCTGTATGAACATGTTGTTGTTCTTCACACATACTATCTTTTTGTTTACTGTCATTCAGTTTTCCTCAGCATTCATATATCATTTGTGTTGCTTAAAACTTTCTCAGAATGATATGTTATTTAAAGTTATGGATTGCCCTTTTACATCGATGTTAGGTGCATGAGTAAAGCTACTAGATATATACGTAACTAGAAGTGCTCACTGCTGTGTGAGATGTATGTTCATGCTTCTCAAAACTGTTAATGTGGCAAATACCAACTTCGGGATAAAGATACAAAATTCTACAGTAAAGTCACAGTTCGGACCAAGCCCAAGGTTTGAAATAGCGCTTTGTCTTTTTATTTTGAATACAAGATAAGCAGGGAAGTTTATATGTATTAATATCGTGAGGCGGTTGTGACCGGAGAGGTTTGAGATATCACTACATTCGAGATAATGGGTTGGACTGTAATTCTGATTAAGCCCCTGTGAAGAGTCAGGTTAGAATTGGTCTTCAGCAACCCATTCTTATCTCGCAAAAACTGTGTAAGCCCTGCTTGTGATATATGTAACGAAGTTATCACTACGGTTCACAAGGTACAAAGGATTACTTTCGGCGAGACACATAATCCATCACTGTCTGTATGAAGAGTGGACAGGGTCAGTATTGAAGCCACAGAAAGTGATGTCACATCAAAGATTATGACATCCAATTTCCGTTCAGCTGGAATCTTTACGGAGTAATGATAGTGCTAGCTACAAGCATACTGAGACAAGTAATCAGAATACGGAGGACATAGATGTCCTGTAGATCAGTTGGTTGGTTGGTTTGTTGTTTAACACCGCACTCAGGAATATTCCAGCTATATGACGGTGGTCTGTAAATAATCGAGTCTGGACCAGACAATCCAGTGATTAATATCCTGAGCATCGGTCCACACAATTCGGATCGTTGACATGCATCGACCAAGTCAGCGAGCCTGACCACCCGATCCCGTTAGTCGCCTTTTACGACAAGCATAGTCGCCTTTTACGGCAAGCATAGTCACCTTTTACGGCAAGCATAGTCACCTTTTACGACAAGCATAGTCACCTTTTACGGCAAGCATGGGTTGCTGAAGACCTATTCTACCCCGGATCTTCACGGGTCCCCTGGAGATCAGAGCATGCTTTCTTTCTGTGTTATTATTTCCTTGCTCTTTCCTCCACAGACGCGAAAGCTTGAATGATCCTTCAAAGTGAGAATAGATGTTTGCCTGTGTTGATGAAATGTGCATGGTTTGGGGGCTTTTGGTGCATTGAAATGTTGAATTACTTGAACATATCTCTTTAAAATCGGATCTTTTACTCTCGATATGATACTTCTCTGAGTGGACCTGATGACACATCCATAGAAGGTTGACGGGTGTAGTCGGAACTTTGACGGCCCGATCTAAATGAAGAATGTATTTGTTCTTGAGCAAATCGGATATCAGCTTTCTAGAATTTCTTTGCCACCATAATTCAGGAAATTTCAATGTTAACGAAAAGACAAAAACACCGAGCAGAAATATTCCTTCTATGGCACTCCCTTTACGAAGTGGATGCCACGGAACTCAGAAGTGACACAGTGTGTAAACTGTCAACAACAATATAATGACAGTCTTTATTATTTAGACTACCGGGTAACTTTGTTTTCAAGGTACAGAACAGAGCTGTAGACAAGCTATGTATTTTTGCAAAATATGTATTAGATATTCTGAAATATGCAGAGAAATCAAATCTAGCGTATCAAATATGCAACAAAAACTTAAAAAACCCACCATCGAAATGAAACTAATGTGTATATTACAACTGATCAGTTAATTGCGAAATTCATTTGCCGACAGTTACATTTGGTAAAACATGTGTATACTACTATTCATTTGGTGTTAATGATTTACAGGGATTGTTATGAAACATGGTTTTAAGTTAAAATACCCAAATGTAAAGAAACGGGGGTCAAAACAATTTGAAAACCCACTAAAAATTGTGGATACCCAACAAAAAACAGACCCATTGGTTAAATACGCAAATAACCTCTGCAGAATTCAGATACGCTGGTCTGAATGTTTTGCTCTTTTGTACTGAGAATATAGAAGCCTTTACCCTGATTAGAAAGGTCACATGATGTGACCTATGGATGGTATCGGTAAATGATCTGATTTTAATGACGTTGAAATATGTTAAAATGTTGAACTTTAAGCAGACTACTTTATTGAAATGATAATGATGTTCGCCACTGTCACAGTCATTTCAATCATGTAGTCTTCAATGGCGACATGGCATGTTATTTTCACAGTTCTTGTGATCATTCACGAATGCTTTGAGCTTCCGGTACTGACGATGTCTGTGCATGAAATATGTAAATGGATTTGTCGACATTGTGATGAAAGTTCCACGAAATATTGGATGATTCTGCTTTGTTCCATGCGATGGATGTTGCCATGGTAACAGAAATTGGAGGTCAGATCATTATGGCATACCATGGTACAATGATTCTGCAAGGATATTGGCTGATGAGATTGTCAGCTGATCTCAGGGTGTCATAATTAGCACTGCATGAATTGTTGGAACTAATACCGGTACACAGAAATGTTTTTGCCTTCAGGTTTTCATTGTGTCAGGTTGATTTGTTTTGCTTCCCTTCCGACATGTTCAAAGTCATTAGATTACTGCTACACCCACCAAGGTTGTGGCGTCATCTGTTACCATGACGTCACAATCAAATGACATCAATAATTTCTCTGACTCTGATGCTGGTTAGCTGTACTTGTTACACACAAGACATTGGTTATTACTCTTTACAAACTGGCGGGGGGCACGGGTGGCCCAGTCGTCTATGGCCCCGCGATTCGCTGTGCAGAGTTGCGTCCCTTGGGCACGCCAGAAACCTGTGATTGTGGGTTCGAATCCCGGTTCACCCAAATTATGTTTCTAGGTTTGTCAGCACCATACCCGTGCTCGTGGGTTTCACCGAAGTGGTAAACGTCTGAGACCTTCATCACTTCAGGCTTCCCTCCCACATTTAGCTGACATGGACTCCCACCCTTGTGTCTTTTCATATGAAATATATCAACACTTGTCGTTAAAAGTATAAAACTCCTTGGGAAGCCTGGGAGTTTAAAGCTTTTATCAACCGTGTTGATATATTTTATATCGAGAGACACTTGGGTAATATGATCTATATAACGGCTGCCTCCATTACTGTTATAAATATATTCCTTGTGGATGGGGTGGTCTCGTAGTACATGCTTTGGCTTGTCACACTAAAGACCTGGGTTTGATTTCCCCACATGCTTCCAGTGTGTTCAGTCTTCTTGTTGCTCCTTGTCATGATATGGGTGAAATCTTGATTTAAGCAGCATAAAACAATACTCACTCACGCACCGATGGTACCGAATTCTACTGTTTGATGAAATCTGTGATTAGCATAACATTGGCAGAAGCAGCATACTTCTTTTGGCTTCAAACTGACAAGGACATTCCAAAGATCGCTTTGCATTAAAAATAATCCAAGGGATTTCTTTATGACTAAGACAGAAATTTGTTCAACGATAAATTGTCCTTACAAGTCAGATTTTAGAATTATGATATTCATATGGGCCATAACCAGGCCAAGACTTCTATTAGTTTTTTTCACCTACTGATTGAGTTCAAACTTAAAGATGATTTAAAAATCCTGTAAAGAAGTTGTTACCGGTATCCATAAATTGTGTCTACTTTGTATATCAAGGAAGTTTGTTTGTCCGTCTGTCCGTCCGTCCTTCCAAGGACATTTTTGTGTGTGACCTTTGACTTGAAAACTATGCCATAGATTCTTTGAAAACTTGGTCAATACTTTCTATATCAATAGAAGAGGTGCAGTGAGAATTTATATTTCAATATATGGATTTTCTGAAAAAATATGGATATTTTTCAATTTTTTGTTTTTTTGGTTTTTTTTGCTTCAACATTTGTGCGACCTACAATGTGAAAACTACTTCATGGATTCTTTTCCAATTGGGGGTACAGTACATTTTCTTTTCCAATAAGGGGCGGTCAGGTAGCCTAGTGCTTAAAGTGTTCGCTCCTCATGCCGAAGACCCGGGTTCGATTCCCGACATGGGTACAATGTGTGAAGCCCATTTCTGGTGTCCCCTGCTGTGATATTGCTGGAATATTGCTAAAAGTGGCGTAAAACCATACTCACTCACTCACTCACTCTTTTCCAATAAGAGAGGTGCAGTGCATAGTTTGATTTTGATAAATGAATTTTCTGAGAAAATATTGCTTTTTTCATGTTTTGAACTTAGATACACGTGTATGCTGGAGTTGAAGTCGAGGGTATTAGTGAGCTCTGCACACTTTTTGCATTATTATTATTATTATTATTATTATTATTATTATTAGTGTGTTATGAATGTGTTTATGATTACCTCTCCCCAGAGACGAGTGGTTTACCAGCGGCTCAGTCACCGTGGGGGCTACCGGGGGAGTCCGATGGAACGGAGACGGAACCTTCTCTCGGGGGTTCAGCTTCTGGCTCAACGAGACCTCGAACCAGGAAGATGGTGCACGGGTCGTGTATGCCTTCTCAGGTAATGGAAGGTGTTATTGTGTCATTCATTCCGATTTCGGATCTCTTAAGATTATTTTGTCAATCCCAATTTTATATTATTATATATATATATTTATGATGATGATGATGTTGTTGTTGTTGTTGGATGTAACGTACATGCTCTTCAATGGCTGCAGGTAACAACTATGGCTGGGGAGTCACACGCACCACGGGAACATTGTCTTTCATCTGTGAGATCGATCAGACCGAGGCTTATAGGATCGTCCAGGAAAATCGAGACTTCGGTTTGTTTCTTTGCACTTATCTGTATTTATAGTGTACCATTTTCACATCGCACCATTAGCGGCTGTTATGGTGTATAATATATAGAGGTTATCAGGCGAGAGTGTTTGGGGATGGTAAGTATCCTGTATTAGGACTAAACATTGTATTTAGCAAGCCTTGGCGACATAGTATTTACCATCCCCAAACATACAAGCATGATAACCATCCCCAAACATACAAGCATGATAACCTGTTTATCATATAATGTCATTCTTCAATTCTTTGCTCGAAAATCTCTTTCCATCTCTCACAAATATTACCTAAACATTGCTGGAATGTTGCGCATTAATATATATTATGTCAGAGGGTAAGTGATGTGTCAATCGGACAGTGACAGTAGCCAATAAAGTTCCAATAGAAACCAATTTCTTATACAGTGGTGTAACTACATATATACAAAACAACAATTGCCTGCACAAATTGTTTTTACCTGCCTTTTGCGGCAATCCATCGGTCTGTCCAATAGAGTAACTGCCCTTTATCAAAGGGAAGCTACTCTAACCCTAGTCTGTGAAACTTCACGGCCACACTCAGACGCTGTTGACAGTCGGCCAGTCCTGTCATAACATTACGAAGTGCAGTCAGATGTACACACAGCGACAAAACGAAACAAGATAACAATTCGAACATATTTCGGCCAAATCCAACTGTTTTAATTTGTGGAAAAGGTTCCAAGCCGCAGAGGTCTACAAGAACAGACATGTAAAGTGATCCCGTTTGCCTCTTGCCCTTGCTAAATTCTTTCGCAAATTATGTCTCCAAAGTTGCCAAAACTTGTAAAATGCCTTATCTACGTCACAGTAAGACACTGATTTTCAGTATATTAGACTGTTCTTTTCATAATGATAGCAATTATCCCTGTAGTTTCTCCAGATTTCCGATGGTTAATTCTGACTCGATCGACAAATGACAAGGGCTACGCCATGTTTTTTTATAAAGAGCGAAAGTAGTCCCTACTTGACCTTTGATATTTGCATCTCTATCTTCATATGACCCCAACGGATATCGTTTTTTCCGTTGGCTTTATCCTGCCGAGAAACCCAGCCATTATATGATAAATGAGGGTATCTTCCCTTGGCAGACAAGCCATGGACCCCTTGCGGGATGTAACAGTGTGCAACAAAGCCAAAAAACGAGGATCGTACATGGCATGATGTTCTCTGATATTTATTCGTCCAAACAAACAAAGAGTTCAACTCAAGTGCTGCAATCATATTCCTAGTTTGCATGAATACATCTTCCCGAGTTAACTCACTATAAAAGTACAGTTTCGACCCTTGCCGAACTAGGCTGGTATTATGGAGTTACATTTTGGCTGGGCTAACGAGTCTAAGTATAGTCCAATCAAAATCGCGCACCGAAATCGAAATCCGGTTTGTAAAATGGTGGAAACTGGACTTTTATAGTCAGTTAACTCCCTTGCCTCGGGAAGATGTCATGAATATTACATATAGGGTTAACATACCCCAGACCAATTGATCACGGGATGAGGTGGTTACAATGTGTGTCTTGCTTATTGTGTACCATACTCTGATGGCATGGATGATTTAACAGGCTATCACCATGATGACTAGCTGCGGTAAGTGATCATGTGCTACACCCCATTAAGGATTTTGATATTGACTTAGTGTCGCTACACAGAGCTATGGGCTTTTCCATCGTATTTTCCTGAAAGATTCCCGATCCGGAACATATCACACTAAAAACCCTGCCACAATGTATACGAATCGTAACCCCACGAACACGGCAACACGATTTGCTTCCTGAAGCACTGGCCTTCAAACATGTGTACTTATATTTTCGATCATGCAACCTTCTAAGTACTCATCGGTTTGAAATCATCGCGAGGTGCAGATTTTCATAAAGTATTTTTACCAATCTGGTCAAGTTTCTAACTCAATATGTTTGGTTTGATGTTTAACGCCGCAATATTCCAGTTATATGACGGTGGTGTGTAAATAAGCAGGTGTGTGGGTGTGAGTGACTGTGTGTGGGTGTGAGTGTCTGTGTGGGTGTGAGTGTCTGTGTGGGTGTGAGTGTCTGTGTGTGGGTGTGAGTGACTGTGTGGGTGGGTGTGAGTGTCTGTGGGTGGGTGTGAGTGACTGTGTGTGGGTGGGTGTGAGTGACTGTGTGTGGGTGTGAGTGTCTGTGTGGGTGTGAGTGACTGTGTGGGTGGGTGTGAGTGTCTGTGGGTGGGTGTGAGTGACTGTGTGTGGGTGGGTGTGAGTGACTGTGTGTGGGTGTGAGTGTCTGTGTGGGTGTGAGTGTCTGTGTGTGGGTGTGAGTGTCTGTGTGGGTGTGAGTGACTGTGTGTGGGTGTGAGTGACTGTGTGTGGGTGTGAGTGTCTGTGTGGGTGTGAGTGTCTGTGTGTGGGTGTGAGTGTCTGTGTGTGGGTGTGAGTGACTGTGTGTGGGTGTGAGTGACTGTGTGTGGGTGGGTGTGAGTGACTGTGTGTGGGTGTGAGTGACTGTGTGTGGGTGTGAGTGACTGTGTGTGGGTGTGAGTGTCTGTGTGTTGGTGTGAGTGACTGTGTGTGGGTGTGAGTGACTGTGTGTTGGTGTGAGTGACTGTGTTTGGGTGTGAGTGACTGTGTGTTGGTGTGAGTGACTGTGTGTGGGTGTGAGTGTCTGTGTGTGGGTGTGAGTGACTGTGTGTGGGTGTGAGTGACTGTGTGTGGGTGTGAGTGACTGTGTGTGGGTGTGAGTGACTGTGTGTGGGTGTGAGTGACTGTGTGTGGGTGTGAGTGTCTGTGTGTTGGTGTGAGTGACTGTGTGTGGGTGTGAGTGACTGTGGGTGTGAGTGACTGTGTGTGGGTGTGAGTGTCTGTGTGTGGGTGTGAGTGTCTGTGTGTGGGTGTGAGTGTCTGTGTGGGTGTGTGTTTGTTTGTTTGTTTGTTTGTGTTATTTTGCTGTATTTTTCTCAAGTATCTCTTTCTTCCGTTTCAGACTATGGATTCTCTACAGAGAACCCGAATGACATTCCTCGGGGACCTAAGTTCCTTGTCGAGCCGTCCGACACAACAATCCTGGGTTCAACAACAGCCGTTTTCATGGAGTGTGTCGCCCACGCTGTCCCCAACCCCAAGTACCAGTGGTATAGGATTGTGGGTAATCAAACCTTCCCACTGGATGCCACCACTGACAACCGCTACACTCTGACCAATGGCCGACTGACAATCAACAACCCAACCTCCCGTGATGAGAGCTACTATCAGTGCAAGGCGGAGAACTACCTTGGAACAGTGCTCAGCAGGACGGGCCAGCTCTCCTTTGGAGGTGGGTTTATGAAAACCTTTGGTCAGCCCCTTTTGATTCCTGTGGTACTCTCAAACTCATATAACCTGCCCTTGATTTTCATTAGCCAATTAGCTGCACTTACTCAGCCTAATGGACCAATCAGAATGTGAGTTACAAACCAGCCTCAATGTTGGGTTGGCACTCTTAACAATATGGCGGCCAGTCCACTGATTACAATATTGTTTGCAAGAAATTCAGTATTGAAAAAATGATTTTCACGTGAAAGAAGAAACTCAAAAATAGGAAAGGAAAAAGGATCTCTTTGTGTCCACTAAAACTGGCGGTGTCAAGACCTCCCTCAGGCTTAAAAAGATAATAGAATTGGTTCTCAGACAATGGCTTTTAAATATTGTGCGGTCGGGCAGTTGTTTTTTTTGTTGTTGTTCAAGCTAGTATGTAACCAAATTTTGTTAATAATAATAATCATGTTGTTCTTAAGTATTTTAGCATTTCGCTGCTAGGGTATTGTGTTCGAGTTGTGGAATATTTAAAGATTTAAACAATTTTTTAAATGGAAACAAAAATGATACCTGCAGCGGACGCAGGACTATTATATTTGTTAACCTTCCCCATTTCTATTTCCTGATGTTGATGTTAGATTTGGTCAGTAATGAAAATTAAGGGCGGGTAATTTGAGTTTGCAAGAATGACGGGAATGAATGTAGGTTTACCGAAATGCGAGCCCTGGTGGTATGTCCTTGCTAGAGATTCATGCTTGGCCAACGCCGTCTTGTAAAAATCCATGCAAGTTGTGTGGCGCCTGTACGGATTTCATTACGTTGTACTGATGTCGCGTCACAGTTTCCCTGCTGGAACTCAGAGTTATCAGTCTAAGAGATGGATGGCAGTCATAAGATAGATCTTATTTTACACAAATATTTCACTAAAGTTATTTCTTTGTAACTTGGGAACTGGAAGTGATTAATTTGTTACATGTGTGAGTTTACTTTACACGCTGAATTTACCTGTGAAGATTGGGTTAGAATTGGTCTCAAGCAACCCATGCTTGCCATAAGAGGCAACTAACAGCATTGCGTGGTCTGGCTCGGTGATTTCATTGATGCATGTCATTCATCCCAATTGCATAGATCTATTCTCATGATGTCAATCATTGGATTGTCTGGTCCAAACTTGATTATTTATAGACATAAACAAATACGTCAGGTGGTCAGACTAAGTGACTTCATTGAGTGAGTGAGTGTCATCATACCCCGACGGCGTGGATCGTTGTTTCCAATATCGATCACTGGATTGTCTGGTCCATGAGGCTGGAATGTTGTTGAGGGCAGCATTAAACAAGAAACCGCCAGTTGTATTGTGTGACCAACATATCTGTATTATGATGTTTCTGGTATTCTTCAGATCTTGGGGAATTCTCCAATGTTGGTGTAGCGCCGACAGTGACCAATGAATACGAGGGTGCTCAGCTGAACTGTCCTCCCATCACAGTAAAACCAGGTAAATAATTCAACTTACATACCTGTGACATGTCCGCTGTGTTTCTGGTGTACATATTATCGAACACGCTTATAACGGACTGACAGATATAACAAACTCTTTTTTAGGTCCCGGCCATTTGCTGTATATTTTAGTCAAAAAGAAATAATGTTTATAACAAACTAAAATTAGTGGTTCCTTTGAGTTTGTTATAATCATAGTTTACAGTAATCAGAAACTTTTGTTCATACAATATTGGGGCAGTGGGGTAGCCTAGTGGTTAGAGCATTTCCTTGTCGCGCTGAAGGCCTGGGTTCAGTGGGTACATAGGTACAATGTGTTAAGTCCATTTCTGGTGCCCATTTCCTGGAATAGTGCTCAAAGCAGACTGAAACTATATTCACTCGTACGAAATTGACAAGGATCTGGTAAAGTCCACTTCTCGAATAGGGAAGGCCCAGTCGTCTAAGGCGCCGCGATTCGCTGTGCAGAGTTGCGTCCCTTTGGGCACGCCAGAAACCTCTGATTGTGGGTTCGAATCCCGGTTGCCCTGATTATGTTTCTAGGTTTGTCAGCACCATACCGGTGCTCGTGGGTTTCACCGAAGTCGTAAACGCCGGAGACCTGCATCATTTCGGGGTTGCCTCCCACCTTAAGCTGACACACCATGATATCACTGGAATACTGTTAAAAGAGGCGTTAAACCCAACTCACTCACTTTATTATAAGGCAACAAAATTTAGTTAAGAAATCCTCATTGAATTTGTGTAGCACTAATAGAACAGTGAAATAGGCAGTCCCACCACAAAACCTCTGAGAAACAGGTTTGTTGTCTTTTTTTGTGATATTGACCATACTGTTGTTACTTTCAGCGGCCAAGTATCAGTGGTATAAAAATAATGTGGCTAACTTCATCCGTCCAAGTCTACAGTCCTACATCTTCATCTCGAACAACGGCAAGCTATACTTCTCTGAGGTGACACGTACTGATGAGGGGAGATATCATTGTATCGTTTCACTCACAAGTATTGGAGGGACCAGTAATTACGTTGGTTCTTCTCAGAATCCAAGTAAATCCAGTCTGGGCTTCAATCTCGATGTGGTCTCTCAAGGTATGTACACCAGAGAATTTTCATAGTGCTGGTAATCCAGGTTTGAAGTGGCATTATTGGGTGATTTCTTCTTTGTAACTAATCAAGAAATCCTTAGTTTTGTCGGAAATAGGCTGGGTCCGCACCTTTAGGTAGACCGTCTGCCCGGAGAGCGGGAGAGCGGTGGTTTCATCCACAGGCCACATTATAACCAAAAGTTGTTGAAAAATGGTATTTGTTGTTACCCTGCCTGGCACTCAGCATTAAAGGGATAAAACAGAGGCTCAGGGTCAGAATACTGTGCGGTAGCCATGTTAGCCATGTTAAACTGTGGCATGGTATTTCAGTTGGCTAGCACTATAAGCCGGCGTAAGATTTGCCATGATTATGTTTCTAGGTTTGTCTGCACCATAATCATGCTTGTGGGTTTCACTTTAATGGTAAACATCTGAGACCTGAATCAATGAAGGATTTCCTCATGCCATGATATAACTGGAATACTGTTCAAAGTAGTGTTAAACTAAACTCACCCACCCACCCACCATACATGGCTTTCTAGTTTCTGATTGATCATCTTTGTTGGTGTATATTTCAGCTGGAGGAAACTATCGCCCCATCATCCAGGATGACTTCATCTCGGTCTTCCCCTCGCAGCCCAAGAAGGGACAGGACATACAACTGGAGTGCTTTGCTTACGGAACGTGAGTACAGTGGGGATTCTGGGATAGTAGGTCCCCAGCAACTAGGGCTAAGACGAGTCCAAATTTATTACCCGGGTACCCAACCCCCTATTACCGCAATCTAATTAAAATCAGACCTAAGTTCTCACTGCCGCTAAGCAAAGATCTGAGGACATCCCTGACGGGTCACATCAGAACGACCTTTCATCCGACCTATCAAAGCGTCACTTACCAGATCATGAAAGTGACAGTCGGAATGTGTTTAGTCATCATTGATTAACGTTAATTAATCGTCTATCTCCTGCTTCCGTGGGATTATTATTTGAATGGAGGAGGCGTTGTACAGTACGTGGGAAGCACTGCTATACAATCTCAACCATATATTAGACATTCCGGAATGTTCGTTTGTTCAGTTTTCAAAATTTTAATCGAGAACTGTGTCAACTTATTTTTCAACCGTGGTCTGAAATGGAAGTCGCCAGGTTGAAACGAGTGCCGTAAAGCTCGAGAAAGCTGCTTTCTAATTGGCTGATTTCAACTTCTTGTTAGTCATTTCAGTTGTCGGTCAAAGTTTGCGAAAGGTCGTTCTGACGAGACCCGTAATGGGATGTTCTCAGATCTTTGTTTAGCGACAATGAGAACTTAGGTCTGATTTTAATGAAATTGCTGATTACCTGACCCTACCTGGGTACCTGCTGTAGGAAAAGTTTGACCGTAGCTCTGGTAAAATGTGTCTAGATTATGTATGAAATGATCTGGTGTATACACTGAAGTTGACTAAAGTTTTATTTTTATTCAAACATATAAAAGTCAGAAGGAATGAGAGTAGTAGTCAGGAAGAACTGCAAACATTAGTGACTTGTAGTTTAAACATAAGAGTTTTAGATACTTTCTGTCATGAAACTATATATCACGTGACTAACCACGGGTTCGAGTAGTCCTGTGGGTACCCAGTTCTTACTCAGTACCCACCCGATCCCAGTACCCGAGTTACCTGTGCCAGCCCTACTAGCAACTAGGGATGTGCGGTTTTATCGGTATACCGGTATATTGCATTACAAATTCATCACGATACGTATCGCGATACGTTTTTGGCCTATCTGTACCCGAGTTACCCGTCCCAGCCCTACTAGCAACTAGGGATGTGCGGTTTTATCGGTATACCGGTATATTGCATTACAAATTCAACACGATACGTATCGCGATACGTTTTTGGCCTATCGGTTTTTTCCCTCATTATTCAAACTGTGACAGACATGTATATGCCATGATGTATAGTCTTACCTTATTAAATCAAAACAAAGACAAAACATACTTTTTATTTGATTGTAGATAAAAATAATAGTACAATTTATTAAAATTTGTTCATAATTTTGACCAAATTGTTAACATTGCAGCTTTCATATTAATATTTGTCAAAGGGATATGAAAAAAAGCTTTTCACTTGGTAGAAATTATTTCCCAAAATATTGCAATAATATTGCAATATGTTTTTGAAATATTGCAATATATCGCAATACACTTTTTGGTCCAATTCCCAACCCTACTAGCAACCCATACTGCTCATACAAGGCAACTAAATGGATTGGGTGGTCTTTGATTTGGTTGATACTGTGGCAATGTATCCTGATGACATGGGATATTGCACATAATATCAATCACTGGTTTCCTGGTCCAGACATGATTATTTGTTGGCCACTGTCATATAGCTGGGGTAAGGGTTAAGCAACAAACAAATATTCTGTTCTTTGCAGTTTCTGAGTTTTGTGTGCAGTGTCTAAGATGAAATAGAGAATCGAGGAAAAATGTTTTCTATTTGTGTACGTCAGCTCGAGTTGATACATGTAGCATGGCTCTGAGGCTTGCTGTGGAGGGTTCTACTTCTACTTTCAACCATCTTCCCGAGGCAAGAGAGTTAACTGACTATAAAAGTCCAGTTTCCACCCTTGCCGAACTAGGCTGGTATTATGGAGTTACATTTTGGCTGGACTAACGAGTCTATGCATAGTCAAATCAAAATCGCTCACAGAAATTGAAATCCGTTTCGTAAACTGTTGTTCAGATTTCTGTCGATTGCAAGATTTGCAAAGCATGTGCATCGCCAACTTGTTGTCAGCAGATATTTTCCAAATCTTTTCATGTTTTTAATCAAGGTGCTCACGTGATTTGATGCATTTCGCTATGTAAGACCCCTTTTATCACAATATAGATCTTGATCATTGATCAGATCGTCCTGACTGGGCGCCACCATTTTGTGTTAAGCAAACGCAAGTGATATGAGAGGTGGAATCTGATTGGTCCATAGGAGAGGCTTAGAAGGGACATAACTGGTAGTAGCCACTGGTGGCGCTACGATCGAGCCCAGTAATTCCAGCCTAGTTCGGCAAGGGTGGAAACTGGACTTTTAAAGTCAGTTAACTCTCTGCCTCGGGAAGATGACTTTCAACTAGTGGTAATATTTTGTAACTAAAAATTATTTTGCTAGGATTCTCTGTTTCAGCATTGACACTGGTTTATGGTTTAAAAATAGTGACTACATCACAAAGAAGCCATGGGTGGCAGAGATTGTGTATAGAAACCATGAAAAATTTACAAATGGGTTGCATGTTCTGAGGTTGTTTTTTCCCATCCTGCAGAGGCCCCTTGGTGTACCAGTGGAGCCGTTTGTTGGGGAAGGATATGCCGTCACGGGCAAGGTACTCAGACCACAACCGGGTCCTCACCATCATGAACGTTGCCCCCGAGGACCAGGGGGTCTACAAGTGCCGGGTGTACAGTTCCACCACGAAGGAAGCCGACGAGAAGGGATACTCACTCAGAATTGAATGTGAGTTAGGGGATTTGCACCCTCAGTTATCCTATCTTCATCTAACACTGATGTTTTCAGAATCTGTCATATCCTTTGCATGTCCAAACCCGGTTCAACATAATTTCTGACCGTAATGCATCACAGGCTAGTCATATGACCCCTTTTGGAACCATACCATGTGTTATAGATATATGGAAAACTCTTGGAAATGTGCATTGGTTAGAATCACTAAAATAAATCAGAACCACCAAAATAATGACCAAGTTCCAAATGCGTTATTTGAGATTCTTAGGGTATTACTTCTGTGACTGCATACTAGAAACTGGTAATTTGACCTATTTTAAAGGAATCATCCGGGTATCTTCGATACAACCCTAGTCACATGCTAATTGTTGTAACCCCCGGCTGTTCTAAGGATATAGTTAATTTGCCCTCGATATAATTAATAATAGAAAATATGTTTTCCTGAGAATTTGGACAGGGGAAGGATGTCTGTATGCTACAAGTCTTTCTGGTGATATCGCTGCTTGTTTCTATCAGAAGGAACAGTGTAATTTGAATGGGTGTCTATTTTTAGTATCATGTCATTGACACCAGACTCAAAACAAAGGTGACTGATGGGTCCAGTGTAGGGCTGGGATGAGTCCAAATTTACTACCCGGGTACCCGACCCCCAATTACCCGACCCTACCCGGGTACCCTCTGAAGGTTTCAAGAGTTGGTAACAAAAAGTCAAAAATCAAAAGGAATGTGTGCATCGTCGGAAAGAAATGCAGGTCCTACTCAGGACCCACTCGATCCGAGTCCCTGAGTTAACCGTCCCAGCCCTAGAGTGTTTTTATTTCAAGTAAATATGACTTAGAGACAATTATTGTATACCTTAAGGTAATTTATAGGGATATTTGTAGAAAATGAAGGCGGTATTTCCTTGAGCAGAATTGTGATAGTCATGTTCACTGCACTATTTATGAAATTTTATACCAACCATGTTCTTCTGTCAGTAAAATCAGACTTTAATCAGACGAAGTCAATCTCAAGTCCTTTACTTGTCAAGTAGGATGTTTATCTCAGTGCATCGACATTAAAGTTAAAGTAGCTCAACAATCAAGTTCGACTTGACATTAATCGATAGCATTTGACACTTGCTAAGTGCATGATTTACATATCGTTAATATTTGTTTTTTATGTTTTGTGATGTCACAGCCGAGCCGTACTTCACGTACCCTCTGAAGGACCAACACACCGATGTGGGGGGACAGTTGACGTGGCACTGCGAGGCTGGAGGCACTCCCCCACCCACCTACCTCTGGTACAAGGACGGGGTGCCTCTGAAGAATATGACAGGCGTCTTAACCATCCACCGCAACGCTCTCACCGTCCAGGGCCTCAACAAGGAGCGAGACAGCGGCATGTATCAGTGCAGTGCCACAAACCAACACAATGTCATGTACAGTACAGCCCAGCTCAGGGTCTTAGGTACGTATATCTAACATTCCAGCGTCGTCAATATGTTTCAAACCGTATCCGTGGTCTAGAGGTAGAGCGTCCGCCCGGAGAGCGGAAGGTCAAGGGTTTGATCCCCGTCTGCGTCATATCAAGAGACGTTAAAAGATGGTACTTGTTGTTACCCTGTCTGGCGCTTGGCATTAAGAGGCTAAAACAAGGAATGGTCGACTCGGAGTCAGTGTACTGTGTCTGCGTGGGGTATTCATGTTAAACTGAGGCATGGTATCTCAATGGGCTAGCACTATAAATCGGCATCAGTCCGGACTAGTACAAGCAGCCACACACACACATGCATGCACATCGCTATATAAATGCAATAATCTTGGACACAACATTAAACCCCATTTCACCTCACCTCGCAATATTTTTCACGTTAATGAATGTATAAACATTACAAATGGTGTGCATATTGTGTAAATCTGCACAGACATAGGGTGTGTGTCATGGCACTTCATTGCAAGGGGAATTGTGCTTTTGATGTCTCTGCATGTCAAGAATGGAAGGAAAAACGTATGGATAAACGGAGCAGTGTAAATGTAACAGAAGTTAGTTAACACAATAAGTGTTTTTCTGTCATAGAGTTTACTGTTGGATTGGTGGCCCATTGAAATACACAGGGTCCAATGATTATCAATGGTCATCTTGTTCTTTCATTTGAACAGGATGACTGAAGTTTTAGGATTTTGAAAGTACCTTTCCCAGAAAAAGTTCAGTCTTTCACTAAAGTCCAATAGTCTCCATTATTATGAAAATTGTTAAATTTAATATGATTTAACAGAAATATCCAAATTTGAGAGGGCGGTAGGGTAGCCTAGTGGTTAAAGCGTTGGCTCGTCACGCTGAAGGCCTGGGTTTTGATTCCCCACATGGGTACAATGTGTGAAGCCCTTTTTCTGGTATCCCCCGCCGTGATATTGCTGGAATATTGCTAAAAGCAGCGTAAAACCATACTCACCCAAAATTTGAGGAAGACTATAAAGTCTGCTTCCATGTTTCAGAGTTTGCCCCGTCGTTTACGAAGCACCCTCTGCAGAGAGGCATCGCAGCATCCATGGGTGGCAACGTCACCATCGTGTGTGACCCGGAGGCAGCGCCTGCTCCGGATTACGAGTGGCTCAAGGACGGACGTAATCTTGGACTGACCAAGGGAGGCGATTCTGGCAACTACAAAATGTTGATGAATGGAAACTTGTACATAACATCTCTGCGGACATCTGACAGAGGACGCTACACTTGCAAGGTGACGAACCCCATTGGATCTGCTGAAGACTCTGCTGAGCTCACAATTGTTTGTAAGTCATACGTTTGGCATGTTGATGTTTACAGTGTGTGGAGGTGGAGGGGGCATGGGTGGCCCAGAGTCTGAGGCCCTGGATTTCACTGTATTTGCACCCCTTGGGCTCACCAGAAACCAATGATTGTGGATTCGAATCCTGTTTCCCCCCACCGATTATAAGTTTGTCAGTACCATGCCCATCATTGTTTGTTTCACCCTACAGTAAACATGTAAGAATTTCCGAAAAAAGGGAAAAAAATCAAATTTAATTTTGAATTTTTTCACAATTTTGTCCCAAATAGCCTGCCAGAGGGCACAGTTTAATATCCCAGATAAATCTCTGCACATGTTCCTTTCAAACTTAATGTTTGGCAGTTGGCGTTATTGATACACAGTTATGAAATGTTTGGCTGTTGTCGTTATTGTTTCACAGTTATGAAATGTTTGGCAGTGGTGTTATTGTTTCACAGTTATGAAATGTTTGACTGTTGTCGTTATTGTTTCACAGTTATGAGATGTTTGGCTGTTGTCGTTATTGTTTCACAGTTATGAGATGTTTGGCTGTTGTCGTTATTGTTTCACAGTTATGAAATGTTTGGCAGTGGTGTTATTGTTTCACAGTTATGAAATGTTTGGCTGTTGTTTTTATCATTAATTACAGATGTTGGGTTAGTGATACTGATATTATTATTCACAATTATGAGATGGTTGGTAATTTTCTGATGATACTAATTACAATTATGAAATGTTTGGTTGTTGATATTATTGTTTGGAATCCTGTCACAGCCCAGACTGTGTTGACTCGCCGACCATCCAGTGAGGACGTGCTGGTCAACTCGACGGCCACACTAAGCTGCGAGGCGTCTGCAAGTCAGAACATGGACATGGTGTACTCGTGGAAATTCAATAACCACCTCATTGATGTCGAAAAGAATCCTTACTACAGATTGGTGAGAACAATTTTGCATTTTGTGTACCATGTGTGCTAATTGTAACCCTTTCATGTACACAGAGACGTGACCGCTTCCGTGGTCTAGTGGTAGAACGTCCGCCCGGAGAGCGGAAGGTCCGGGGTTCGATACCCGGCCGCGTCATACCAAAAGACGTTAAAAGATGGTAGTTGTTGTTACCCTGTCTGGGGCTCGGCATTAAGGGGCTAAAACAAGGACTGGTCGGCTCGGAGTCAGTATACTGTGTCTGAGTGGGGTATTCATGTTTAACTGCGGCATAGTATCTCAGTGTGCTAGCACTATAAATCGGCATCAGTCCGGACTAGTACAAGCAGCCACACACACTCACACGTGCATGCACGTCGCTATATAAGTGCAATAATCTTGGTCGCGACGTTAAACCCCAATTCACCTCACCTCACACAGAGACGTTACTCTCTACCCATCAGGGCAGTGGGGTAGGCTAGTGGTTGAAGTGTTCGCTCGTCATGAAGGCCTGTGTTCGATTCCCAGGATTTCTTAATTAACACCGAATCTGAAAACCTCACTTCGCGAAACAACATATTAATCTCACCACCACAGCATGTTTAAAGAATCTCTTTTGTTTCGTTCTCCAGGGTTCAGGGTTCACAAGGGGCTACCTGTACGTGATCAGTGCCCAGTTCATCCATGCAGGGAAGTACACCTGTAACGCAGCCACAGGACTGGACATACAGTCAGCTGAAGCTACTCTTAAAGTACTAGGTAAGTGGGAGTAGTGACATGTAGGGGATGTATCAAAACTCAAAATGTTGCTTCTTAATGGTGACCTTATGTAAATGTGATATGGCCAATTGTAGGTTTAACAAGAAGTGGGATCTGGAATTGGGGTCTGTTATTTTTGGTGTGGTGCACGGTGTGCGGTCTTATTTACCTGCAGGTCAGTGAGGATGTTGTATTCATCCCTGTACTGTGCATCCAACTCCGTTTTTACCTATAAATTTAGGGGCAGTGGGGTAGCCTAGTGGTTAAAGTGTTTGCTCGTCACGCCAAAGGCCCGGGTTTGATTCCCCACATGGGTTCCAATGTGTGAAGCCCATTTCTGTCGTCCCTGTCGTGATATTGCTGGAATGTTTCTAAAAGCTGCATAAAACCATACTCACTTGCCGATAAATTTGTCCTTAGAACTCATGGATTGTGTTTGGTGTGTAATGGAATTATGGTGTTAGTTTCCATGAATATCATTCAAAATGGGGATGTCTTTGAGAAATTTTTACTATTTCCTGTTTTGTCTTTCAAAGGCCCTACCTAGCTGTTATTGTTATGTCCACCTATGCCCTATTGAGCATACTGGCCTGTCATCTCAGGCACTGCAGTTTGCTTTGCAGAAACCTGTGATTGTGGGTTCATTCACTGGATTGTCTGGTCCAGACTCGATTATTTGCAGACTGCCGTCATATAGCTGGAATATTGCTGAGTGGGGTGTTAAACAACAAACAAACAAACTAAGAGTCAACCCACTCACTCACTGACCTATGTCCTAGGAACATCATTATAGAACATGTAGAAGGGATTTCACTATATGCCGAGTCGAGTAGTTGAGTTTGGACTTGGCATGTCCCCTACAATATTTGGTAGGTGGTCAGTGGATGAAAGCTATTATGTACCATCTTGTGTTTTCTCTAGGACCCCCGGGCGAGCCTGCCGGAGTCTTCCAGGACTTAAAGGCTACTGACAGTTCTAATCCTCGCTCAATTAAGATTATGTGGACTGATGGCGACACTCATGGAGCTGATGTCTTGTACTACGATGTGGAGTTTCACACCAACTTCAACAGGCAGTGGAGGATCCTGAAAGAACGTGAGTCACGACAATCTTCCTCGTCAGACTTCCTATCAGGGCAGTGTTTTGCTAAGGGACTGGTCATTTATTATTATGGGATGGGGGAAAGAGAGATTTGGATCCAACTACAGCATCAGAGCCAAGCCATTCACACAATCAAACTGCAGCATCATGGCCGAGCCATTCACAAGATACAACTACAGCATCAGAGCCGAGCCATTCACACAATCAAACTGCAGCATCATGGCTGGGTCAGAGAACCTTAGACACGGAACAAGGGTGGATCCAGCATTTTTAAAAGGGAGGGGTCCAAAATATCAAAACCCTCCCGCCTCTGGATTACCCCCCCACCCCCCTCCGGATCCCCACGTGGAGAAGTGAGCATCCATTGTCAAGATACGTTGGTCAGAGATTCAACTTCAGCCAATGTCTGTGGGGTTCATCAAAGTTGTACATACCTTTGACCTTCAGAACTGGCACATTATTCCCGCCTTGGAATCAGGTTTGACTCTTCTGTATGTCTGACTGTTACTGGTTACATATGTTCCAGGAATTCCAAGCACTGAAGCTCTGGACGACCTCCAGCCAAGTAAGAGGCAGACGACCTTGATGAATCTGAAATCAGGAGCTGGATACCAGTTCCGAGTTCGAGCCATGAACAGATATGGTCTTGGTCTACCAAGTGTGCCAACAAGTAAGTAAATACAACTGGCTGTTGACCAGTCACGATGGTTATATGGTGTGTGTACCCTGTGTGTGAGCCTATGTACCCCGAGGCTGTATAGAGGGTCGTTCACACCATATAACCAAGGGGGCTGGTTCACGACAAATTTGTGGTACTGGCATAGTATTTGTCCATTTATATATAATACCTCCATGAGTATGGCTAGCATATGCACTTCAAGAATTATATTCCTTACATTACAATCAGATGCACTCGGTTAAGTTCGCTGAACTGAATTTGAGAGGTGTAAAGTTTAAAACTTCCAGTACTTTTTGCTTTCCTTATACATATTCTAAAATACTGAATACGTTCTCTTGGCAGTGTTTAAGCTCGATTTACTCACTCTCGTTAAGACAGAAATATCAATACTGATAAAAAATGTTGCATGCAGACAACTTACTTTCATTCCTTTGAAAACATCAACCTCATCTACTGGTGACAGGATTTCATTTTAATGTCCTAACTCAGAAATAAGGATGGTTTTACTGTCATGTGATGGTTTCACTGCCATGTGATGGTTTCACCGTCATGTGATGGTTTCACCGTCATGTGATGGTTTCATGAAGGGAGGTTATGCATGTTCTGAAAACAAAAAACAGTTACTGTTTATTTAATCAATCAGCATTACTTGTACAACTAAAATAATGAATTACCTGCCTATTGGCTATTGTATTATATTATCAAATACTCTGTGATATACATCTATTATGCGTTGTACTAATTAGGTTTTGGTTTATCTTACTCCTGAGATTCTTGTGTCACAAGCAATAAGTCTCTCAGTTTAATAAAGTCTGTCTTGTGTCACAAGGAATAAGTCTCTCGGTTTAATAAAGTCTGTCTTGTGTCACAAGGAATAAGTCTCTCGGTTTAATAAAGTCTCTCTTGTGTCACAAGGAATAAGTCTCTCGGTTTAATAAAGTCTGTCTTGTGTCACAAGGAATAAGTCTCTCGGTTTAATAAAGTCTGTCTTGTGTCACAAGGAATAAGTCTCTCGGTTTAATAAAGTCTCTCTTGTGTCACAAGGAATAAGTCTCTCGGTTTAATAAAGTCTCTCTTGTGTCACAAGGAATAAGTCTCTCGGTTTAATAAAGTCTGTCTTGTGTCACAAGGAATAAGTCTCTCGGTTTAATAAAGTCTGTCTTGTGTCACAAGGAATAAGTCTCTCGGTTTAATAAAGTCTGTCTTGTGTCACAAGGAATAAGTCTCTCGGTTTAATAAAGTCTGTCTTGTGTCACAAGAAATAAGTCACTCGGTTTAATAAAGTCTGTCTTGTGTTACAAGCAATAAGCCTCTCGGTTTATTAAAGTCTGTCTTGTGTTACAAGCAATAAGTCTCTCGGTTTAATAAAGTCTGTCTTGTGTTACAAGCAATAAGTCTCTCGGTTTAATAAAGTCTGTCTTGTGTTACAAGCAATAAGTCTCTCGGTGTAATAAAGTCTGTCTTGTGTCACAAGCAATAAGTCGCTCGGTTTAATAAAGTCTGTCTTGTGTCACAAGCAATAAGTCTCTCGGTGTAATAAAGTCTGTCTTGTGTCACAAGGAATAAGTCTCTCGGTGTAATAAAGTCTGTCTTGTGTCACAAGCAATAAGTCTCTCGGTTCATAAAGTCTGTCTTGTGTCACTCATATCCAAAACTGTTTATTGAATGAACTTGTAGATTGATCAAGGATGTGATTAATTTTACAGTCAAAATGTTATGGAGTTGTGGATTGTTCAGATGAAATAATAAATTATTAAGAAACATAACTTGTATAACACATTTGTGTTTCCATAGCAACAATACAGATTCCTTCCGATAAACCAGCAAAAGCCCCTGAGAAGGTCGGTGGAGGCGGAGGGAAGGTCGGCGACCTCACTATCACATGGGAGGTAAGACATCCACCAGGCTAACTCACTTAGTACCGGTAACTTAACGATGATTGCTTCACTTTGTTTCATTAATTTGATATGGGCAGTGGGAGAGCCTAGTGGTTCAAGTGTTTACCAAAGACATGGGTTCGATTCCCCACATGGGTACAATGTGTGAAGCCAATTTCTGGTGTTCCCTGCCTTGATATTGCTGGAATAATGCCAACAGTGGCATACAACTCCTCATGTTAGGTGAATGTTTTCAGGTTTCATTGGTGTTGATATATCCATTGTGTTTGTGTGTCTTTAGTCAGTACAGTGTCACCTGTGTGAGGATTTCTGTGTGTACAGCACATGTGGTATTTCATGGCTTGTATTTCCTCTTTCAGCCCCTCTCCAGTGAGGATCACAATGGTATGGGACTTGGCTACAATGTCTTCTGGCGGAAGAAGCCAGTTGGCGGCAGCCAATCGAAATGGGAAACGGTGGGTTTAAATGATGATTTGCTCTAATGTTCTATCTTGATATGGAGGCATGACCTTTGGCCCACAGCACTGCAGTTGCCTCCCTTGGCTGGGCCAGGATTTGTGGCATCCAACGCTAGATTTGCCACAATTATGGTTCCTTGCTCATGCTATTAGTCACTGGATTGCCTGGTCCAGTCTGCTTTATTTACAAGCAGCCAAGACAGCTGGAGTGGAGTGTTTAACAAAAGTCACTCAAGAAGACAAGATGCCATAGCCTTAAGCACTGCTCCAGATATTCTTGCAACCATATGAGTACTGGTCATTATTAAAACTGACGAGTACCAGACCTATTTATTTTTAACCAATAAGTACTGTACTGCTCATAAAATTGAACCGTCATCATTCAAAAACAACTTGTACATTCTCATTTTGGTGCCAAACTGGAGTAACATAACCAAGATGAGAAAATTCAAGACTGTTATTATTAGCCAATGACATTGCAGGATTGGAATAAAATCCATTTGCTGCTGACAAAATAGCGTTTAGGCTGAATGTAATGCAAAAAACAGTATTATCAGAAGTTTAACTATTTTAGAAGGTTTTTGAGCATATATAGACAAGGTACAGTTACAATCAAACATGAAAGCATATAGTATAGTTTGCGTGCATAGTTGTAATTCCCACTTTCTCCGTATTTGACTAGTTTTCATCTGTACAATTCGCCAATATGGCATCTCTCTGGAGCACTCCCTTAAAGGTGATTGCCCTCCAACATTTCAGAGAGTGTCTGTTCGTTGATGTTACACTGACAACTCTGATTTTGAAAGTTGTTTTATGAAGAGTTTCAATCCTTGTTTCACAGGAGAAATTAATGGGCCCCAGCAAAGGAAGCTTTGTCACACTTGTCGGACTTGAAAATTTCTACTCTGAGTATGAAGTTCAAGTACAAGCATTCAATAACATTGGCAGTGGAAACAGATCACACATCGCCCTCATCAGATCAGCTGAAGACTGTGAGTATCAGTGTTTTACAACAAACTTCATAGGCATTGATATGGTATGCTTAGGGTTGCTCTGACAAAAATACAATGAAGTCCCTTAGCAATTGGGATGGTGAACTACAGTAGGTCATCTCACTCCTCACTGTGTGTATCTGCCCACTACCTCATGCTTGTTGTGAATGACGGTCTGTGGAGATTCCAGGGCAAGAAAGGTCTCCAGTACCTCATGCTTGTTGTGAATGAGTCTGTGGAGATTCCAGGGTAGGAAAGGTCTCCAGTACCTCATGCTTGTTGTGAATGACGGTCTGTGGAGATTCCAGGGTAGGAAAGGTCTCCAGTACCTCATGCTTGTTGTGAATGACGGTCTGTGGAGATTCCAGGGTAGGAAAGGGTCGTATGACATACATTTGCAATGTGCATTTTGAAAACCAACATTAACATCAATATCTACATTCTCCCTGTCCTTAAGTATTGTAATTAATATATGAACCCTTTATTGTTATATATTGATTGGGATATATGGTAAAATATTAGGCGTGGGCTCCTCCACTGCCTTTATACACTCAATCACTCACTCACTCGTCGTGTCCCCAGTACCTATTGGCACCCCCAGCAGCGTGTACGCCGACAGCTACAACAGCACCTCCCTCATGGTGTTCTGGACCCCCGTCCCCAACAACAAGAAGTACATGAAGGGAAAGCTGATTGGATACAAGGTAACTTTGACAACATGAGAGGGTTGCCATGGGGTTGCCATGGCAACTGGTCTGTTTCCTTTTGAGATGGTCATTAAATTGCATTTTCTGATGCATTTGTGATGTCTGCAGGTCTGTATGTTTAAGTCACTCAGTGAGGATCTCAAGGAGGCGTTTTGCATTTACCGTATATGACCGCGTATAAGCCAAATTTTGAGGACCAGAAAAAAGATTCTGTAGAAAGGGGTCGGCTTATCCACAGGATACACTTTCATGATAGTATTTTTCAGATCGTCATCTGTCAGAAACATTGCCTGAATGACGGTCCGATAGATTACAACTTCCCGAAAGTTTGGAAGTTGCCACGACTAGAGCCATTATTGTTATGAATTATCAATAAAGTTATTATTATACACCAATGTTGTCATTATTAAAAAAATGTTATGCATGTTACTACTTCCGATAATAAGTTTTCAATTGAATGTTCAAAGTTTATCGTTCTTCGTAAACTCCACAATCTTTACATGTAACAATATATGTAATTCACAGCTATAATATATAATCCCCAGATAAAACCGCCAATAGCTATTACGTACGTTTTGCAAAGTTCATAAATTGATAGTGAACAAGTGTCTACCTTTATTGAAAGAGGCAAATAAACAACTGTATCGGCGAGTTATTCCGTTCGCCATTTGCAAAAAACATGTGATCAGCTGTTTCCTGTGACATCACAAACGGTGACCACTGTGATTGCTTCCTGTTGTTTAAAGCAACACGGTACACAAGGAAATGAGCATTGATAATAACGGGCCGATTGGTATTGTCATGTTGTTTACACAAACATTTTCAAGTTGTGGGTGCTTAGCGATTGTGTTGGGAGTAGGGGCTTAATTCCTTTGTTTTCGAGAGATTAGTTTAATAAACTGGAAAAGCCTGTGAGTAAGTGATGGTCATTCAATGTGTTCACAGTATGATAGTTTATTTAATGCAATTGGATTAACATACAATAGTGGTGTAAAGGGGGTTATAAAAGTTGGTATATTTTTACTGACTGACATTTTCATCATGAGTTTTAAACGAAAACGCCATGCTTACGATGCTGAATTCAAACTGCGAGTCTTCGCTCCAGCTGATATATTTTCTCACGGGTTCATAATTCTATATACACCGATTCACAAAATGGCGCTTGGTTGTTGATGGCAACATATAACGATCATTATGAGATTAAAAAAACACACGAGAAACAGCTTCCCACATTATGAAAGTGGATGACTGGTTTGTTAAATCTTTATTAGAAATAATAATGACTTTTTCAATATAATTACAACGTTTTTCATCTTATATTTTTGAATATCTGAGAGTACCGGCACATGTCTTTCAGTCCGACTTCGCAGTGTTTTTTGTCTTTCAATTCCTGATTCGGCTTATCTGCGGGTCATTTCATTTTCTTTCGTATTTCAATGGTCAAATTAACACCTCGGCTTATCTACGGGGTCGGCTTATCCGCGGTCATATACGGTAATCCTTCATGCGTCTTGGTGATTGCTGAAATAATGCAGCCTTGATTTACACCACAGGGTCAAAATGGTGGCTCAGATACTGATCTAGGTTTCAGCAATTTGCTGTGGAGTTTGCATCTCACTGATGTGGCAGGATCTGCTGAAATTTGGGTTTGAATCCCAGATGCTCCTGATTATAGCATTTTTTAACTTATCCTGCATTACTCCATATTGCATTTACTGCTGTCTTTTGACAAAGACGAACTGTGTGAGATCCAGCTGCTGAAAAAAGTTGTTCCCACCGGTACAGGAAGCAGCAGCACCCTCTCACAGTCACGTGATATATTGTTTGATGACAAAAGCTCACTATAGCTCATTGGTTACACCACAAGTCGCTAATGTTCGCATTTCTTTCTGACAATGCACACATTCCTTTTGGCTGGTATATGTTTCAGTAAAGATAAAACTTCAGTCAATTCAGTGTATTAATCGTTTGATACAAGAATCTAAATAGTTTTGGCCAGGGCTGCAATAAAACAATTCCCAATCAGACATTTTGTTCCCAACTCTTGAGACCTGCAGTGGGTAACCAGTAGGCCGGGTAATAGGGGATCGGGTACCTGGGTAGTAAATTTGGACTCGTCCCAGCCCTACTATTTTCCATTTATAAGACCTGGACTCTTTAGTGGAAATCGCTGATAACCCATGTTTGTCTTAGGAGCTGGCAAAATGAATTGGGTCAGTCTGGGTGACGTGGTTGATTGTGTGTCATTGTAACCCGATCACATGGGATGTAACTCATGGTATTAACACTGGTTCGTCTAATCCAGACTCTGTAATTTACATGCACCTGAGAAATAGTGGGAATATGGCTGACAAACAATTAAACAATGGTACACGTCAGAATGTGATTTCCACATGTTAATGAATGATGTCTTGATGTTCTGTATTGCTTTGTATCATTCTGTATTGCTCTCTATTGTTCTGCATCATTCTGTATTATTCTGCATTATTCTGTATCGATCTGCATCATTTTGCATTAGTCTGTCTCATTCTGCATCATCCTGTCTCATTCTGCATCATCCTGTATCATTCTGCATCGTTCTGCATCATCCTGTATCATTTTGCATCATTCTGTATCATTCTGCATCGATCTGCAACATTCTGTATAATTCTGTATCATTCTGCATCGTTCTGTTTCATCCTGCATCGTTCTGTTTCATCCTGCATCGTTCTGCATCATCCTGTCTCATTCTGCATCATCCTGCATCATTTTGCACCATTCTGTATCTTTCTGCATCATCCTGTATCATTTTGCATCATTTTGCATCTTTCTGCATCATCCTGTATCATTTTGCATCATTCTGCATCATTTTGCATCTTTCTGCATCATCCTGTATCATTCCGCATCGTTCTGCATCATCCTGTCTCATTCTGCATCATCCTGTATCATTTTGCATCATTCTGCATCATTCTGCATCTTTCTGCATCATCCTGTATCATTTTGCATCATTCTGCATCATCCTGTATCATTTTGCATCATTCTGCATCATTTTGCATCATTCTGCATCATTTTGTATCATTCTGCATCATTTTGTACCATTCTGTATCATTCTGCATCATTCTGTATCATTCTGTATGACACAGGTGAACTACTGGAGGCAACAAGAGGAGACTGAAATCGAGGCCGTACAGAGCATCTATGAGGGGCAGATAGACCACGCCCTTATTATCGGCCTGCAGCCGGACACGTGGTACACCGTCAACGTCCAAGTGTACAACTCCGCTGGGAACGGCCCCAAGAGTGAGGACTACCATCAGTCCACCGACAGAATGGGTACGTGTTATCTGGGGGGCTGGAAGTAGATTTCTGTTTGAGGAAATACAGGTCCAAATGAGCCCAGTAGCTGTGCAGAGTTGCATCCCTTAAGCATGCCAGAAACCTATGATCATGGGTTCGAATCCCAGATTTGTCTTCATTATGTTCCTTGTTTTGGCTAAGTAATAAATATCTAAGGTCTACATCATTTACGTCTTTCCACTTCATCAAACTGGCAGCACACCAAAACTCACTGTTTGGAAAAAATGTATAGATACCAGTTGTCTAGTACTTTTCCCAAATATTTTTATTTTGTTACAATAGTTTCAGTGTTTTTGAGGACCAGATAATCAACAATTCGGAGTTATAAGTAGGCTCTTCAGTTGATTATCGAGTCTTTTTTTCCTAAGGAAATGCAGAAAACGTATAAGGTCAATGAGTTAATCTCATAAAGATCAGCTCAGTCTTTTGGCACAACATCCAAAACAGCTAAAAAAATGGATGATATCACCTTCAATTATTTATAACCTTGCACTGCTATCAGGGATGAGAATTTTCCATGGATCCGCGAATTTTAGTGACCACACATTTTTTACAATTTGGTGGCTTCCCCCAAACACCCCCAAATTATGGACCATGCTCCATTGCAAAGATGTTTCAGCTGAAAAGGAAAACATCCATTCTCATCCTGGTGCTAGGGGGCACGGGTGGCCCAGTCGTCTAAGGCGCCACGATTCGCTGTGCAGAGTTGCGTCCCTTGGGCACGCCAGAAACCTATGATTGTGGGTTCGAATCCCGGTTCGCCCCAATTATGTTTCTAGGTTTGTCAGCACCGTACCCGTGCTCGTGGGTTTCACCGAAGTGGTAAACGTCTGAGACCTGCATCACTTCGGGCTTTCCTCCCACATTAAGCTGACACGCCGTGATATGACTGGAATACTGTTAATAGGGGCGTTAAACCCAACTCACTCACTCACTCACTCATCCTGGTGCTATGATTGCCAGGAGTCTTAGTTCTGATCCCTGTACTATGAAGTGCTGTGATTGCCAGGAGTCTTATTTCTGAACAGGGGGCACGGGTGGCCCAGTCGTCTAAGGCGCCGCGATTTGCTGTGCAGAGTTGCATCCCTTGGACATGCCAGAAACCTATGATTGTGGGTTCGAACCCCCGTTCACCCCGATTATGTTTCTAGGTTTGTCAGCACTATACCCGTGCTCGTGGGTTTCACCGAAGTGGTAAACGTCTGAGACCTGCATCACTTCGGGCTTTCCTCCCACATTAAGCTGATACGCCGTGATATAACTGGAATACTGTTAAAAGCGGTGTTAAACCCAACTCACTCACTCACTCACTATTTCTGAACAGGGAAACAACTGCTAGACTTGAATAAGCCAATCAGCTTGAAAAAAACAATCATATACCAGGATGAGACTTACTGAAATTAGTTTAAGCTATGTAATTGTTGCTAGGGAAATATTAGCGATTAATAAGATTAAGTTTTGAAGTTGTATTGTTCTCTTTCAGCTCCTCAGCTGTACCCGACAGAGGTGCACGTGTTCTCGCACTCCAGCACCCAGGTGTCCGTGTCCTTCCGGGGCGTCAGTACGCAGGTGTACGAGGAACCGCTACAGGGGTATAAGGTGTGTACAGGTGCATGAGGAACCACTATGGCGTGTAATTAAGGCATACGAGGAGACACTAAGGGACGTTATTAAGGCATGTTGGCACAGGTGTACGAGGAACCGCTACAGGGTATAAGGTGTGTACAGGTGCATGAGGAACCACTATGGCGTGTAATTAAGGCATACGAGGAGACACTAAGGGACGTTATTAAGGCATGTTGGCACAGGTGTACAAGGAAGTGCTACAGGGGTATAAGGTGTGTACAGGTGCATGAGGAACCACTATGGCGTGTTATTAAGGCATACGAGGAGACACTAAGGGACGTTATTAAGGCATGTTGGCACAGGTGTACAAGGAAGTGCTACAGGGGTATAAGGTGTGTACAGGTGCATGAGGAACCACTATGGCGTGTTATTAAGGCATACGAGGAGACACTAAGGGACGTTATTAAGGCATGTTGGCACAGGTGTACAAGGAAGTGCTACAGGGGTATAAGGTGTGTACAGGTGCATGAGGAACCATTATGGCGTGTAATTAAGGCATTCAAGGAGACACTAAGGTACGTTGGCACAGGTGTACGAGGAACCACTACAGGTGTATAAAGTCACAGAGGTTCACAGATTGTAGTCTTCAGTGTAACAGGTTTACTTCCCTTGGCCTTGGGAGACTAAAAGGTAAGGGAGCATCCATTTGATTTGTACTGGGGGGTGTCTTTTTGAGAATAATCTATTTTTTTCCCTATCTTTATCCAACAAACTGTTTATATACTGGGCACCATCGAACAATCTATTCATTCTCACTTTCAACATACAAAAAATTATGTTTGAATTTTTTTCCACAAAACAAACTTAATTTCTTTCACCACTGCCAACAAGCTATTCATTTGGAGCATATTTCTGAACAAACTGAACAATTTAATATCTTCCCACCCACCCCTATAGAAAGCAAATGGCTGCTCCCTGTGGAATGGACCCTGCAATACAGGTTTCACAAGGTACATGGCAACTGAGTCCCCCATTAGGTGAAAAGAGGGGATGAAACGAGGCCTAACTTCAGGTGAGATAAAGTCTCCCCACTAGTTTAAAGTGTTCTGGTTTCCTCCTAGTTAGTCATGTCTTTAGACAATTCATGTGTGTTTGTAGGTGCAGTACTGGCGGTATGCTGAGGATATTCGCAAGGCCAAGATGGTGGACACCGAGAAGAACAGCCAGGCGATACTGGGGAACATCGAGAAAGGCATCATCTACCAGATGCGTGTGTTCGCCTACAGTCGCGGGGGGCAAGGGAAGATGAGCTCACCTGCAACTCTATTCACTCTTGGTGAGTTTCTGGACGAGGATGACGTCAGCCATATTGTCATAGTTCATTTTGAATTTGGTGCAAATGAATTATTATAGTGGCATTGATCAGACCTCTTAATTGCCATGGTGTGGTGTGACAGCGCCTACTATATCACATTTAACCATACTCATGCGATATGAGATGTACCCTCAGGGATTCCAGGTTAGAATGGGTCCCTGGCAACCTATCAACCGCTTAGTTGATTGGGTGGTCATACTTCGTGAAAAAAATATCTGATCTTGAAACCCAGGCTTGCGAGTACAATTAGTAGCAGACATGTTTATTTTTGTGTCTACATATGTGTAGCAATAGAATTAAGTCGCCACAAGATATTTTCAAGGTTGTCATTTGGCTACCTCTGAGTTTTAGACAGAAGCCAAATTGAAATTTAGGTCGCATGGGCCACCGTTTTAGTCGCAACTTTGAGGCCTGCCCCTCAACAATCATTTATCACAAAATAAATAAAAACATCGGCCGGCAATTGTAGCCAGTGGTCAGAAGGAAAAAGTTGATACTCCGAATGTAAAACATGTGAGATGTCGCTCAATCTATTGCTGATTCTATATTTTCAGGAGGTGAAGTGCGTATTGACAGCAGTACCACCAACATCATGGCCGGCAGCGCCAGTGTTATACCCGCCATGCTGGTCACCGCCATCAGTCTTCTTGCCGCCCTTCTCTTCACCATCCGTGCCTAAATAGTCCACACACAGTGCTATGTTCATCCCTGCCAATCTACAACAGAAGCCACACTATGAATTCATGAATATAATGAAATGTTAGTTATGGAACATAATGAATGGTAACTTCATAAATTCAGTGGTAACTTCATGAATTCAGTGGTAACTTAATTAATTCAGTGGTAACTTCATGAATTCAGTGGTATCTTCATGAATTCAATGGTAACTTCATGAATTCAGTGGTAAATTCATGAATACAGTGGTAACTTCATGAATTCAATGGTAAATTCATGAACACATACTGAACAAAATAAGTTAGAAATCATAAATATTTTGGGGCATAATTTTATGAAACTGTGTGCTCAGTCTTTAGTGCCAAAAAATATTCATTGTCCCTAACTTCTTTTGTTCAGCATATTCGGGTTCATGGTTTGGAAGTGGATTATTAAGGATATGTTTATATGCAATAATGATCTGAATTATCTTTTGATTGACGTGTGGAGACATTATTAAGATGTCATTGATTACCATATGTAAATCTAAACTGACATTGATAATGATTCTTTAGTCAGAGTGATTTCAAAATCCAAACCAACACATTCCATTTATTTACATACATATATACCATAAAACATCCCTTTTATACCTAACATTGTACAGTTTTTACAAATCTTTTATAGTAGCTATAAGTTTGCTAGTCCCTTTTATTCTGCTGGGTAATAAGTCCATCTTTTGCCATAATGTCTCGCTATTCTTTGCCAGTGTATCAAGTATTAAACTATTTATGCTCTGTGAAAATAAATATTTGATTTTTGACTCTTTTAAATGTCAAAATATTTTATGTTTGATTTTTTTTTATGTTCTATAACTTTCATACGTGTTTGTCAACGTAACTAAATGCTGTTGAAAAGTCTGTGGAGTTTATTTAGAAATGTTGATTGCTTTGTCATGGTTTTTTTAAGAATGTTTGTTCTTTTATATTTTTCTGTGTGTAAATTATTTTATATTGATAACCATGCTTCTCCATTCAAACCCCATCTTCTTCCACACTGGTAAGTTGCAGAGTAATGGTTAGTTTCAAGGGTAATAGCATGGGGATTATGACAGTGGTAATTTTGTCATTCACATTCCACGTTTTTTTCATGCTGGTAACGTTCAGAGTAATGGTTAGTTTCAAGGGTAATAGCATGGAAATTAGTATATTTTTTTTTAATGAAAATGAATTTACACATTCTAATCTTTCTGGATATTCAGATTTAGTACTTTCAAGGGTAATAGCCTCAAATGATGTAAAATCACTGTCATTCATATGGTGATAGCTAGTTATAAGGGTAACATCTCAGAAATTTACAAACTGTAAATTTATTATGATTCTTTCAAATACATTCAATACCATGTATGTTTGTGATTCAGATTAATGAGTAATACAATGCAATTCAATTTCGGGTACGGAAGTGATCTACGATGGCTAAATGTTTACATACATTTCTAGATCCAGTTATTTAGGTTGCAATCATCTCCTGGCTTGTGATGCTTTCTATTCTCATAAAGTCTCATTTATACGAACTGAATTCCATATGTATGCCAATACACTTGTGCTTATGTCAGGGACTGTGGTATAGATAGTCTGCGAGTGGATAGATAGTCTGCGAGTGGATAGATAGTGATATTACTGGAATGTAGAGTCAATTTGTAGTCATCTATTCATTTATTGTCTGTGTATTTTGTACAAATTGTATATAGTTTGTCATCGACTTGCTGTTTTTCATATAAACAGACATTGTGATTTCATAGAATTAAATGCCCTATATTTTGTCTATCAACATGTGGCAGTTTACATCCTTTTGTTTGTGTGAATACTCTCCATCACATAGAAAAGTATTTGGCAATAATACTTTTTAATCTCCACTAAATGCACAAAATGTAACTTTTTGGTTTTCATATTGTTACATATTGTTTAGGAAAACATCATTTTCTAATAGCATGTATTGCTTTTACGACCTTGGTACAATCTTTTTATCATCTTTTTCACTGATCAAAGCTATCAAAGAATCTCACCTCTAGTGTTAATTCAAACATAATACTCTAACTCATGCAATGTAGGACCTACAGATCACAACCTGAAGGTGACAGGTTGATGAACTTCAGTAACAACAGATACTCATTTGTTATGCAATGTAAAAGAGATTTTGAATTTTGCAATGCAGAAGTTCCGGTTGTTTTGTGATGAAGAAAGATTTGAACATGGAGCCTAAAAGGATGTTTTGTAATTATGTAATGGCTCTCATTTGCATAATTTATAAACATTGCATTCTCATCAAGTTTGAGAGCAAATTACAATCAGAGCCATCTTGTTCTTGGTTTACCCCACTCTATAGCAATACCTGATCCTACAGAATCTCAATTCACTGGAGATAAAAATTGAGTGGGTTTTAAGATAGGATTTTGCAATATACAGCTGAGTTTTTTCATTGAACTCATGTTATACATGTTGAAACTGAATTGTTTATTTTGACTTCATTTTTATTTGCTTTTGGAGTTGTTTCTTGAAGGAAACAAGATGAGATCTTATTTCTGTGTAACTGTTAGTCATGGTGTATATTGTATAATCGCTTGATCCTACTTGTTGTGAGAGTTGTTCCCCTTGTTTGTCTGGAAAGGACTTACTACACTTTGATTCTGACGGCAATACTCCTGTAAAATCAGTTTGTCTGTTTTGAGATGATGTTGAAGATTTGATAACTGCACTGATTGTTTTCAATCATTGTTTTACATAAGATATATATCATTTTGTAACAATAAAACAGTTTAGTATAATGATGTCTGTGTTCATTAGTATTTCCAGAGTGGATGGCGTGGTATCCTTGAAGTCAGGGCCTTTTTGGTGCAAATCTGGCTTACTTTGACCAAGGCATGTTGTCTAGTGGGGTCACTGTTTGTTTGGCAGAGTTCAAGGGCGGATCCAGCATTTTAAGAAGGGAGGGATAAAAAATATCAAAATCCTCTCTAGAATTTTACTACCTACAACTACATTTGTTTTTTTAAAGAGGGGCTGTCCTGACCCCCTGACAGAGTTGTATCCTGTAGATGGGATTCGAACAGCAGATCCTAGTCCATTTCTCCCTCTTATTATGTTTGGTTTGTAGGCACCACACTGAAAGGTCGGGGGCTCATAGCAGGACCACCTGGAAGGTTGGGGGTTCGTCATACCAAAAGATGGTAATTGTTACCCAGTCTGTTGCTTGGCGAAAACCTGGACTGTGTGAATGGGGTATTCATGTTATAACTGTGGCAGGGTATCTCAGTGGGCTAGCACTATGAAATCAGCATTAGCACAAAACTGGTATTAGTCCGGATGCACTCACACCCGCACACACTTCATGACTGCATGTAGCTACAAAGGTGCAATAATCTTGAATGCCATGTTAAACCCCATTTCACCTCCCCTCATGTTCAAAGAGGCATTAAAACAATATTCACTTACCCACTGCTTTAATTTGACAAGTCAGTTGTGTCCACATGACCGAAATGGGTACAATACAATATCACTGACTCAGGATAGTCCTTTGTCCCTGAATCTGTAGGAGTTGGAAACAAATGAACATTACAAAACCCAACTTTAGTGACAGTCTGAATATTTCTGGAATTTATGGGTCTTGGTATATTGAGTTAAGGCCCCTTTACACAGGGCTGCGACCTTTGTGCCGCAACTGTCCAGGACGCTCGGTGGTCGCCTAAACCCAGAAAATCCTGTTTCTACTAACTGCTCCAGGCATGATGTCTTGTGTCTATTGAGTCTTTCTTGAGTCAAGTTGTTCAGCTTCTGCAACCACAATGAAACACTGCAGGTTCAAGCCCTCTATTTAAAGGCAGGCTGAGGAGGCAGAAAAGGGGCAGAAGCATTGTCATGGTGTCTCAAGGGTCGCCACAGTCGTCGTTCAATGCACGCTGTTGGTCGCCACAAGGGAGGCTGAAGCATCGCCCAGATTGACGAGAAAATTTGCAGCAGAACGCATCTATTACCTGGCGACCGCAGTGACTCACTTCTGACTCCTTTGAGCAACCAACCTTATCGGTGACCTTTGTGCTAGTGAACATGTTAAAAAAATCATGGCATCCATGGTGATGTCTGAACCTCCTGTGTACCACCTTGAAACGACTTTGGCAACCATTCTGCCTCCTTTGAGCCTCCAATGACGACCTAGCAAATTTTATGGTCGCACACGGGAGGCACAAAGGTCGCCATCCTGTGTAAAGGCCCCTAATGGTGTTATGTCTTTATGTACACTCAATGTAGTGGTCTATGGGAGATAACTCCGGAGAGCTTAATGTGTTCATGGTATGGTCTAGGGGAGATAACTCCGGACAGCTTATGTTATAAAATGTACTCTTCAGTTAGGGAGTAAGAAAGGGGGGAGTTCCAATATGTCTGCCTGCATGTTTGCCATGTGCTCTGTGTGAATTAAAATCCTTGTTCTACATTTCCTGAATCCATTATACAACATTTGGCGACGAGGATGAGCAATATTCCAGCACTCCATTTCTGCCAACTTTAGGCAATCCAGCCATTCCATGGAAGCAGTGGAAACAGGTTTTTGACAATTACATGGAAGCTACTAATGCTAAGTCATTCTCAGATGGGAGGAAGAAGGCTATTCTCCTAAGCTGTTTGGGCACAGAGGGACAGCGCATTTTCTACACACTTCCAGAAGAAACTCCAGTCACAGGTGACGAAAACCGCCTTCTGAATGCTGCTATTAAGACTTTAGATAAAGATTATGGCAGATGACTATTAGGGATCAGCTGATTGAGAAAACAAATTTACAAAAAATCAGAGAAAGGTTGTTTGATGGAGCCAGATCTTACACGTGTGAAAGCTGTAGAGATTTCTCGTGTTGTTGAGGGCGCTCTTCAGGGGACCAGTAGGTTGAGTCAGCCGAGGGATGTTTCTGTCAGATACGTCAAGAAACATGGATTCAGGCCTGTAGATAAACTCTACTGTGTGGTCTCCAGAAGCTCAAGCTAATTTTGAGAAAGTGAAGGCATTTATCCAGTCCAGTACTGCCTTAGCTCTCTTTGATCCAGACCTGGATACATTTGTTGCAACAGATGCCTCAGGATATAGTCTGGGTGCAGATCTTTCTCAGAAAGATAGCTCTGGTGAAAGAACAGTTGCATTTGCATCTCGTACCCTATCAGAAGCTGAGAGGAAATACTCAGTGGGAGAGAAAGAAGCTTTAGCCTGTGTATGGGCATGTGAAAAGTGGCACACTTACCTGTGGGGACGAAAGTTCCAGTTGATCACAGATCATCAAGCACTAACTACACTCCTGACTACAGGGACAAGACATCAGCATATGCACATTGCAAGATGGAATGCACGACTTCTGAACTATGACTACACAATCGCCTATCGGCCAGGCAAAGAAAACTATGTTGCACGCCTTACAGTGCATGAAGAAGTTACTGAAGATCCGGTTGAGGAGGATATAATCAACATGATTATTTCCGATGGAGTTCCTTCAATCACAGCAAGTGAATTAAAGCAAGCAACAATTCAAGATCCAGTTCTGATTCAGATATCCCAATGTCTGCAGTCTGAGTGGCCCAGAAAAGACAAACTTGATGAACAAATGAAACCATTCTTTTAAGTCTGAGATGAACTCTCATGGTGCAACGGCTTAGTTTTCAGAGGAGAACAAGTAGTAATTCCAGACGCACTCACTAGCACAGTCATTTCCTGGGGTCATGAAGCACACCAAGGCATCGTACGCACCAAAGCAAGACTACGCAAGCTCTACTGGTGGCCAGGAAGAGATCGTCAAGTCGAAGAGAAGCTAGCAAACTGTGAGATATGTAATACCAGTGACAAATCTGCTTCAACTAGATATGCTCCAATGACTCCAACAGCATGGCTTGAAGGACCATGGGAAAAACCGGCTATCGACATAGTGGGACCAATTGAAAAAGCCCCTGCTGACAGTCGTTTTGCTATTACGGTGGTTGACTATTTCAGTAAGTGGCCAGAAGTAGGATTCTCGGCAAGTGTTACAACAGAAACTGTCATCAAATTCTTACAAACAGTCTTCAGTCAGGAAGGATACCCTCTTGAAATTGTGTCAGACAATGGCTCACAGTTTGAACAATTTCTGAAGGACAGAAATATCAAGCACATTAAATCTGCTCTGTACTACCAACAAGCAAATGGGCTTGTTGAGCGTTTCAACAGGAATCTGAAAAGCTGCATACAACTTGCTAAAATCCAGAGTAAACCACTCAAGCTTGTAGTGAAAGAATTTCTCTGCATTTACCGCACAACTCCTCATGCAACTATCATGAAGAATCACCATCATTCCTGCTACATGGTTGGAAGATGAGAACAGGTCTTGACATTGCAGGTGTCACAAAGGCTCCTAACAAAAGTCATGCTGACGTCAGGACGCGAGTCACAGAAAAGCAGCTGAAGTACAAGGAGCGAGCAGATAACTTGAGAGGCGCAAAAACTCCAGATTTCTGTTGGTGATGAAGTAAGGATAAAGAAACCTGGTCATGTGCCAAAAGGGAAAAACAGATATTCAGGTCCTACAGTAATAACTGGGCAGAAAGGACCTGCCACATTCATCACTCAGAGTGAACAGGGAAGTCAGGTGTGGAATGCATCACGTCTGGCAAGTGTAAAGTCACGAGCTCAGGCACCAGAGTTACCATCTGGTACAGAGAACCATCAGGGTGAAGCTCAAGACATTAACAGTGATAAAACACCAAATCAGGAACCAAGACGGTCAACAAGAGAAAGAAATTCTCCGGGATGGACCATAGACTTTGTCATGAACTGGTGGGAACTGTTCCCATGAAAATTATTGTGTGTTAACTTGTTTATGCTGAATTGAACTTTAAGTGATCAGTTTCAAGTTAATTGCAGTTTTGAGATATCTTTCAACATGTGTTACAGTTCAGCTGAAAGGGTCATTCAGGGAGAGTTATTTTAGAGTACAGTATTACTGGAGTAGAATCTATCATGGACTCTAAACACCAGTTGAAGAAACTTCCTAGAAATACACTGCTAGTACAGTTATGTAGTTCAGAATATTTTCATTAATAGCTATAGTTGCATGTCTCCAGAGGATTGTAGGCCGTTTATAAGTTGGTGCTGTTTTAGTTCAATGTGTAAGTAAGCCTTTTATTCCCAAGGGGAAAATATGTTATGGCTTTATGTACACTCAATGTAGTGGTCTATGGGAGATAACTCCGGACGGCTTAATGTGTTCATGGTATGGTCTAGGGGAGATAACTCCGGACAGCTTATGTTATAAAATGTACTCTTCAGTTAGGGAGTAGAAAGGGGGGAGTTCCACTGTCTGCCTGCATGTATGCCATGTGCTCTGTGTGAATTAAAACCCTTGTTCTACATTTCCTGAATCCATTATACAACAAATGGGGATACACAATACCTCCTGTCTGCTGGTTTACACAGCACCAGACATATCAGTGATTAATGATTTGAGCAACGACCCATGCACACAGTTTGTTACAATGTTGGTTTGTTGTTTAAAGACGCACTCTGCAATATTCCAGCGATATGATGGCGGTCTGTAAATAATCGAGCCTGGGCCAGACAATCCAGTGATTGACTCCATGAGCATCGATCCACGCAATTGGGATAAGATGACATGCATCGACCAAGTCAGCGAGCCTGACCACCCGATCTCGTTAGTCGCCTCTTACGACAAGCATAAAGGGTCCAGTGAGGTGGGAGAATCAAAACCTGTGGGTTATCTAGACTTGCTTCGTTTAGGACTGTAGCATTACAGTAAGGGCTGTGCGGAAGGTAAAATAATATGGTTGCGGGACAGACATATCGTCGAAGGCGCCACTATTAACTGTGCAGAGTTGTGTCCCTTGGGAGTGCCCGATGACCTTATAGGTTTGAATCCCACATTCGCCCTGATCCTGTTTCTTTCGTGCTCATGGTTTCAGCCAAAGACCCGCATCACTTGTCGGACTTTCCTCCCACATCAAGCTGACAGGTTGTGATATCATGGGCTTGTAACACAAAAAAATAGCAGCTAAAAGATATATGGTCACACCCAGTGTCAGTATACTATACAAAAGGATTATAGTATACTGACACTGTGTGTGACCATATATCGTGTTGCTGCAATTTTTTGCGTTACAAACCCCTTTGTTGTGATACACCTGAACAATGTACAAAGCATTTAAAAACCCAACTCACTCACTCACTCACTTTAAACTGACCAAATCAAAACTGTGAAACGTTGACCAGAATGACGCCCAAACGTCACAACCACTGGAGTCAGTATGCAGTCTCGTAAGTACTGTTCGGTTACCCTTCCGTTGACAACATGCAAGGGCGTTCTGCCAGTCATAGTGATCCCACCCCTTGGGCTGGGACGGGTAACTCGGGTCGGGTGGGTACTAAGAAGGACCCGAGTACCCACAGAACCACCCGGACCCGTGGTTGGTCATGTGATATATTGTTTAATAACAAAAATTATCTTGAACTATATCGTTACACCACAAGTCACTAATGTTGGCATTTCTTTCTGACCATGCACCCAGACGTTTATATGTTTGAATAAAGATGAAACTTCAGTCATCTTCAGTGTATGCATGACCAAATCGTTTCATGCGCGTATCTAAATACATTTTGTCCAGGGCTACTGTCAAACTATTCCCAATCGGACATTTTGTACCTATCTCTTGAGACATACAGCGGGTACCCGGGTAGGGTCGAGTAATTGGGGGATGGGTACCCGGGTAGTAAATTTGCCCGCCCTATATCATGACAGACTCACCCACAAATGTGTCATATTGCCTTACGTTGACGTTCGCAGGATGCCTTCAGAAAGGTCCACGCCTATCCAGAAAGTCCAGAGTGAATCTGGACGCGTCTGATAACATTACACATTCCCCCATTTTTTTACGCTCTGAACACTTTTGGCGTATTGCTAGAATATGTCAATTTGCTGTTTTGTCCCGATTTCTAAAAGTCTGTTTCTGCTGATCGATCCCGGACTTGTGTAGTTGACCTGGGCAGCCCTGTATGTGGCCGATCATTAACATTTTGTGTCTGCAAATCACAGACTGAGACACGTTGAACATATTGGCTACCTCTCGCGGAGTTCTTCCAGTTTGAAGCATACCCGAAGCCCTTAAATGTAAACCACATTGTTGACGACACATTCCTAATCTGATTACACATACTGCATTACAGCAGTAGAGAGCTTACGTGTTACTGTAGATAATTAAAATCAACAATACTAATGACTCTGAGAGATCTGACGACCTTCAATCGAAGTGTCACAATCAATAATGACCCCCTACCCACGGAGGAATTGCATGATCTTTCGGTTGTGTTGGGGCGTCAGGTTTTGGTTCCGATACCGTTCTATCTCTGGCAGCCATTTTTCAAAGTTCATCTTTCTTCTGACGACGATCATAACATTCATATTTATTATCCACTTTTTTTCAGTATCGAGAATCGTATTGACTTCAAACAATAAATAACATAGTAACTGTTTAAATGATATGCGCCGACACATTCGTCGCCACTCTCGATTTAACAGGTGCGATCCTTGACAGTCTATTATCTAGTTACGGACTAGGTCTAGACGTTGAAACTAGTGTCATGAATGTGATTGAGACCCGGTCTGTGTAACGTTTGGTATATAGAAATTATAGGAAACAGAGAAGCAGCGGAGATAGCCGAGGAAGGCCGAGTGGCCAAGAGGACGAAGACGGAAATGATGGCCGCCCAGCATCGCCGCCGAATATCCTGGAGATGACAGACGAACTCTTTCTTCAAGCCTTGGTTGACCATTCTTTTAACATTTTAAATTGTTATCTACTGTCCAGGAAAACCTTTGACTTACTTTTGACTTGAATAAAAACTTACCCTCTCAACTGACTCGCTATGAGTATATATTCCTTCAAACCACAGTTTTGTCGCCATCTAGTAAAATGTTGATATGTCAATATTGCCAACTTTATGATTTATAGTGTAAAAAACCTTAAAGTGTTCTCTTTCAAAATTGGTCTCTTTGTATAAACAAATTTCGAGAACAAGATGCTTTTACTAACGGAATGTGTTTTTAATATCAAATTACCTATTGTCAGTGTTTACAGATTATGGCCGGACACAAACGAGGGAACAGATTCCGGAGTACATGTACGTGTGATATATGCATTACGATGAGCATTGCCGGCGTCCATATAGGGATCACGCCTTCAAGGAAGCCTGAGGAAAATTACTGATTTCTACTTTTTTTTAAACAAACCTTTACCATAACTAAAATAAGCTAATAGTCTGCCATTTTTTTCCAACTCGAACCCCATTTTTGTAAACCCTGCCTCCCGCCACGAAAAGCTTTTTAATTGACTATGCGTAGTCACTCACTCAATCTTCGTCGTAAACTTCCAACATTACTTTCTGTGGTGTTAGGAGCTCATTACCAGATTGGCTGGGATTCTGTCTGTGGGCTATATATAATGGCGCATAGTTAACTGCGTGTACCAACAGAGTAACCAGTCATAATTCAAGAAAACATAACTCTGTTCTTACTTCCGTTTAATCTGCACGTGTGGAAGGAAAGTTGTAAACAGAGATGTCTTTCTTTATTAGACGGTCAAACGAAAAACGGGGATCGAAGGTAAGATTTAGGAGGGGGTCACATGGAATATATGCCACACGACCGTTAAAATATGTCTTGTATCCAGCTTTCTCATCAATACCGGTCATGTCGACTGTCCATCGAACCTACTCCCTGCTTCATTTTCAGACTTCAGCAAGTGAAGCAAAGTAAATTGTTTGTTGCCACTTATAGTCTGCAGCGCATCCCATATTTGGGGGTATTTCTCAAATACGCTGACTTCTACCGTGGTCTAGGCTCCATTACCATGATCTGATGATAACACTTGTTTACTACAAATTCCAACAACCCAACTGAAACGCGACTGACATCTGTTGCTGATGATAGTGAATATGGGTGCAGACTAAGACGTCATCGCTTTTACTGGACTAAAAAGACACGGCCCCTGAAGGTCCAGCTTAAATGACACCTCATATTTATACTATAGATAAGAGTGATTGATTTGCATAGTGGTATTATACTTTTGTCATGGGTAACGTCATTGTTTTTTATCATGGATCACTGTGAACATGGATCACAACTAGGGCTGGCTAAAAAGATTGTGCTGGAATTATCGTTGATGTGAAGAAATATTAACAATTATCGACATGAAATTTGTGTCATCGATAATATCTTACCACGCTTACATAAACTGTTGTGAGGGAATCAAGTTTTAATGTACCGAAGCAGACTTGTTATGTCCATTGTCAAAGTCCGAAAGCAACTGATTTTTTGTTATATCTTAAATGTCCACAAAGTCATCACGATTCCCGACATGGGTACATTGTGTGAAGCCCATTTCTGGTGTCCCCCACCGTGATATTGCTGGAATATTGCTAAAAGCGGCGTAAAACCATACTCACTCACTCCACAAAGTCATCCATGCATAAATGTGTCACCACTCACCAGTGACTTGAAATATGTTGTTTTGTGTCTAAGCTTTAAGCATATTTCACGGATATTTACCAAGATCAATATCAACAGCCATCCCTAATCACAACCATATCCTCTGAAAACAAACAGGTTTTTAAGCTGACATTTACTTTTGAGGTTTCCATAGAAACTAGGTGTTTCTAAATTTCAATTTAGTTTTGCTTATGACTACATCATGTACATAGATTTTGGATGATTACTCATGATCACATCATGTCCATGCTCCAGATCAACTATTGTCAAGTCAACTATTTGAGTACACGACTGGTCATTATCAGAACTGACAAGAAGTCAAGTGCGTTATTATTAGCCAGTGACAATGCAGTATGGAATAAAATTCATTTGCTGCTGACACAAAATGACTTACTCCCTTAAAGAACATTTTTGAATAAATTGACATGGTACGGTTACAATTAATCCTGAGTGTGTATAGTATTGTTTGCCTGAATATTTGATATGTTTGTAATTTTCAATCCATCTCTATTCTCTATCTATAGAATAGGCTGATACAGCATCTGTGTGGTGCACTGGTTGTTCTCCATGTTCATGGTATTGGTATCAATGTGTGAGCCTCAAGTTCAACATTTTCAACAGAAGTAAAATAAAGTTAATTCATTGAGAGCAAAGATGAAGTACATGTACAGATAAACATGATAATGCTTCAAGTTCATGGTCCTGTATGTTCTTGTGCTAGTTGTAATTAGCATGATTAGTAAGGCAGAGATATTTCTAAGGGCCGGAAAAAAATACATTGTTTTGTAAATTAAGAGTTTTATTAAAAAAGCATTCAATAATGTAATGCTACTTTACTGATCCTGTTATTCGCAAAATACAAGTCACACTACAAAAGGAAGTCACCAGTCCTAATTATGCCAACCTGAATAGGGAATGTGTTTTCCATACTTGGAATTCTAATTAACATTTTGTGTAGACTTGGAGCCGGAATCTCGGGCTCTGAGAATGCCTTGTGTAAATCCTTGTACTGTATCTTGTGATTGCAGAGCAAACTCAAGAAGCCAGCAGGTCCAGCAGGGAAGAAAGATGCAGGTGTAAGATATGCCAGGAAGAGGAAGGCTTGGGATGAAGAGATTAACAGTGAATCCGAGGTTGACAGGTACATGTGGTTCAGTTGATCAGACCAGACTAAGGGTTGCCACAGCTACTTTATCTCCGTGGGATTTCCTTGGTCAAATCAGTCCACAGAAATTGAGCTATGCTTGTTGTAAGAAAAGACTTGATGGATTGGGTGGTCACTGTTAGTCACTGGATTACCTGGTCCAGACTTGATTATTTATTGGTTGCCATCATATAGCTGAAATATTGCTGAGTGCATCATTCATCAACAAACACAGCTACCTTATCCAGCATTGTGATTTATTTATCCCCCACCCAACGAAGTTGGCGGGTGATATAGAAACGGGCTCCGTCCGTCTGTACGTCCATCTCGTTTTGTTTTCGGAGCATAACTCATAAACCGTTCAATATTTTTCATGAAACTTTGCAGGTTTGTCAGGCACATGCTGAACTGGTGCCTTTTGTTATTTAGAAATTTTTGAAATTTTCATTTTTTACGTTTACATGGCAACAAGATGGACTTAGGTTCCAAACTCTTCTTTTTTTTACTATTTCCATAAATTCCACCTCGGTTAAAATAGGTTAGGGTTTGTTTAGATTTAATTATGTCATATATTCTGCAATAGGGGTGGGGGAATATAGCCACGTTAGTGGCAAACTCTTGATATCCTTGAATTGGCATGATTGGGGTATAAATACGTCACAAGAGAAGTCAGTCCATCGTAGTCGAAGTTGGTCACTCCTGGTTTTCACTTACCATTGCATCCATAGACAGTGGTTCCAGCCTGCAACCTAATGCCTCAGTGCTTGAGTGACTGTAGTAATGCATAGAACAGTTTCAAAATTACTAATTTGTTTAAGGTTCTTCTTCATTTTAATAATATGAATCTTTTGTTGTGTTGTGCTCATTTAAAAAAACATAGATTGATGTCAAGGTGCAAATATTTTTTATTGACTTGGAATATTACATTGTATGCCACAATTTAATGTTATCTATGTGGTTTGTTTCAGTGATGAGGCAACAGATACAAGAAAGGCTGAGTTAGCTTCATCGGACGAAGAGGCAGAAACTGCCCAAGAGAAGAAACTGAGACTCACAAAACAGTATCTGGCCCAGTTAGAGGCCGGTGGTAGGTTACCATGGAGATTGAATTGGAATAAAACCAAAATTCTGTTATAATATATATCAGGCATCAGGGCACTGCGAAGTGAAGACTGGTATATGTTTTCTTAAACATAATTGGTTATGTTGATAGGGTTGAAATAGTGATAATTCATCAAGTGGACATGTTGTCGGCTAAGGCTTATTGCAATGACTTTTGAAAATATAGTGCGGCCGGGTGGTGGGGTTTTGTTTTGACTTGTTCAAACTTGTATGTAACCAAATAAACAGTTTACAATGTACAATCAACCTTGGAAAAGGGCCTCCCTACATAAACAAGCATACAAACTCCTATTGCCGCCATGACCGTAACACGAGATGTGCATGTAAAGGGAAGTAACTGTGTGCTATATTGGATCACATTATTTTAAAGTATTAGTATTTTTTTAATTTATTTTTTAAATGGCAATATAAACGAAACATGCAGTGGACTTAATGATGATGGGGCGGTGCCTGAGAACCAAGACTATACTATATGTTTTGCCTAACTTGATGCATTTATTAAAACTGATGAGTTGTTCTCTGACAGAGGCAGATCGTGAGGAGGAAGACGGAGCAACAAGGGATGTCATCTCACACAGGTTAAAACAGGATCAGGTGAGCTAATAACCATGACAACAGTGTAAGAAGATGCGTCTTATCATCATTACCAGACAGGCAACCTTGTAATAGGTTTGGTAAACGTTTCTGGAAATGTACCTTTATCCATTTTAACTGTAACGTCTTCATCATGTTCATTGGATCGGCTCCTTTTAATGATGAACTTCTAACACAGGTTATGTTGTGCTTCATCATGTCTTCACTCATTAGTGAGACCCGTAAAGATCTTCGTTAGAATTGGTCTTCAGCAACCCATGCTTGTCGTAAGAGATGACTAACAGGATCGGGTGGTCAGGCTCGCTGACATGGTTAATGCATATCATTGTATCCTAATTGCGTAGATCAGTGTATCCTAATTTCAATCACTGGATTGTCTGGTCCAGCTCAGTTATTTATAGACTACCGTCATATAGCTGAAATATTGCTGAGTGCTGCATTGAACAACAAACAAACAAACAAACAAACAAACAAACAAACACTCATCACTGATACCTGTGAGGGGTCTGGGTAAAAATTGGTGACTAAAGGGATCGGGTGGTCAGACTTGCTGACTTAGTTGATTGCATGTCATGGTAACCCAATAGAGTGGATCGACTCTCATGATGTCAATCACTGGATTGTCTGGTCCAGATTCAATTATTTACAGACCTCTCTTATATCATGTATATGGCTGGAATATTGCTGAGTGTGGCATTAAACGATTAACACTCACACACACATGTAACCATGGTAACTATTGCTGATACAGCTTCATGACCTCATGAGAAGTCCATGATTTGTTGTTTCAGCTGGAACTAGCAGGCAAACTCCAGAGGGAAGTTGCAGATTCGGTAAGTTTGACAAAGGGATGTGATTGGATGTTCCCTTGACATTTGGGGAGTTGCATCCCTTGGAGTTCCAGGATTCAGTATCTACTCTTACGGTTATGTTGATATTTTACAGATATTCAGTGTACTACATATTTAGTGTATATTTGCATAATTACTTTTTCTACATGATTGTGTTATGATCTTTTTGTAACCCATGGTTGTATTTGCTCCCTTTGACATCCATAAGTAATGTCTGTGTATGTTATCGACCGCCTCCATTGTCTAGAGGATAGAGCGTCTGATTGGAGAGCGGTAGGTCAGTGGTTAGTTCCCTGGCAGCTTCATACCAACGTAAAATGAATAAAACAAGAACTGGTCAGAGCGGAGTCAGTATACTGTGTCTGAGTGGGTATTCATGTTAAACTGTGGCATGGTATCTCAGTGGGGTAGCACTATAAAATCAGCACTAGTCTGGACTAGTACAAGCAGCCACACACACTTCTATAGAAGTGTCTTAATCTTGAACTCGACATTGAACCCCTTTTAACCTCACCTCGCCTGTTTCTGTTATTTGCAATCGTCCTTCTCTCCATTAGCAGTGAATCTACACTTTTAATCTTTTGAACATATCAGTATCATTTTCACGCCATTAATTTTCCTTGATGAGAAATACTCCTTTTACCCCCCCATCCTCCAATGTAGCTCATTGCATGGCTCACTCCTAGTATGTGGTACCTCATTACAGCTTAACTATTGAATGTATTGCATCATGTTTAATTGTGAAACAATATGTTTCTTTCAGTTCAAGAAGGCCTCAAACTTTTGCCCTTAATGCTCAGTTTGTAGACAATTTTCAAAGAAAGTTTTGAGTTTATTTGTGTGTGTTTTTTCAAGTAATGATCAGTCACTTAATCTTGTTGATATACAACCACAGCTGCGCTAACAGTTATATCTTGATTGGGATATTAATATTGTTATTTATCATATGATGGGTAGGGTTGTCAGCAGTAAAATGCCAAAGGCTAAAATTTGTATCCATTTGGGTCTTTTACTGATAAACTCCAAATATTATAGTTTGGGTACATACTGCTTTCTTTATTTACAGACAAATATGACATATTGTGGATGTGTTGTCAAGGAGAAGATTATGCATGTTGCTAGTTAAACACATAGAAATACTGTGTTTGTTCTTGCAGCTGGAATCCCCCGACATCACACAGCTGCGAGAACTGCGGGGCCACAAGCTGCCTGTGACGTGTGTAGTTATCTCCCCTGACTCAAAGCACATCTTCAGTGGAAGCAAAGATTGTTCTCTAATAAAATGTGAGTCATCTTAGTGTTGTTAAGGGGGAGACAGTGAATGAAGAGGGTACTACCAGGTGCCAAATATTGTGTTCTAAACTCATACGAATTAAGACTAGTCAAGAACCGGTCTTCAGCAACCCATGCTTGCTGTAAGAGGCGACTATGCTTGTCCTTAGAGGTAACTTACGGGATCAGGTGGTCAGACTCGCTGACTTGGTTGATGCATGTCATCATATCCCAATTGTGTGGATCGATGCTGGAATTTCCACGCTCGCTCGTAGCTCCACCAGTGGATATTACAAGTTTGGTCCCTTCTATGTCCCTCTTATTGACCAATCAGATTCTGTCACTCATATCACTTGCATTTGCTTCAAACAAAATGGTGGCACCAAGTCAAAATGATCTGATCGATAATCAAGATCTATATTGTAATAAAACGGCTCTCACCCCACAAAGTGCATCAAATCGCTTAAGTACCTTGATTGAAAACATGAAAAGATTTGCAAAATATCTGTCAACGTCCAATTGACAGTACACATGCTTTGCAAAGCCTGCAGTCAACCGAAATCTGCACGTTGAAATCAATGTAGTTTGTTATGCAATTTTGATTGGACTATGCATAGACTCGTTAGTCCAGCCAAAATGTAACTCTGGAATACCAGCCTAGTTCGGCAAAGAGCGGGAACTAGTCAGTTAACGCCCTTGCCTCGGGAAGATGGACCCCACTAAGTGAGTTCAGGTTTTGTTCATGTGTTGTGGCGTAAGGCAATATTCATTCATTTGTGTTCACGTGACTGTTTTACACAGGGTGTGTAGAGACAGGGAAGAAAGTGAAGGTGATCGCAGGTGGGAAGAAGGGGACGGAGAAGACACATGTCGGACACACGTCACACATACTCTGTCTTGCAATATCCACAGATGGCAAGTTTCTGGTGAGTGAGAAATACTTCAAGTGGAGATCTGCATGTACTGTACAATGTGTCGCTAGGTTTTTGTCTTGGAAATACTGGATATTTTGTTATAATTGATGAATTCAAGAAATTCAAGTTCAAAGCCTCATTGTTGGTTGGATGCTGTCCAATCAGCAACCAGTTCCTTGGTTTTGTTTTGTTTTGTTTTGTTTTGTTTTGTTTTGTTTTGTTTTGTTTTGTTTTGTTTTGTTTTGTTTTGTTTTGTTCAGTGATATTACTATGTCCTAGGATTCATTAGCAGGGAGAGTTTATTCTGACATCGATATGACGTCAGATATTGTTAATGACATCACAAATTTCATACATTTTTTTTATTTTGACATGAAGTACTGTGTTAGACCCGTGAAGATCTGGGGTAAAATAGGTCTTCAGCATCCCATGCTTGTCGTAAGAGGCGACTAATGGGATCGGGTGGTCAGATTCGCTCACTATCTGTCCTGTATGAATTCTGTATATATATATTGGTTCGACACTTTCACCATTTGTTAACTGAGGACAGATAATCCGTAATTAATCTTAGCTTGTTATTCTATAACTAATTGTTCAATGTAATGCAGGCATCAGGAGACCGGAACAATGTCATTCACATCTGGGACCCTCACAGTCTAGACTCCATCAGCTCCCTGACGGGCCACAGGGACGCAGTGTCGGTACGTAGGCTCCAGTGTCAGTGTGTTTGCTGTGTAGAGTGCTGACATAAGGTTGATGTAAGGGGAATCCCCTCTCCATCCACGCCAGTAATACATGCAACATCTCATGATGGATCCACGCCAGTAATACATGCAACATCTCATGATGGATCCACGCCAGTAATACATGCAACATCTCATGATGGATCCACGCCAGTAATACATGTAACATCTCATGATGGATCCACGCCAGTAATACATGCAACATCTCATGATGGATCCACGCCAGTAATACATGCAACATCTCATGATGGATCCACGCCAGTAATACATGTAACATCTCATGATGGATCCACGCCAGTAATACATGCAACATCTCATGATGGATCCACGCCAGTAATACATGCAACATCTCATGATGGATCCACGCCAGTAATACATGTAACATCTCATGATGGATCCACGCCAGTAATACATGCAACATCTCATGATGGATCCACGCCAGTAATACATGTAACATCCCATGATGGACCTCGGGGACTGTAAGCACTGACCTTGTCGTACTGGTACAAGGAGGGGGCGGGAGGGGTCAGGTTGTTCTCGTAGCTTTTTCACTCGGTGTTCCATGATCTTTGAAAGGAAAAACCTCATAAACCTTATTTATTTTTAACCACAACTCATTTTTGAGGTCATGCAGTTGAGAATGTATTATGTTTTAGTCTGTTTTCAGTCGTACAAATGGGTATCTCTCATACCCTCACGTCTAGTCGCACGTTTAAGAGGAAGCCAGAAGCTGGAATGTAAACATTAAACTTGTTTCCGTCCGGTTGCGCACGCACCTCCCTATGACATGTCACAAATCTCTCAGCGCGCCTCTGCGCTGGTCGCTCGAGAAAGTCTTTCGCGGTAGACTGCTAGTTTGTATTCTACTAGTATTTATCGCTTATCTACAGTTGTTCTAATAAAGTCATAATATGTCTTACCTGTAGACTCCTGGAATGTAATCCTTGGTAATCCATTGTTTGTGTTCAACGCGTGTTTCGCTGTTTGACAGTGATTCTACACGTGGCAATATGTCGGGCATTTGTGCCTCGTGTCAACGAAAACTGTCTAAAGTAGACCCTCACAAGTATTGTCCTTCCTGCATCATTAAGGACGGGTTTTCAACGTATTCGTGGAATAAACGTTGTAAAAAATGTGAGAACTTGTCTTCAATAAATTTTAACTTGTATCTTCGTGCGTTGGCGAAGCAGGCCGCTGACCAGGGCTACAAGCGGATATGGTCATCGGTTGGATCCTTGGACTCTGCACCCTCCGCATCAGGCCCTGGGGGTGGCGAGTCAACCACACCTCAGAAATCAGTTGAAAAAGACCCGCCTCAGTCAACTTCAGCTTTCGTGACCTGCTTTCGTGACCTGCTGATGATACTACCCGCACGACTGGTCTTCGTCATTCGGTTGATCGAGAGCGTCACTCAGCCTCCCCCGTTACGACGGGACCGGGTGGTGACGAGGACCATGAGGGGACTACGGTCCCCGGTCGGTCCGCATCTCGTTCTACCAACGACGATAGGGACGTCGTGCGGGACGACAGTGGACACAGAAGTCGTTCCCGTTCAAGTCGGGACGACAGGATGAGTGCCTCGTCGAGAGACAGTACACGACACGAGGGCGTTCATCGTCATCGTGGTTGTCGAATGTACGATTCGGACGATAACTACGATGGGGATCATAGTACTTCTACAGTTTGAGATCGTAGCTCTCGTCCCCACGGGGACGTGCGACGTTCTCGCAGGGAGAATTTGGGGGTTCAGCGTCGTAGTGAAGATAGTGACAGAACGACGACCTCGTCTCACTTTCATATCGACCCGGCTTTGATAGCCCAGATCACGGCGGCGGTCCTCGCCTCGACGGCGTCGACCAAGAAGGATACGACTACGTCAGGGGTCCATGGACCGTCAACTAGTACAGCAGCTCCTTCATCTACGCCTCCACACTCGACGTCGACGATGGATTGTGACGACAGCCAGCAAAGAACGATGACAACCCGACGCGTGCGGGCTTTAAGGTCGGAGATACACCGCAGTCTCTTCAGTTTTCTCCTCCCGATGTCTTCAGAGCCATGGCTCACGATATGGACCAGAACTTTGGCTCTGCTCTGCCTGGGCAGAGCTTCTGCAAGCCGCCTGGTCGATCTCGTTACCCGATCTATGGCGTGCCGTTTTCGTCACCCATGACTAGCGATTTGGACTGGGGGCTGCTCTTCAAGAGACCAGCACCCTCCACATTTGGAATCCATGGGCACTGCTGTTCGTCACCAGCTGCAAACGCTTGCTATGCTGTCGACAGCGATCAAGGCCCTCTCAGTGTACTTTGAGGTGAAAGAACCCCAGGACGAGGACGACAGGACGGTGCCATCGGTCCTCACCTGTATGCAACGGTGGATCTAGGACGTCCTCGCCCAGTCCCGATATGTATCGGGCCAGATTACTACGGCGCGTCGCCATGGTTACATCGACTGCACTGACCTACCTGATCGTCATGGCAGGTCACTCTTACGGGCCCCGTGGACATCGCAACAGTTGTTCGACGGTCGTACCAACGACGTTCTGGACAAGTACTCCAGGGAAGCCGAGCGTGACATCATCATTTCGGCTTCACCCAACCTGTCCAGACGGCCACCGGTTTCGAACGCCCCACGACGACGTTACCGAAACGAGAATGTGCAACGGGCTTTCCGTAGGGACGTGCCTCGACAGCCGTCCCGCAAGGGAGGTTCCGACAGGAAAGGTCGCCAGGTCTCCTTTTCCAAGTTTCCCAGAGGGGGAAAGTACCAGCGGGGGAGGAAGTGAGGTCCCTTCCCCCGCCGTCGCCGTGGTTGGAGTCTCCCCCGGTGACACTACCTTTAGACGAGCTACCGGTAGGGGGGCGACTTCGTCACTATGCCGACAAGTGGGTTTTCCTCAACGCAACATACCTCCAACCACCCGACACATTCAACTTGACATCCCTCAGCTCTCTGCGTCGGATGATATTACCGTTAGACCTTCAGGACGCGTATCTACATGTACCAATAGCTTCCGAGTTCCAGAAGTACCTCCGATTCGAATGCCAAGGTATTCATTACCAGTGGGCGGCCCTCCCGATTGGAATTTCTACGGCCCCGTGCTTTTTCACACGCATCATGAAGACGGTCGTAGAATGGCTCCATCGGCAGGCGATCAGGGTCGCCTTCTACCTAGACGTCGGGCTCCAAGCTCACCAGTTTACAGTAGCCCTTCAAGGTGAGTTGGCGACCACCCTGAGTCTACTACGGTACCTCGGGTGGATCGTCAACTTTCAAAAGTCTGACTTGGTACCACCTCGGGTTCTACAGTACATTAGGATACGCTTCCAGACGGGAGTCAATCTGGTCCAGGTACCTCAAGACCGTTGGGACAAGATTGTCAGCAGCGTTCCGTGACGTCTACATGCCTCGTCGTCGGTGCACACGTGGCAGGAAGTCCTCGGTCTGTTGACATCGGCCCAAGACTTGACCCGTCGAGGTCGTCTTCAACTTCGTCCGCTGCAGAGATTGCTGTACCCCCACCTGGAGTTTCCCAATCTCCTGGTTCTACTTCCGGCGCAGCTACGTTGTCCTTTGGAGTGGTGGCTCCAGCCGTCGAACGTTTGCGGGGCGTCTTTATTAGCGAGCCTCCGTTCATACTACACCTATTCGTAGACGCGTCATTGGAAGGCTGGGGAGCGCACTTCGGGGATGACCAAGCGGCCGGGCGGTGGTCGCCAGTAGAAAAGGTCCTCCACATCAACTACCTCGAGATGGATGCAGTGATTCGGGCGGTCGAGTTTTGGAAACTTCGACTCCGTCGGAAACGGCTGATGATACAGTCGGACAACTCCACAGTCGTCCACTGCGTCAACAAACAGGGAACAACTCAGTCGGCGGCCCTTCTGGACCGGACATTCAGGTTCTTCGCCCTCGTCGACGACTTGGACATGGGCGTACGCGCCCGTCACATCCCGGGGGCCAAGAATGTGATTGCCGACGCCCTGTCGAGACCATCGAGGCCGTCTCCCACGGAGTGGATGATCTATCCGACAGTCTTTCATCTGCTGACAGATCGACTCTGGTTGCCCCAAGTAGATCTCTTTGCTGCCCCGTACAACAACCGCCTCCCTCGATTCGTGTCGCCGGTTCCAGACCCATGGGCATGGGGCCACGACGCTCTAGCGATATCGTGGGGGGCTCTAGACGCTTACGCGTTTCCACCAACGGTGCTGTTACCATCGCAACTGGTGAAAGTTCGTCAAACGGCCAACCTACGTCTGCTTTTGGTCGCGCCTTATTGGCCGGCCAGAACATGGTTCCCGGAACTTCTTCAGATCATCGTTCAACCACCGTTCCCATTGCCAGATCGAGACGACCTCCTTCTTCATCCTCACACCGACGACTTGCATCCGGGGATAAAGAACTTCCAGCTTCACGCCTGGGTTTGCTTAAGACCTCGTTAATGAAGAAAGGCTATTCGGCTAAAGCGGCAGCGCTTGTCTCGTCGGCACATCGAGTTACGACTCGTAAGCTGTAAGATGACAAGTGGACCACTTTCTCCATTTTCGCCAGGTCTCATGGCTTCAACCCGGCGGTAGCGACCCCACCACATGCAGGTGGCGGAGTTCCTAGTCTCTCTCCGGTCATCTCGGCGTCTGAAAGGGTCGACGATCTCGACATATCTGGCAGCTTTGGTTTCAGTAGTGCCATCTCCTACGGGCGACAAGCTCACTACCGTACCGGAGTTGCAGAAGATTCTACGTGCCTTCATGGTTGCAGATCAGTCACGTAAATTCCGACCGCCGGCCTGGGACCTCGATGTCGTTCTGCGCATCCTGTCTAGTCAGGCTTACGAGCCTCTCGATCAGGTCGCGTTCGACTTATTGTCTCAGAAAACGGTTTTTCCTTCTCTCGCTGGCTACGGCTACTTTTTAGCGATAAATCAACTTCCTGGCCAAGATCCGAGAATATTCCACATTCCTTCCTTGTCTGCCATTATGGGCCCTCATGATCACGCTGATCTCACCTTGTGCCCAGTTCGTGCGCTTCGTATTTACCTGCAGCGTTCTGAACAGCGACGACAACATTTTCGACGGCTGTTCATACCGCTCTCAACCAATGCAAAGAAAGAGATTACACGTAATGCTCTCTCATTTTGGTTGAGAGCGGTAATTCTCAGAGCTTACGAGGCGCAAGGACTCGCACCTCCCACCTCCTCTCATCCGCACGAAGTTCGAGCCATCGCTTCAACATTAGCAATCCACAGTAATTGTTCGCTACAAGCTATTATGGAGGGCTGCTTTTGGAGATCTACTTCAGTGTTTGCTTCGCATTATCTTAGAGATATCTCCACAGAAGATGTTGAAGGACTCAAACAGTTTGGTCCACTCGTGGTGGCACAACAGATCTCTCAGAAAAGACAGTGAATTTGTGTTTTATTCACTTTGGAGTTTTTGCTCGACACTTCGTGACATATAACAGGTTACAATAAAAGCTGTTGGTGAATGTACGCATTCTTATGGTTTTTTGTTGCGTGTAGTACTTCTGTTTTTTATTATGGTTATTCGATGTATGCATCGTCTTCCCATACATTGTAATACTGCTCGTATTTTTTAGTTACTTTGTATACTGCGAGTTGCTCTGTAACTAGATTATGCGCCGACCTCACTTCGATCCGGGTTCTACTGACATGTGCAGTTGTACTGTCGCATCGATAATTAGTTGTGTGTCGAAGAGCATTAACCATGCTATTTTTAGTTACCTTGTCTACGGCGAGTTGTTCTGTAACTAAATTATACGCCGACCACACTTCGATCGCAATTCAACTGACGTGTGCAGTTGTCCTGTCGCTTCGATAATTATTTGTGTGTCGAAGAGCATTAAACATGCTGTTTTAGTTACCTTGTATACTGCGAGTTGCTCTGTAACTAAACTATTCGTCGACCACACTTCGATCGCTGTTCAACTGACGCGTGCAGTTGGCCTGTCGCATCGATAATTAGTTGTGTGTCGAAGAGCATTAACCATGCTGTGCGTTCGTGATAAACAACTTGTCTTGTCTTGTCAAGGGGTGAGGAACTTGGTACATTCGACGTGAAAGTGGTCACTGCCTGATTACTTTCCCGACCCTCCTTCCAGTGTTCCGTCGAATTCTACCCATTTGTACGACTGAAAACAGACTAAAACATGGTTTTTTCAGATTAAAAACGATGTTTTATTGGTCTGTTTTCAGTCGTACGTTCCCACCCAGCCATCCCCACAGGGAAGTAATCCAGTCCACTCCTGCTTGATGGGTTATTCTTCGAGATTTGTGACATGTCATAGGGAGGTGCGTGCGCAACCGGACGGAAACAAGTTTAATGTTTACATTCCAGCTTCTGGCTTCCTCTTAAACGTGCGACTAGACGTGAGGGTATGAGAGATACCCATTTGTACGACTGAAAACAGACCAATAAAACATCGTTTTTAATCTGAAAAACTCATTTTTGTAAAACTTAGGGCAACTATATTTTGAGGATTTTCCAGGGGAAGATGTTTGTTTTTTATGTCCCAAATCTAAAATAGTTGGTTCCTAGAGCAGATGGTTGAACAAGTGTCATGCCTAGTGCAGGCTGGTTGGGTTTGGTCATTGGTTGATAACGGAAATGATACATAGTGATTATTATCCATACCATGAAGTGGGTCGGGGGTTATAGGAGCGGAGTTTGTCCGTCCGCCTGTCCGTCCAGTCCGTCCGCTTCACGATTGGGCCAAATTTCTCAAAAACTCTTTAAGTTAGAGAAATGAAATTTTACACACTGATGTTACTGGTCATGATCACATATGAGTTCGAATATTGGTGCCATAAATTATTTTTTTAGTTTTAGTTAAATGAATGAAAGTTTGCATTCTTATTTAGGAGATATTTGTCAAGACTGAGTTTGGAATTTGGTGCCATAAATTATGTTTTTCCAGAGTTGCCTCCCTTGCTACATGTTTTTAGATTTTGTGCATGCACAGTTTCAGCCCTTCGTCCATATTATTTTTTAGTTTAGTGCATAGTGTCTGCAATAGGGAAAGTGAAATCAGATTTTTTTTCATGACACAAAGCTACCCCAGTGCCCTTCAATCATATAGCTGGAATATTGCTGAGTGCAGCGTTTAACAAAATCACTACTAATATAAATAAACAAAACTCTAACGTGCCTCATGGTGGGATTGTGATAGCACTGTTTTCTTGTTTCATTGATGACAGAATGAGGACTCTGTATGTTTAGTTTCATTAAATATTCGGTAATTGAAATTGGAGTCTGGATAACTAGCTAGGTAGAGGAAGCTCATGACACTGTTTGCTAAGCAATACAAGTTGAGTATAACACAAAGGTCACAAATCAGGTGAGTGAGTGAGTATGGTTTTACGCCGCTTTTAGCAATATTCCAGCAATATCACGGCCGGGGGACACCAGAAACGGGCTTCACACATTGTACCCATGTCGGGAATCGAAACCCGGGTCTTCAGCGTGACGAGCGAACGCTTTAACCACTAGGCTACCCGACCGCCCCACAAATTAGGTGAAGTAACTTTGGTCGCAGAGAGTAGCTGGATGGGTGACTGTGTGTAACAGCCTGGTTCCTGTGAGTTTCTAGGGCTTTAGTCCTGATCCACACTGAAAGACATGTTGCACACTTTGTGTCTCCTTCAGCAAGTGACTTTGTTCGAAATATGCTTCTTTTCACTTTGAAGTGAATGGGTACCCAGTAGGATGAGAGGGTAATGTGGCTGTTAACCTTCTAGCACCTGTTGTTGTTGTTGTTGTTGATGTTGTTGTTATTGTCGTTATTATTATTGTATTCTGTTTTTCTTTTAAGGGTTTGGCATTTCGTAAGGGTTCCCATCAGTTGTTCAGCGCATCACATGATCGATCCGTGAAAGTCTGGAATCTGGATGAAATGGCTTATGTGGAAACCCTGTAAGTAGTAAGGATGGAAGCTCTGCTAAGACAAGATGTGAAAACTTTCATGAAAGTGTACATACTACCGGGTATTTGTCATGTTTGTGATGAAAAGTGGCACATAAATTGTTTGTTTGTTTGTTGCTTACCGCCCCGCTTTGAAAGGAAGTCATGTGATCTCGGGAAAAAGGGAGGTGTACTTGGTGAAAGAACATATACTTTCAAGAGATAAATACAGATTGTTATACAAGCATGTGTGTCATACTGATTTTATGAAACGGGTGTCAGAATTCTTGTATTTCCTGAGCATGAGCGAGGGTAGTACATGAATTCTTGCATGAGTTGAGTAAAATCAGCATGACACATGTGAGGGAAATAATTTCTGTATCACCCATTATTTCTAAATCCCTTTTAGCTCCCCTTCAGAAAAATGCACTGATCACCACTGCTGTCATAGAAAACCACAATTTGTTGAATGATGTCAACAATCTTCAGCTATGATATCGTTTCTAGTGTGACGTTATTCCGATCTTACGCCACAATAAGATTTGGATGACGTAAACAATGCCGTCCGGAAAACATAAACAATGCACTGGTGTGCAAGAAGTGGTATTGCACCAGTCCACACACAGTTTTTATGTTGTTTCTAACCCTATGTGTAATAATGTTGTTTATTAAATGGATGTGTCACGTGAAGATCCAGGTTAGAATATGTCTCCAGCAACCCATGCTTGTCGTAAAAGACAACTGACAAGATCAGGTGGTCAGACCATCCTGATTTGCCGACTTGGTTGATGCATGTCATCGTATCCCAATTACATGGACCGATGCTTATGATGTCAATCACTGGATTGTCTGGTCCAGACTTGATTATTTACAGACCGCCATCATATAGCTGGAATATTGCTGAGTGCGGCTTTCAACAAAAAACAAACATAAAGACAACATAAATGGACGCAACTTCCTCCACTATCCAGGGTATTGTGTCGCTATTCCATTGTGACAATGGACACTTTTGCTCTGTTAAGGGAGTGACATGACCATTGATAATATCTCTAACTGGGCACATGACTTCTTTCAGTTGGACGAGTACTTTGATTGTACAATTATACAATGTTGTCCTCAAATGGTAGTGAATTGGTCCAGGACATATGTCAAAAAGTATACGATACACTGGTCAATTGCAGACGGGTATGTAGGTAAGATACTGTGACGTGATTGGTGACTACCGGTAATTATGTTTATAGATGAATGAATTTTGTTGTTGTACTTCCGCGTGTTGTTTTATTCAACTTTTAACAAATGTTTGAAGTAGGAAGATCATAGGTATTCCCGTTAGTGGCCCAACATTTCTGCCATCTTACAGAAAGTGATGTGAAGTGTAAGTCCATGTTGTCTTGTTTAGATTTGGCCACCAGGACTGTCTGACTGGTGTGGACAGCCTGTCACGTGACCGGGCAGTGACATCTGGTGGCAGGGATCGGACGGTGCGGGTGTGGAAGATCATCGAGGAATCACAACTCATCTTCCACGGACACGTGTGCGTAGACATTTCAAAGATAAATAGTCTTACAATAGCAATTTTGCAAAATATACGTTCAGTAATTTCTGAAAATGACCTGGATAGTGATTTATATGTCCGCTTAACGAAAAGCAAATGGTTACAAGTAGTGACACTCAACTCAGTTTGGAGCTATGTGTTTTGTTGCTATTTGCAAGTTAGAGTTGCCCCCCTTGATCATACAAGGATCATATCACCTTATCATTATGATCCTTGGTTTGTCAGCACCACACCCGTGCTCGTAGTTTTCACCAGAGTGGTTGACCCGCATTACTCCGGGTTTCTCCCACATTAAGCACTCGCCGCGAATAGCTGCAAGATTGCTGATGCGGCGTTAAGCAAAACTTACTCACTCACTCCCACATTAAGCAGACTTGATGTGGTGTAACAAAACCACTGTTCAAAGCAGCATTAAACCCAACTCACTCACTCACCCACTTCATAGGCCATGGAACATTACTGATCCCTTCAACCACTAGTTTGTGTGGCCCAGACCGATTATTTACAAGCAGCTAAGATATGGTGTGAATATTGCAGATTGGCATGAAACAAAATTCGACCTGTGAAGATCCGGGTTAGAATAGGGCTTCAGCAACCCATTCTTGCTGTAAAAGGAAGCGTATCCCAGTTGCATGTATCGCTGCTCATGATGTCAAAACTTCTAACTTCTTGGCACGAGTGAGGGAAGTTTTCAGACCAACATATCTGGTTTCTGTAGGTCAAAAATATAATCAGTGACTCCTAACTGGCATAAAATAAAGCTGGGTTTATATATTGTGGCAGATTCATATGTACCCTGTTGTTTCTGAGTGACATGGCTTCTATACCTATAGGGAGTAGTGTCGAAGGAATATCTGCTTTCTGTATGGGTTTTGATTTGTACAAATCGAAATGTGGTGATAAAAAGCAACGCCAACTCACTTTAGGAAGCTGACACCTGATTGTCACAGGAACCCACACATCCTGTGTTTAGTTTGGAGACAAAGTTGTCTCAGGGTCCACCTCTCACAGCCTGCTATGGAGATTTCCTCAGGGAGTTACTGTATCGGGGTAGAAGGCCTGATAGTCCTGAGATTAGGAGTGCCACGTATAGACAAATTGTGTATTGTTCACCTGGATGATGTCTGTCTTGCAGTGGCTGCGGCTCTATAGACTGTGTGTCTCTCATCAACGAGTCAACGTTCGTCACAGGGGCTGATGACAAGTGAGTTGATTCTGTTGTATAGTTCATTGCCGATTGATTAGACGTACAGTTGATTACTGATTGATTAGGCATACAGTTGACTACTGGTTGATTAGATACAGTTGACTCCTGATTGATCAGACGTACAGTTGACTGCCGATTGATTAGACGTACCGTGGACTGCTGATTGATTAGATATAGTTGACTCCTGATTGATTAGACGTACAGTTGACAGACAATTGATTAGATGTACAGTTGACAGACGATTGATTATTAGACGTACAGTTGACTGCCAATTGATTAGATATAGTTGACTGCCTGATTGATAAGACGAAACCACAGATAATTTGGCCATTATACTCCAAAGTATTGACTGTGAATATGTTGAAACCACTGTTAATTTGGACATTATACTCCAAAGTATTGACTGATATGATAATACCCTGGTGATGTTGACTGCCTGCAGCTCCGTGTCGCTGTGGAGTGTCAACAAGAAGAAGCCCCTCACTACCGTCAAGCAGGCCCACAAGGCAGGGGAAGGTCAAGGTCACCAGGAGAACTGGATCAGCGCAGTTGTCTCCCTTCAAAACACTGACCTTGTTGTGTCCGGTAGGTCACCAGGGCATCAGAGAATACATGGTGTCCCTTGTTTAACAAATATCAGCTTGGTGACTTGGATGATTGTGTGTAATGGTACCCCGACTCACAATATCGATCACTGGATTGTTGATTATTTTCAGGACGCCGTCATATACCAGGAATATTGCCGAGTGCGGTGTTAAAGATCAAACATTATCTTGGCGTCTTATATTCGGAAGCACAATATCTTTTGAAACACACTATTTTCAGAATGTCCAAATTATCCAGTGAATGATGTTACTTTTGTTTAAATATTATTATTTTTACATCTTGTCCTCACAGGACATGAAATGATCCGTCTTTTTATAGTGAAGCTGCAACAGTGCAAGATGAATGATAATCATTTAGTGACTCTAAGATGAAGTGATAAACCCAATAAATAGCACTTAGTTCTTTTTTGGATATTTTTATGACAAAAATTACTCTTAACACATTATAATATTTTCATTCCTTATATTTTCGATATGTTTTATACGAAAACACACTGAGCTGCTAGTCTCCATGTCTTGGACATCCAACTGTAGATGTGTTCCGTCTGTGTCAGCAGGGGCTCGTGATGGATCTGTCAGGTTCTGGAAGTGCGGAGCAGAGTTCAAGTCTCTCACCTGCATAGCATCACTACCTGTGGTAAGTCATCAACACCTGTGGTAAGTCATCACCACCTGTGATAAGTCATCTCTACCTGTGGTAAGACATCACTACCTGTGATAAGTCATCACTACACGTGGTAAGACATCACTACCCGTGATTAGTCATCACTACACGTGGTAAGACATCACTACCCGTGGTAAGTCATCACTACCTGTGGTAAGACATCACTACCTGTGGTAAGACATCACTACCTGTGGTAAGTCATCACTACCTGTAGTAAGACATCACTACCTGTGGTAAGTCATCACTACCTGTGATAAGTCATCACTACCTGTGGTAAGTCATCACTACCTGTAGTAAGACATCACTACCTGTGATAAGTCATCACTACCTGTGGTAAGTCATCACTACCTGTGATATGTCATCACCACCTGTGGTAAGTCATCTCTACCTGTGGTAAGACATCACTACCTGTGATAAGTCATCACTACCTGTGGTAAGACATCACTACCTGTGGTAAGACATCACTACCCGTGATAAGTCATCACTACCTGTAGTAAGACATCACTACCTGTGGTAAGACATCACTACCCGTGATAAGTCATCACTACCTGTGGTAAGTCATAACTACCTGTGATATGTCATCACCACCTGTGGTCAGTCATCACTACCTGTGGTAAGACATCACTACCTGTGGTCAGTCATCTCTACCTGTGGTAAGTCATCACCACCTGTGGTAAGTCATCACCACCTGTGGTTAGACATCACTACCTGTGGTAAGTCATCACTACCTGTGGTAAGACATCACTACCTGTGATAAGACATCACCACCTGTGGTAAGACATCACCACCTGTGGTAAGTCATCACCACCTGTGATAAGACATCACTACCTGTGGTAAGACATCACTACCTGTGATATGTCATCACTGCCTGTGGTATGTCATCACTACCTGTGGTTAGACATCACTACCTGTGGTAAGTCATCACTACCTGTGGTAAGACATCACTACCTGTGATAAGACATCACCACCTGTGGTAAGACATCACCACCTGTGGTAAGTCATCACCACCTGTGATAAGACATCACTACCTGTGGTAAGACATCACTACCTGTGATATGTCATCACTGCCTGTGGTATGTCATCACTACCTGTGGTAAGTCATCACCACCTGGGGTAAGTCATCACTACCTGTGATATGTCATCACTACCTGTGGTATGTCATCACTACCTGTGGTAAGTCATCACCACCTGTGGTATGTCATCACTACCTGTGGTAAGTCATCACCACCTGTGGTAAGACATCACCACCTGTGGTAAGACATCACTACCCGTGATAAGTCATCACCACCTGTGGTATGTCATCACTACCTGTGGTAAGTCATCACCACCTGTGGTAAGACATCACCACCTGTGGTAAATCATCACTACCTGTGGTAAGACGTCACTACCTGTGGTAAGTCATCACCACCTGTGATAAGACATCACTACCTGTGGTAAGACACCTGAAGCTGAATATCACATTAATCCCAACTCTTTAGCACAGTGGGCCCAGTTGGTCCAGTCGTCTATGGCGCTTTGCAGAGCTACGTCCCTTAGACAAGCCAGAAACTTATCGTTAAATGTCCCTGATTATTTTTCTAGATTTGCAGCTTTTTGCTTTTGGGTGTGACCAAATTGGTAAACATCTGAGACTTGCATCACTTTGTATAACTAAAATGCTGCTTGATGAGAGTTAAATCTAACTCACTCACTCTCTCACTGTCTGTTACAGAAGGGGTTTGTAAACAGCCTGCAGTTCTCGGGGGACGGGCGTGTCCTGGTGTTGGGGGTAGGGCAGGAGCACCGACTGGGGCGCTGGTGGAGGGACAAGACGGCCAGGAACTCACTCTTCATCATCCCCATCAAGAAGAAGTCATAGAGCTTCATCACAATAAATATTTTGTATATAGCTGTAGTTTGTAGTTATTGTGTGGGAAAAGACATGATCATCCAGGATCATCCAGGATTGTCCCGTGTACTCTCTCCATTGTATTACTGTCAATACCCAGGACCCATTTCCTACCACAGCTTCATTAGACTGATGACAGAATAGGTAGGCATTGTGATGCATTACTCCACTGAATGTTGTTACTGATTGGAAGTGGTGTCTACAGATTTTTTGTTGACTAAATATTTATGAGAATTGACTTGGACAGGGTTTTGAGTTTATGGAGTCAACATAATAACTAGTGTGCACGCTGTGTAAACTAAAGTGTGCGTGCCATTGATTATGTATCTAGTTTTAAACAAAAAAGTATTAATTGAAACCAATTCTTAAATAGAATGGAGATATTGGACAATCATGGATCACCCATTATGTTCAGGTTAAGATGACTGTGTCAGGGGCACTGGGGACTTCCAACAGTGTGGATGGTCATCCTGCTGGCGAGCCTCACTAAAGTTGGCCCCTTCATGTCGGGAATCGGTTGCACGGTCCTCTACGGCTTTGCAATTTGCTGTGCAGAGTTGGGCCTGCCAACAATCTATGATCATGGGTTCGAATCCAGGTTAGCCCTGATTATGTTTCTAGGTTGGTCAGCACCATACCCATGCTTGTGGGTTTCACCAAGGTGGTAAAGGTCTGAGACTGGCATCACTTCAGGCTTTCCTCCAACATCAAGCTGGGAGGTGATGTAAGTGGAATACTGTTTGGTGTTGAAACCCAACTCCCTTACTCTCACTCACTCACTCACTCACTCACATGCATTATCTAAAAAAATGGCATCCCATCTTACACGTCATGGTTGTCTCATAAGAGCCGACTATGAGAAATTGAGAAATATGATTCGTTTCTCCGACTATCAGCAACTGGTATACCTGTTCTGACTCGGCAGAGGACTGTGGCCAATACAAATTGCTTACACTGCAAAGAGATCCCAGACCAGTATCACTGAAGAGTCCAGGGGTGACTGTGTCAGATCTGAAGCCAGCTTCACCATGCATGTCCCAGAACCACCAGGACAGGTAAGTTCCCCGATGAATAATGCTTGTGGTAAGCAACTTTGTCATTGGTCTGGGTGACATTGTTGATTGTCACCATACACTGGAATATGATTTTGATTGTATCAATCACTGAATTGTCTGGTCCAGAAAGCTGGAATATTGCTGAGTGTGGAACTTAAATGGGGATCAGGTGGTCATGTTTAGGTTGATCGATATTTCACCAGACTGGCATTAAACAGCATTGACTCCACTAAAGTTCAAAAGAATTGTTTTTTTGTCTTTTAACGCAATATTCCAGCTATATGATGGTTGTCTGAAAATAGTCTAGTCTCTACCACACAATCTAGTGATTGACATCATGAGCATTGGAATCCGTCAGTAGTCAGAATAGTCAGTCTGACCACCCAATCCCGTCACCTCTTGCCACAAGTATGGGTTGGTGAAGACAATTCTAATCCGGATCATCACAGGTCGATATACAATGAGAAGACGGTTCATAGAACAGCTGTGAGTTGTCTGTGACTGGGACTTCAGGGCTGTGAAAAGCCCCTCCTTCACCAACAGATGCACCATACACATGACACCAACTCAGAGTACCTTCAAAACCATATTTATTCCAAGGAGTAAAACCCAAACAATGAAGTAAGGCCACTACAGTGTATGGTTGCATATACTGTGGATGTGCAGCGTCAGGACCATCTAGAGTGGCTAACAGCAGGACTAGGAGATTATACATGGGTCAAAACTGCCAGTGAAGAGGCGAACATGAACAAGAATGCACACACCAATGACAAAAGAATAAATTAATGTCTGAATATCAATCATGAAGTGACCACAATTATTTACGATTCTACATGTGATTTTGGCAATATGTTCACCCTGTCATCTACTGGTTTGTTGGGAGCAGGCTTGAGGATTCTAGGACAGAATGGTACCACATATAGGTACCATGTCCAATGGTGGTATATTTTTTATCACCATTTAAAACTATTACCTAGCTAATTAAAAAAATGTGTACAAAGCAGTTTCGTGTTATGTGATCCCTGTGTCTTTATTTCTGTTTTGCAAGATTCCGGAATCCTAGCCAAAACCATGACTTCCAGTACTTACGATATACTTTCTATTCCAACAGGAAAGCTTACATCAAATATCATCCTCGATAATCTAGGGCATTATATTTCCATATTATTGTGGTAAATACCGTGGACCCATTCACTACAATAGCCTCGTTTTTGAGCCCCGAATGGCAGGATGCTAATAAAATAGGGCGTACAGTCATATAAATCATGAGCGAGAGAAAAACTATGCTGTTAGTGATGATAAATGGAGATACGGACCTGAAACGAACCTGTGCGGGGACTGGGCCCTGGGTCCAGGGTGTTTATCGTAATAATGGAGATATATTACCCTGGATAATCGAGGATGCTCGGATATTGGGATTATTATTTTGTCACCATCAGTTAGAAGTAACCTGAATTCCCTATGATGTTATGTACCTTACATTCCCATTGGTGTTGGACTACAATATATGTATATATATATGTACAAGATAAACAAGTGATTGAGCAACAAAAAGGAAGGATGAAGCTGGTGAAATGAGGGACCAGTCATTAATCATAGGGTTGGAGTTACCCGATTCTAAATAAAAAATATTTCATACATATGTTGCAACTCCCCCAAAGACTTGTACACTTTCCCACTAACACCCCGACCACCCATATATGTAGTTATTTTCTTAACCGTTCCCCTTAAACTATACAGTTATGTATTGGTGTATTGGATGAGAACCTCCCTTGCCTATCTCTTGCGTCGCTTCGCCCCGCCCCGCAATAAATGACTGGTCCCTGCAATGATATACATCTTTAGCAAGCTACTCTGCAACATTAAACATGTACACCTCATAAGATAACATCATCTGTACATTTACATCTTGTGGGAGGTATTTAATTGAAAACTGATTGAAACTGGTAAAATAAAACATTTTGAATCTGTTACACTAATAACGTGATTGTCAGTCGGCTCGCACAGGGCGGTAACCATATTCCATATATTATATAAATACAAGTATGTTATTTATACATCAGATACGGAGCTTGAACAGCCCTTTAGTCCAGCCACGTGTACCATGGCTCTCCATGCACAGCCCTACTCTGTGTGGAGACCTACCCTGTCTGCAGCTAGTAGTGAGAGGAAGCGAGAAATATACTCCAAGTCAAAAGTAACGCAGCTCATGGCATTTATTTATCACCTTATCGGTAGCATCAGATTAATGTAGGAGTATCTCCCAAAGTGATGCAGGTGTTATACGTTTACTATTTTGGTGAATCCCACGGGTATGGTGCCGTTAAAGGCTCAAATTAGGGAGAATCTGGAATTCGAACCCACGATCTTAGGATTCTGATACACCTAAGGGACGCAACTGCATATCACCATTACTCTCATCTTAACTCAGACATGTCTGATAGTGCTTCTTCATTAATCGACAGTTAAACTGGTCCAGACCAGACACCTGGTGTTGGAAAGGAATGTGTCATTGAAGAGGTTACAGGTATACATTGGTAATACGCAGTATTAATTGTATCAGTACCTAGTCATACAATAGACATGATTAATAAACATCTTGTTGGAAGCATAGGCATATAATAAACATCTTGTTGGAAGCATGTATAGTTTAATTTGAATTAAAAATGTTGTGATACAAGTCATGAACATAGGGGTTATTACACGAGCATGTGTGTCATACTGACTTTACGAAACGAGTGTCAGAATTCTTGTACGTCCGAGAGAGAGCGAGGGTAATGCATGGATTCTTACATTAGTTTCGTAAAATCAATATGAAACACGTGCGATTGTAACAATTTATTTACTACCCATTATTTCCCGCGAGCTTAAAAATGTCTTATTACCTATCATTTCTTACACCTTACGTCACAAGATTCGAGCGACGTCAACAATGCCGTCGGGATGACGTAAACAATACACTTGTGCGCGTGAAGTGCACATATGGTTTTTATTAACTGGGTTATTTCTAACCCTATGGGTAATAACACACAGATATGCCCACACGGGTTTATAACGCCAAAATAGAACCTACAATATATATGGTTACAAGCAGTGTTCGTATATAAAAGGATCGCTCTGCCTCTGATTGTGACCATATATCTTGTAGGTGCTATCTACAAACATGACACGGATTTTTGACAAGTCAGTTCCTCTAAGACTATAACGAGTGAGTCTGGTTTGAACAGTGTCCACTTACATCAGGTGTGTCCGCGGTCGAGTGAGAAGAAAGCACAAAGTGAAGCCGTGACTGTGGAGAAATGCTGGTACGGAGCTGACAAAACGTGCATCATAACTATTACCAACCAAAGATCAACGAACGATTTGCTGATCCTAGCACGCACAGGGGACGTAATTCTGAGTAGGGAATTTCTACTTAAAATTAGATCTTAGTTCTCGCTATCGCTAAACAAAGATCTTTGTTTAGCTGCAGCGAAAACTTAGATCTGATTTTTATGAGATTGGGAATGTCGACGAACAGTAGTCTGATTATGACTATCATCTATAATTATTCCACAGAAACAGAATATGGCAACTTCAATTACGCACATAGTTTTCTCTCCGCGATTCATTACTAATCTTTTTTAACTGTTTTTTTTCCCGTGCACGGGATGTTTTCTTTTCTTTTAGGCCTTCCGTATATTTTTCTGAGTTACCCATCTCCTGCTCGCTCTGAATTTTGAATCTGAAGCGAAATAATAAAGTTTCCGTATCTCAATTGTCCCCGCCGATGCGATATAAAAATATACTTCTACCATTGTGCACTCATAAAAGACCGGTCTTTCTTCAGGTATTTGTATTAAAAATTTGTTTCGAAGCAAAGCGACTCGATCTACGTCAGAAACTGGGGTCGGGTAGGCTAGTGGTTAAAGCGTTCGCTCGTCTCGCCGAAGACCCGGGTTCGATTCCCGACATGGGTACAATATGTGAAGCCTAGTTGTGGTGTCCCCTGCCGTGATATTGCTGGAATATTGCTAAAAGCGGCGTTAAACCATACTTACTCACTCACTACGTCAGAAACTAATTAAAAGACTGGTACCAGTGTTTTAAACTTTTAAATGTCATAAAATAAGTGACACAATTAGTGTAAAACACTATAAAAAACTGTGAATAAAATCTATTTCTCTCGCTCGCTCTCTTGCTGGTTGAGTTTGAAGATTAGAAACACACAAAAAATATGGATGGCTTTAGAAAATGTTCCGGGGTAAGAGTTTCATGTCGGACTTTCAAGGTTTATGACGACTGCATAATGGTTCACATCGCACACCCCCAACACCCACACTCTAGATACCACATTTTCTGAATGGCTTCTCACACAAGCCTTGATATCGTTAACTTGAAAGGAGGTGAAACCTAAATTTGTTGACACACAAAAACATGCAATATGATCATCTAAGAGAGAAATTATTACTAAAAAGGCAAAAACTAGGAACTATACAATGAGCACGTTTCCCCCAGTGTTGTTTGTTGTTCCAAGCTCCTGTTATGCCCGTAAGCACTTTAAGCACGTACTGTTTGTCATCATGTCAACATTTAAATATTAAATCAGGGTAATTTTACCACAACACAATAATGTGTGCCAGACAAGGCGGGGTTCAGATATGACGTCATCCCAGACTGAGCTAATTTGACAACGTTACGCCCACATATAATTTCCAAACCCATCTTTGTTCTTCGGGCATATTCGTTATCACTCGGCACACTTCGTAACCCGCTATTCGGTTAATTCCGGAAAGTCATAAATTCTTTGACCTTTGACAACCGTTTGCTAGGGAACTGCCAAAATGGAATGTTGCCTTTAAAATACAATAATTCTTCTACTCATGTGTAAGAACACTAGACCGCTATCCCGTGACTAGTAAATGTATTAAAAGCATGTTGACTCGACTGAATGTTTCTAGGTTTGTCAGCACCATTCCTGTGCTCGTGGGTTTCACCAAAGCGGTAATAACGACCTGTACCTATTCGAGCTTTCTTCCCACATGGAGCTGATGTAACTGGAATATTGTTCAAAGAGACGTGAAACCAAACTCCCCCCTTCGTCCGAAATTCCGAAACGACGTGTTTGGGAGGAACCGGATTTCGGGTTACACAGATTCTATGGCATATGCACGGCAGTGCTGTTTCGTCGTTTGTGAACTGCAAATGTCTGTCCAAACATGTCATATTTGTTGAAAACACTGAAATACTAAGGTGACAAGAAGTCTATGCCATCCAAAACCATTCGCTAATTAACATTATTATTTCAAAGGATTATCATGTATGGTGAAGAACAATGAAACAAGCCAAGCGATCGTGCAACATCTACAAATGTATAATTGGCGGATCCGGAGATTAGAGGAGGGTGATGTCTCACTGAATCGCATATGAACCCACAAATACTAGTATTAGCTGTGTATTTTAAATACAGACGATTCTACCAGTATCAGTGCCTGATTTAATGAACCCCGGATCCGCCTGTGCTAACATTTCTCACGCACCTTTGGTTGGTGTACGACGTCAATGTCATACCGGAAGCTAAGGTAGTCCTATTATCTTAAAGGGGTTCTTTGACTACGTAAAACGCTTCCTCGCAATAACAGACTAACGTATACACACACTACATTGTCACATGTTGACCTATCAAATCAGGTTCAGTCTAGTCCCCCTTTAATTCGAATCAATCCGACCTAATGACGAGAGAGTTGTGTTATGCCACAAAAAGGACCATATAAGCATGTTTACCCTGGCGGTCATAGTCACAACTGTGAGAAGTACTACTTTTAGAATAAATACGCCTGCTTTTTTCGACGAGGTGAACTCGTCACGTGATCACTCTTGTATGTTTCAACCAGTAACTGAAGGCGTAATCACTCGACTAAATTAAGAGTGTGAGTGTTTTTCTTGTCTTTGTTTTTTTTAGCGTGTGTGTGTGTTTTTGAGTCTGTGTTTGTGTGTGTGTGTGTGTGTGTGTGTGTGTGTGTGTGTGTGTGTGTGTGTGTGTGTGTGTGTGTGTGTGTGTGCGCGTGCGTGTGGTGTGTGTGTCCACATTGCGAAAACAGTTTGCAAACTAATATCTACAGTTTGACAAACTGTTAGCGCGAAAAAGAATCGGTCTCTATTCTCACTAATATTTTAACCAACGATTCAGTGTTTTCAAACTCGATGTGACGCGTGAAAGGTTCTCAAACATGTTGGTCGCCTACAACCAATCACATACTGTGTAGATAATGCCGACGCCATTTTGTAGCAGACCTAAGTACACACATGGCGGACGCCACGAAGTATCTGAATTCACCTTAGATTACCCACTGTAACACAATCACAACGCTACGTCCACATACAACATATTTAACAACAACATCTGCTGCAATTCATGCTGAATGATTGTCGTGATTTACAAACATATTCATAAATTTCATAAATATGACGCTTCAGATATCACAGTTAAAATACAAACACTCTACTTAACGTCCTATAGCGAGGGCGGTGACGTCATGCCGAGGGACCAGGTTCGAATTCCCACATGGTACAGTGTGGGAAGCCTATTTGTCCCTGTAGTGCAACTCCTGGAACAAGGCTAAAGCCGTACCCCGAGTGACATTACTGTTTATATGGCTTGTCTGAGCTATAGCTAACACGACACGCATTCCGCGGTCCAGTGGATTCCCAATAACGAGGTTCCACTGAAGCGGTTTTAGAAAGCGTGACGTGTGTAATGCAGTATTGGCGGAGAAGTCTGATAACCTCTCGACAGCGCAACGTTTCGCATCTGACACGATTGCGTAGGTTTACGAAACTTGGACCAAGTCACCACCGACTAACATATAGTGGAATTCTAGCTGAATCTAAGACGAGACAGAGAATACTGTCGGATCCCAACATTGGTGCATTGCATCAATGTTTGCATCTATCTCTCTAAGGGACGCGTGAACTACTTGTCAACGGCGGCTTAAGTTGCCAACGAACGTTCATTCCACTCACTACGTTATCACACGATGACGCTTACATAACTTCTTTTCATCGTCACAGGTTTCAAAATTCCACAATGACGCTTACTAAGCTATTTTTCAGCGTCACATGTTTTTTTAGACACACAAGTTCAAATTGCTATGTATTACATGAGGTGTGAAGAAAGGAATTCCACCGTGACTTATTTAGGTCACGTGTCACTATAGGTCTGTCCGTCTTTGTGTAAGGCTCGATGGCGTCATTAAATGACTGGATTTCCCACGACACAACCCAGAGCCTCACCAGAAGGAAGACCATGCACATCTGTGGGAGCCTGAGTTTCATCTGTGTTCCATGTACAATTCATTGCATTCGTTAGTTTACATACTACTCAAAAAGATGTAAAGAACAACCGAACGGCTAGAACAGATTAACAATAATCATATGAGAAAGTCCGGCTGTTCTTTAACTTGTTTTGAGTAGTATATACAAACATTGCCATTACTACATTTGCTATTGGAAAGATGAAAATCAAGCTCCTCTTTAGGTTGGGCCACCAACCAGAATAAGGCCACGTTCTGTGACGGTCATTTATAGTGGACCGATCGTTTTAGCTTCCCATGCGTACAAGAACATTCTCTGCAATTGGTTCGCGACAGCACGCAGACGTAGAATGTTGACGATGAGGTTGCTGGTTTACAGGAGGTCATTGAAGCAAGACGTGTCATCCTTCTATAGTGTTTACGGACACGAGAATGTCCTGAACACGCATATCAACACGCATACAAGTAGCATCAGTTTGTGGCTCGTCACAACCGAAGATGCTCCTGCGTCATCGTCGGCATCAGCGTCCCCGAAAGAATAAATTCCCTCATCTTCAAACTTCACCTTTAGACATTTAGGAGGCTGGAAGCCCTGCATTATTTTCACGACAACGTTGGCAGCAGAACGACCACATCGCCGGCGGATCACCTTTGAGGAGCACGACACTGCAACTTTATAGAATCTACAAAGAATATAGACATTGCTTGATAAGAAGTGTTGCATACATAAAATATTCATCACCATCTTATGTATGTATGAAATCCGTACGTGACAATGTCATTCCTTGAAAACATTTATTCAAAGATACACGAATAATGCTTTCGGATTTGGCCATGCATTTTAGAACCAAAGAAACACATACATTCCTTAAAGAGGAACAACTCGACACATTCGGGACTAGTTTTGAGTGAGTGAGTGAGTTGGGTTTAGCGCCGCTTATAACAGTATTCCAGTTATATCGCGGCGTGTCAGTTTAATGTGGGGGAAAAGCCCGAAGTGATGCAGGTCTCAGATGTTTACCACTTCGGTGAAACCCACGAGCACGGGTATGGTGCTGAAAAACCAAGAAACATAATTTGGGCGAATCGGGATTCGAACCCACAATCATAGGTTTCTGACGTGCCAAGGGACGCAATTCTGCACAGCGAATCGCGACGCCTTAGACAACTGGGCCACCCGTTGAATGGAAATGAGACATATTCTTCATGTAATTAGGGTAACTATTAATTGATATACAGTCGAAACTCGCTTATCCGGAAAATTGCGTTTTTCTCAAATAATGTCCGGATAAACGAATTTCCGCATATCTGAATCCCTTGTCAGTTACCTCGCCCTACCCAAATCTACGGATGCCAAAAAATATCACATAAATGCATAAGAGTATTCGAGTATTATGCGCAGCAAAAACGTTACACCGTATCCCCTCTGCATGCGAATTCAAGTGAACGAACAGGTGATAACAAACTTGGTGAGAGAAATGAGAAAATTTTGAAATAAAACATCACAAGACAAACTGATTTACCATCTAAATTGTTTTTTAAAGTTCTGCTAGGCATTGTTTTATATGCAGGGATTATGATTACCGTGGGTAGTTTCTCGTAAACCAAGTCGTACACACGTTTTCTCCCAGTCCACCGGTGATTCAGTTAAAAAATACCCTATGATGTAACTTCATGAAATTTTCATAATTTAATTTAAAATAATAACCAAAACGTATTACTTTGGTACAACTGATTGCTATTGCCGGATATATTTTAAGTGTGGAACAGTTTGATCAGTCACCGTTGAGATTTCCCGCGGTCTTGCTATTTCTATCGCGAAGACGTTATGTTGGCTTATAATAGTCAGGCTGTAACAACGAGTCAAAGTATCCATTCCCTGTCAACTAACGTTCGCTTCAAAGCGTCTTAATAGCAGTAATCTGTTCGTGGTTGGTGCAAATAACGGTGAGTTGGTGCAATCACTCACGATTACCCCGAAGTTAATGTAAACAATATTGAATAAAATTTTAAATAAAATTAATCAAATAGATTACAAACATGTTGGAAACATTTTAATTTGGACCCGACCCCCATGGAAAGTGTGATCTCAATCTTCACTATTTCCTCTAACAGACGTTTTTAGATTGGAGGTATGGCTGCAAAATGGAAGGGCCACACTTGCCTGCATGCTGACGTCATCATGACGTCAATGTTGACGGTGGCCTTGGCTTTCGTCTTGAAGTTTTTCTGCACCTCGTGTGTGCAGTTAACCTGTTCGGGGTGGGATTCGGCGATACAGCGGGCGTTCGCTTCGTACGCTGAAAATAATAATTACAAGGTTCTAATGAGGGGGTTTGGTTTAGAGCTGCTTTGAACTGTCACAGTATTTCAGTGATATGAATGCGTTACACATAGGAGAAAAGTCCAAAGAGACGCAAGTCGTTGGCATTTACAAACACAAAGGCACGGGCATGGTGCAGACAAGCCATGGACAATAATTAAGATTTAAACCCACGATCCTGGCAAGCCCAAGGGGCGCAACCCTGAACAGTGAGCTGCCAAACACGGCATCCTGCTCCCCCAGTAGCCAAGGAGTCACAGAACCGGATATATGTTTCTTGTGTCCAGACTTATATTAAATCCTTTTCATGGTTTGTATCAAACATTGTGCCTTGTATAAAAGTATACAAACATTTATCTTGCATTTATTAGTTTCACCAAGGGACCGATCATTTCTTCACTTAATTCACTTTATTTCAGAACTTGTAGGCCACGGGCCTTTTTGTACAGACGAAATACAATTTAGGTGCAAACAGTATAAGATATAATACACATTTCTTTGCTTTTTAACAAAAACAGTTTTAACATAATTGCACCTTATACATGTTGGAGTATTTGTGTTCTTACAGCATTGGCATAAAACAAGTACTTTGCTGTATTCATATTGATAACAGGGTCTTGCGATCATTTCTTATTCTGTAAGGTTGATATTTTTGTTTATTACTATTTCTTTTTAAAATACGGTCACTGGACATGCTGGAATTTCTGAAAATAATGTGTTGTGATTCCAAACACTGTTAGTCTTGTCCCCATGAATATGAAATGGTCGGTCCCTAATATAAGACGCAAAGTTTACGTTTGTTTGTTTGTTGTTTAGGCCGCACTCAGAAATATTCCAGCTATATGACGGCGGTCTGTAAATAATCGAGTCTGGACAAAACACTCCAGTGATTGACACCATGAGCATGGCTGTAAGCAATTGGGATACGATGACATGCATCAACCAAGTCAGCGAGCCTGACCACCCGATCCCGTTCGTCGCCTCTTACTACAAGCATGGGTGCTGAAGACCAATTCTAACCCAGATCTTCACGAGTTCAGGGCATTTGTATTTGACTTTAAGCACAATGTATGTTTTTGAATGATTGATTTCCACTTACTTTTGATATTATTACAGAAGTAATTGACACTGGCTTCACTTTTGTCAGGATCCACCATCATCTGGAGAATGTGTTCCCTATCCGTGTTTCCCGTGCAGTTGTCTGTAAGAGCCCGGAGACACGACACTGTCTGGTGAAACAAACCCTCCCTGGAACAACAGTTACATGGATAAGAGCCCGGATACACGACACTGTCTGGTGAAACAAACCCTCCCTGGAACATCAGTTACATGGATAACACCGTCTGGTATTCATGTTAAACTGCGGCATGGTATCTCAGTGAGCTAGCACTATAAATCGGCACCAGCCCGGACTAGTACAAGCAGCCACACATACACGCGCACACGCGCACACGCACGCACGTACGCAAACATGCACATGCACGTGCACGTGCATGCACCTCGCTATAAAAGTGCAATAATCATGGACGCGACGTTAAACCCCATTCCACCTCACTCACTCACTCACCCATATCCTGATGGCGTTAAGTGTTGCTCAAAATACAGCAACCTGACAAAGCTTTGATCACTCACGGGCTGCCATGATAAAACTCAGAGTATTGCTGACAGTGGTGTAACATAATCACTCGTCAGTTGTAGAATATATATCGTAACAGCACCAGCCCTGTCATCATGTAAACTCAGGCTGGGGGATTCCGGGCTAGAATATGTCGCCAGCAGCTTGTGTTCAGGCGACTAAATTGATCAGGTGGTCAGACTTGGTGTGGCGTGTCAACGTACCCCGACGGCGTTTATCGTTGCTCACCATATCAATCACTGGAATGCCTTTAAATCTTCCTGGCTGGCCCAAGCCATTAAAACAACGGACATTCTATTAAGTATTTCTGGAAAGGCTTAATGATCATTTACAGGTCAGTATCAAATAATATGAGATAGCTACGCGATAAATCGCCAAGTACAATGAAGAAGGAAGCGTGGTTTATGCGCCCCCTCGTGATGTATTCTCCCTGCAGTGTTTAATTTAGGAAATAAACGGCGAGTGGGGGTTGTTTATCTTACAATAAAACACTGCAGGAAGAATAAACCATATCCTGAAATAACCCACACTTCGTTATTCATTGTTTTTTGCGATTTATCGCGTACATATCTTATATTGTACGTTGAACAATTTCCACTCGTCGTTTTTGTCGTAATTAAAACACCAATGACGTCACAGATACATGTCTGGATTATGTCAGTATGGGTGGCCCAGTAGAATGTGCAGAGTTGTCAACAGGGCTCCAGGACCTGTTCGTTGGGGGTTTGAATCCTAGATTTATCACGACTCGGATGTATGGTCAGACACTGCATTGCACAGGATCATGGTTTCAGCTGAGAGGTCAACGTCCACGATATGTGTCACTTTAAACTATTGTTTGAGCAGCTTTACATCACTCATTCACTCTCTCACGCACGCACGCACGCACGCACGCACTCTCACGGCATATAATATAAACATACCATTTCTGCACAAGGTCCTGAAATTGATATGTTACGACTCCTACACATCGCAAATGGAATATTGTAACATGCAAATTGCATTGACCACAAACCCACTCACTACGAGAAACAGAGACAAAGCAATTCTTGTCGCTTTTACAGAATGCGCATTCCTGATCATTTATAGTGATCACCAGAGATCTAGTTGCTTGGTTTTCAATGACCATCAATATAATTGTTACCGCTAACTTGCATTTTACTCCTAGTGGAATTTTTTTTCGCGAGTACTGGGGACTAGTTACTCAGTGGCCTTGATGTTTTATATTTACCTGTGCGTGGGAGGTAGTTTTACTTCTGAATAGCTCTGTTATCTTTGTGTGTAGGTTTATGCAGTGTTCCTAGCTGTTTAATAACGCCGGCCACGATTACATTGAGATGCAGATACGAGTGAAGGGCACAGCCGTAAGGACTACTTGTATTTTGATCAATGACAGTTTACCAATTCTGTTGAAAGCACTCCCGTACAAGTATGGCACTCCCATAGTACAGCAATGCAGCCACTGTTGGCATGTACAGTGTATTTGGGGACATGCATAATTGGGTGTAGTGAGATGTGCACTTATATAGCGACGAGCATGCACGTACGTGTGTGTGTGTGTGTGTGTGTGTGTGTGTGTGTGTGTGTGTGTGTGTGCGTGTGCGTGTGCGCGTGCGTGTGTGTGTGTGTGCTTGTACTAGTCCGGACTGGAGCCGATTTAAAGTGCTAGCCCACCGAGATACCATGCCGCAGTTTAACATGAATACCCCGCTCAGACACAGCATACTGACTCCGAGCCGACCAGTCCTTGTTTTAGTCCCTTTATGCCAAGCGCGAGACAGGGCAACAACAAGTATCATCTTTGAACGTCTTTTGGTATGACGCGACCGGGGATCAGACCCCGGACCTTCCTCTTATAGGGCGGACGATCTACCACTGGACCACGGTGGCGGTCCTATGACGTCAGACAATCAGCTACACATTGTAATCATGGGTTGTTAAACAAACATGGATATTTTCAAATCCCAAGCTCCATTTCAAATCACTTCTCACAAATCCCCCAAACTACTTCAAATCACATTCCAGTGGATAGTAATAAAGCCAACCACTGCATTGTGAAATGTCACGAGAACCGTATATCATTTCACCGACAGAGGCGCGGGGACAGACGCTGGAATGATGCGTTGCTGACAGACAGGCCGTCCGCCATTGTGAATCATTATAGTGAATTACCGCATCACATATCGCAATGGGATGACTCTCTGGCGCGTCCGGAGAATTAAAGACGTACGGTTGATATTTTTCAAACATATAAGTGAGTGACTGAGTTGGGTTCAACGCCGCTTTGAACAGTATTCCAGTTATATCGCGCCGTGTCGGCCTAATTGTGGGAAGAAAGGTGTGTTTGTGTGTGTGTTGGTTCATCACGTCGAAGGCACAGGTTCTATTCCCCCGTGAGTACAATGTGTGAAGCCCATTTCTACGAAAGCCTAATGGTGCCACTTTAGTACCATAATTTAATTTATTTTTTTAATCGAAATTTCTCGTTATTTAAATTATTTTCGCGAAATTTCGATTTTTTGCTTGTTACGTGGATTGTTTTCTCGTTACTTCGATTAATTTCTCGTTGTTCCAAGTTTTTGAAATAAACTTTAAATAACGAGAAAACAATCGAAGTAAAGGGAAAATAATCGAAATTTCGAGTTATTGAAACAAACTTGAAATAACGGGAAAATAATCGAAGTTACGAGAAAAAACCGGAGAAAATAAGGAGAAATTTCGATTTGAAAACAATACAATTATGGTACCAAAGTGGTATCAGTAGGCTTCCGTCATTTCTGGCGCTCCCTGTCGTGGTTGCTTGAATGTCGCTACTTTGTTCCAAATTGGTTCCTGTCAGTGGTGGTTGAGGTCCTGTGCATCTTAGCTTGCAGGGGCGGTCGGGTAGCCTAGTGGTTAAAGCGTTCGCTCGTCACGCCGAAGACCCGGATTCGATTCCCGACATGGGTACAATGTGTGAAGCCCATTTCTGGTGTCCCCCGGCGTGATATTGCTGGAATATAGCTAAAAGCGGCGTAAAACCATACTCACTCACTCTTAGCTTGCAGGGACTGTCTGGTCGGGAACACTCACGCGTTTCTTTATACAACATGGAAGGCCAACACTTCATATCACACACTGAAACTATGGAGTATATCAATTTGACAGGTGATTGAGTGGGCTTTTAACACTGTATTTAGTCACGGCAGTTCCTCAAAGATGAAGCTGACACGCCGTGATGTAACTCTTCAAGTGGGGTTTAGCCAAACACATTCACTCACCCACCCATTCGTGACCACTCAAAGATGAAGCTGACACGCCGTGATGTTTTTGTGACCAACTCGCCAAATGTCCCCCACCAACACATCCACCTACCTGCACGCCATCTTGGCCTTCTCGACCTCCCCCCCACGGACAAACTCCCGCTGGCCGGCCTGGGGAGGGCCGATCCCGATGCCGAGGTTGGCAGTACACAACTGCGCCATCTGGAGGACTTTTAGAGGACATTCGCATCTCACCACCACCAGAGCTGAAGACAAGACGCAAACACTCAGATTCAGAAGAACACATAATAATGTTAATATTTATAATGCGCCAAATCCACCCCCTTGAGGATGCCCAAAGCGCAATATTATTCCTGGTAAATGGATCAGTGTGCACTCGAATTTCATTTTCAGCTCCCTGGGGAGAATACATCCCAACAAGCCTGTGAGGCGATAGAAATTTAACAGCCACATTACAATTTCTCATTCACTGCTAGGTGAACAGTGGCATATTTCGAACAAAGTTACTTGCCCAAGGAAGCACCACATGTGCTACATGGGCTTCATGTGCTTCAGTGTGGGGCAGGACCGAAGCCCACCCAACTACTTTCAGAAACCGACGTTCCTTAACCTCACCTGATTTGTGCCCCGTGCACAAGTTCACATGTCTCCATTTGTATCTTTAAAGCGCCGTGGCTTAACAATCAAATCTAACAGTGAGTGAGTGAGTGAGTGAGTGAGTGAATATGGTTTTTACGCTGCTTTTAGCAATATTCCAGCAATATCACGGCGGGGGGACACCAGCTAACATCAGAGCTCAGACTAGACAGTGAATGTTGTTTAACGCCGCATGCAGCAGTGTTCCAGCTGTACCATGATGGGCTTTAAAAGTTCAAGTCTGGACTAGGCTAACCAGCGACAGGGGAACGATGACTGGTGGGGAAGCAAGTCACACAGTCCGGCCACCTGATCCACAATTTAGACGGTTCCTACGATAAGCGCATGTCGCAGTGTGCCAATTCTGAGCCGGTTTTCCAACGTATCCAGAATTAAATTCTACCCAAGACTGACATTCAAGTGGGTGCGAGAGTGAATGAGGTGGATGTAATGCCGCTCTGAATTGCATGTTGGTTACCTCACGATTTGTTTTTTTATTTTTGCTTAACGCCGCACTCAGCAATATTCCAGCTATGTCACGGCGGTCTGTAAACAATCGAGTCTGGACCAGACAATCCAGTGATTGATATCATGAGCATCAATCCACGCAATTGGTTTTTTTGGGTTGGTTTGTTGTTTAACGGCGCACTCAGCAATATTCCAATTATATGACGGCGGTTTGTATATATTCGAGTCTCGACTAGACAATCCAGTGATTGATATCATGAGCATCAATCCACGCAATTGGTTTTTTGGTTTAGATTGTTGTTTAACGGCGCACTTGGCAATATTCCAGCTATATGACGGCGGTCTGTAAATAATCGAGTCAGGACTAGACAAGTGATTGACGTCATGAGCATCGATCCACACAATTGGGATACGATGACATGCACCAACCAAGTCAGCGAGCTTGACTACCAGATCCCCTTAGTCGCCTTTACGGCAAGCATGGGTTGCTGAAGACCTATTCTACCCCGGATCTTCACGGGTCGGTCACATCACGCCGTGTCAGTGGAATGTGATTGGAATTCCTTTCTGGTGCAAGTCGTATACCTATAACTACAAAATCAACTTATAAAATGTATCTAAATACTCTCCTCATAACCCATTCAAGCCTCTAAGTTGGGGGTTCACGTTAGTCCTTTGCAATCGTCTTAAATGGCCTATAACGATGTTCAACATGAATCAAAGCGATGTACGTCACTGAGGAGTCCATCTTTATCTGCGCGCGTTCCTTGAAGGTTCATAGACGTTCATGGGTACCAACTATTAATATCCTATAGGAAGGTGGTTCCTGGGATTTTTAAGAGGCATGTCGCTGCTTCAAAACACACATTATTGTTCTGTGAAAGGAGAAGCCGAACGATTTTTTTTCAGAAGAGTGAGTGATCCAAATGTTGTTCACAGCAGTGTATCCGTGAAGATCCGGGTCAGAATATATAGGTCTTCAGCAACCCATGCTTGCCGTAAATGGCGACTATTCCAACTATATGACGGCGGTCTGTAAATAATCGAGTCTGGACCAGACAATCAGGTGTTTGACATCATGAGCATAGATCCACGCAATTGGAATACGATTATATGCATTTACCAAGTCAGCGAGCCTGACCTCCCGATCCCGTTAGTCGCCTCTTACGACAAGCATAGTCGCCTTTTATGGCAAACATGGGTTGCTGAAGACCTAGTCTACCCCGGATGTTCATGGGGGTGACTCTCATTGACTATCCATAGCACGGGCTGCGTCCCTATGTACCAGCGGCAAACAGACAACATATGGCTTACGATAAATTGGCAATTGTGATGAATGGTATCTATTGCCCCATTAATGATGATAGATGCTAACTGTCACAGATTACTGCCAACCTTAAACTGTTTGTAAATAACGGAATGGTTCGTCTGCACGCAAGGCAGGACAATGCTCCGTTCAATCAGGAAGATGATATGCACTTATCTCTGGAAGGGCAGGGCGACATTTTGTATTTAAAACAAATAAGATACATCCACTACAAGCATATTTCACGTCGTACAGGTGTTCAAGCTACAGGAAATAATTGATTTTTATAATAAAAATAGTTTTCTGGTGTTGATGGTAAAAGCCAGCAACACAAGTCTCCATTTCCCCTGCTAAATGGTGAAATATTTGTAGCAGGTGTAACGTATGCAGCTGCTAATTAGCAGACAAGCACCATCCGTCACCGCTCACATCTTTCCCTAACCTTATAAATATCCATTTCGCTTCTTTTAGGATGGCCTGAGTTGTTGGAGGTCATTCGAAACCGCTCGCATCTTTCTGTAAGCTATACACGAACCAATTTGGCTTGTTTGGGGATGGCCTGTTGGTCACGACTGAGACCACGTCATCACTTGCATATTTCCGTAACCTACAAGAACCCATTCGGCTCGTCTCGGAGTGAGTGAGAGCGGGTTTTACCTCCTCTTTTAACATTATTCCAGTTATATCACGGCGTGTCAGCTTAATGTGGGAGGAAAGCCCGAAATGATGCAGGTCTTTGACGTTTACCACTTCGGTGAAACCCACGAGCACGGGTATGGTGCTGACAAACCTAGAAACATCATCGGGGCGAACCGGGTTCGCAACCACGATCAAAGGTTTCTGGTGTGCCCAAGGGACGCAACTCTGCATGCGGCGCCTCAGAACGCTGAATCACCCGTGTGTCCTGGGCTTGTCTCGGAACGGGGAAAGTTGGCCACCAATGGGTCGCGGTATGGAGGATCATAACCAGGGCGCATCAGGATTCTGACACAGATAAGGGAGGCCACTCTGCACAGCGAATTTCGGCGCCTGAGACAGCTTGAACTGCCCGTACCTATGTCATCCACAGACTGGACATTAATCAGATTGTAGTCGTTCTGAGGGACAAACATATATTTTGACATAACCGGAATTGCGAATTTTATATACTTCCCAGGGAGCTGAGAATGTAATATAACCGTACACGTATCCACTAACCAGTAGATATTATTCTGTCATGCGCTAACCATGCCCATCTGTAGCGTGTGAAAATCTAGTGTTAAGTGCAGCTGAGACGCTAGTAAACTTTAAGTTTTCATTTTATCTAAATATCCAACTTGAGTTCTGGAGACTCAGAAACAAAGTCATGGTTGTTATTTTCCGGCAAAAGGAACAAAGATGTATTTTCGAGGTTCTGGGAGGACCACGACATATGATAACATGCTATTCGTAACAAGTTTTGCACAGCGCCCTTATCAAATGCACACAGCGTCAATATGGTGGGTATGAGATTTATCGACTGGTATGTCACGATTTTCTCGCTGTGGGTGAGCCCGGTTTGGTATCTAGACAACGCTGACAGCTAGAGATACCAGCTACACGGCAGTCGAACGTGCTCCGTGCTCCAGTCTGCGACGCAGAAACCATCTTCCCGAGGCAAGGGCGTTAACTGGCTATAACTGGACTTTTATAGTCAGTAAACGCCCTTGACTAGGGAATATGCGCAGTAAAGCCCCGGTCACACAGAAATTGCGACCGCGATGCACCCTCCTGGCGACCAAAATATTTGACAATCGCAATGAGGTTTCAGGGGTCTCTGAAAGGTTTCACTGAGGTCGCTACAAGGTTTCAGAGCGTCGCAAAACCCATTCGGTGGCAACTAGTCTTTTGAACATGCACAAAAGACTGGCTGCGACCGATTTGGTCGCTCGGAGGTTTCATTGGTCTCCTAGAGGTCCCCAAGTGGTGTTATTTCAATCGCAGATTGATTTCCACTGTGCGGCGATCTGTTTCGTCTACTCGTCTACTCGTCGACTCTTTGGCGATCTATCGGTGATTGATCAGTGATGAGGCGGTGATCGACCGGCGCTTCATCGGTGACAACTTGCAAAAACATGATTTGATTCAGAAAAGCACCCTTTGTATATGCATTATGTTTTGATGGGTGATCGATCGACAACTAATCACCGACCAGTCCCCGTTCAGTTGCAGCAAGTCACCGAAGATTCGCTGACTCGTCACCGATCGGTCTCAACCAGTTGCAAACATTTCGTCGTATCTGCGGCGAACAGTTGCCGATCAATCACTGACAAGTTGCAAAACCTATCGCTGATTGATCGGCGATCATACCCTAATTCCAAATATGGGCAGAAGTAGTTGCACCGGTCTCAGCGACCGCCAGTCGGTCGCAAAAGAAATCAGTCGCCAAGAGGTTGTATCGCGGTCGCCCTGTCTGTGTGACTGTAGCTTAACCAGTGTTGTTCGGTTAGTGTGCTTTATATCAAATGTGTGGACTTATATAATCATTTATATGATTTTAATCAAGTAGACACAATAAATCAGACCAAGACACAATTATGGATAACAACTTCTTTGTTTACTGTAGGCGACGTTTCGGTATAGATCCTTATACCATTGTCAAGCAAGTAAATTCTTACAGTAAATAGAGAAATTGTTATCTATAAATTGTGTCTACTTTGTCCTCCGCCCACCTCTAATGCCTATCAAACAATTTATATGATCTTAATGAAACTGTTTTATACCAGCATGCACAGATCTCCGGAACGTTTTATAATACAAACCTGCTAGATTGCATTAGAAAGGACATTTCTATTGTGTAATCCTAGGTAATATTTT